TCTAGTTAGGCGGAAATGGGCGTGGCCAATACAAAAAAGATGGAGAATCATCCAAGGATCATGGACATATAAAGTTTTTGACTATAGGACCTACGGTTTGGGAGCTAGTAGCTAAAACGTGTTGACCTCCGCAATAGCGCCACCTAGGTGACGCGGGGTCCAAATTTTCGAATCTGAGTAGCGGTCAGGATTTTCTATCAGACTGCCATGTCAGATTTTCCCTGGCAATTTCAGGCTCTTGCGCCCATACAGACACAGCGGAGAAGAATAATAATAATAAATAATAAATAATAAATAATGAAAAATCCGTAGAAAAACAATAGGGTTCCCTGCCCTTTGGGCTTGGAACCCTAATAAATAATAAATAATGAAAAATCCGTAGAAAAACAATAGGGTTCCCTGCCCTTTGGGCTTGGAACCCTAACTAGAACTGCAAGCAGTTATCAACGGGTTCCAAGCCCCCAGCGCCAGTCGCCCACCCGCCCCGCCCTCAACTTCGCCAGTCCTCACGCGGTCCCGCCCCAAAAACACGTTCTCCCGCCGGCGTCCCGTCAGCTCACTTCAACCGGCGCAATGAAAGTAACACTCAGGATACGTCATTAAACCTGCAAAGCCTATACACATATCTTTCAGAGGCATGGCTGACTTCTCAATCGTGATTACAATGGAATTCCACTGTTTCCTTATTAAAGAACGTGAAGATTTAATGAGTGAGATTATCAAACAATCATCTATACATCAACAGAATATTACAAATAACATAAAGACTTGATAATGTCTTTAGATTTAATAGATTTTCAACAAAAACAATGAGTTTCATTTTGTGACTTACTGATCAATTGTTTTAAAAAATCATGAAAAATACATAAATCATCATAAAATTACCAAAATATTCTCACATGGCAGTGTTAACATGCGGAATAATATGATGTTGTTTTTAAATCAGTTGACTCAAAGCTTTTTTGAAGAAAAATTAGGAAATATAACTATAAAGGTCACAACAAAAATTTAAATATTCATAAAAAAATAGTGCTACTTTCTATAATTAGGAGAAAAATCTCAGATCACCATAGGTACGTGTGGAATGTTGTAAATGGCTTATATTTACTGTATACCTAAAAAGTTTTCTAACAAAAATTAATTACGTTGTTGTCCAACTATACAGAAAAACTGGTAAAAAGTTAAAAATTAATTAAAAATCTATGCTTTTGTACAGAAATCTCAAAATATTCCCAGGTTGCCTCTGTGACGTGAGAATTCTTCTAATATTTTTGTTGGGGTCATAAATGTAAAACTGTACTTACAATAAAATAATATTTTCATTAGTGTCTGTAGACAAAAATATGTCCTAAAATTAAACACAAGGGGGAGCTCATATCAAGACGACATTTTTTTTGTTTCATAAACCACCTAAGAGTGAACTTTGTAGCAAATTACAAGAAGGTTGTGAGAACAGAATTTGCGCTACAATTGCTAGCCTAAAAATGTATTTTCATAAATATAAAGCGTAAACCTCAACATGGAGCTGCGGCTTTCGTGACATAAGCTCTAGCCTATCCAGCTAACACAATCTGGAAATCTTAGCCTCTTACATGCAAATAATGATTTTTAGGAAATTTTTCAAATTTGAAATTTTAAATGATCATAAGCCACGCCCACTTTGATAAATCATTACCATATTGATAATGTAATCTTAAGACTCTATAGTGATGACAACCACTAAGTTTCGTGCAGATCCATTTAGCCAGTTCAGCAGTATAATTTCTTCCCAGTTATAGCGCCCCCTATTGTTTAATCAAGTTGAAAACCAGGACATACACTTGAATTGACCTTAGGTATGACTGTTATGAACAGCTTTGAAAAATGTCAAAATCTTTTGAAGTTACTCTAAAAAAACTTTTTCATTCTCCAAAATTTAAAAAAAAAATCATATTAAAAAAAATAAGCAAATTATCCAAAATCCCTTCACATCTTTTGGTCAGCCGCTCCTCCTCTCTTGTCAGGGAAAGATGTGATGTGATTGAGTTTGACGGCCGGGAGGAGTTAACGAAAGTACGTTGGACTTACTATGCAAATTTCTACTAATTTGCATAAGTTTAAAACATTTTTTAAAATACTCATCTAAATTTGACTGACTCAATGAACATACTGGATGAGATCATTTGTTTTTTTACGAAAGTAATGGGGAGAAACATGCCAAAAATATTTTTGGGGTACCACAGCGCCACCTATTGGACAAAATTCAAAAAATTTTCTGTGATTGTAGATGTCATTATGACTGATATGAATTGTAATTTTCTGTATAGAATATGTATTTTTCAGGAGTAAATGGGCGAAAACGTTTAAAGCCTATTTATAGCCTATAAGCCACGCCCACTTTTTAATCATTTTCAAAATATAGCTTAAGGGTCCGATGATTAACATATGTGCCAAGTTCTGTGGAAATCCATCAAGCCGTTTAGCTGAAACAAACTTTTTGACTCTTTAGCGCCCCCTATTGGTGAATCCACACAAAATCGGGTAGATAGGGCTTACCGCTCATACTTCATAAGGGTGTAGAGTCTCATCAATTTATCTTGAGAAATGGTGAAGATATCATCAATTACCACATGTGCTAGCTAGCACACTGATTTTGACATGGTGTCATTAGCCCAATTTTCAATATTTCTGCCTTTTTCTTCATCACCACAACTTATCTTAGTCCATAGATCATATGTACGAAGTTTGAAGTTGATTCGACGAAAAATGACGAATAGGTGATTAAAAGTAAGTTTTGAGTTTTTTGCGATCTAGCAAAAAATCTAGTTAGGCGGAAATGGGCGTGGCCAATACAAAAAAGATGGAGAATCACCCAAGGATCATGTACATATAAAGTTTATGACTGTAGGACCTACGGTTTGGGAGCTAGTAGCTGAAACGTGTTGACCTCCGCAATAGCGCCACCTAGGTGACGCGGGGTCCAAATTTTCGAATCTGAGTAGCGGTCAGGATTTTGTATCAGACTGCCATGTCAGATTTTTCCTGGCAATTTCTGGCTCCTGCCCCCATACAAACGTAGCGGAGAAGAATAATAAATAATAATGAAAAATCCGTAGAAAAACAATAGGGTTCCCTGCCCTTTGGGCTTGGAACCCTAATGAAAAATCCGTAGAAAAACAATAGGGTTCCCTGCCCTTTGGGCTTGGAACCCTAATAATAATAAATAATGAAAAATCCGTAGAAAAACAATAGGGTTCCCTGCCCTTTGGGCTTGGAACCCTAAAAATCAGAAAGCAAAAAGATCCACACATTATTATTAATTACAAGTCTAGTAGCAAAAAGGCCAGGTCACCATCAGTCTGTGATTTTTTTTAGCTTCCTGGCACTCACGGAGTACAGTCGCTTCCCTTTTTGCTCCCTTATTTTTTTCCCCAAGGCTCTTTGTCCCGTCTGCCTACAGAGCGCTTCTCTGCATTTCTTCTGGGATTCCCGGGATTTTTTTTTTAGAAATGGATTTAATTAATTGGTCATTCAATGCGATTGATAAGATCTTTTCCACAATGAGAATGGAGGAGGGGGCTCCCATCTGCCCTCAAGGGACACACGCAGCAGGATATGCGCTCGATTCCTGGAAGGTCTGGAGGATCGTTTGTCTCTTTCAGCTGTCTACTGAGGATGTCGAAGATATGTGGATATTTGGCTTGATGATCACTGGATTTCTTCTGATTGGAGTGGGAGGATATCTGGTTTTCTGGAAATTTGGGAAGTCGGGAGCGATTGGAGTGCGACCCGCACCCATGGCAAGCACCGCCCGGGCGGATGCCTCACAGACTGGAACGTTACTTGAGGTAAACCGTAAGCTGGACAATATCCTTGCTGCGTTGCTGGTATTAGTGCGCAAAATAGATGTCATCTCGGAGAGGGTCACTGGACGGTGTGGAGATGTTTAATACCTAAATTGGCTTCACTGGAGGACTTGAATGATCAATACAGACTTTAAGGCAGAGAGGAAAATTATCTCTGCCTGACCCAAACAAAGTCCTGTTATCCAATCTGACGCCATAGCAGCCTTGGAGTTGCGTGCAACAACTTCCACGATGGAAGGAATGCAGACAGATGCTGTGAAAACCCGACCCCCCCCCCCCCCCCCCCCCCGCCTTCAGATTGTGGTCTCTGCATAGCAAGGTCATCAAAATGGAGGAACTCAATGTGCTCTGTGCTTTCCCATGACCTCCCATCCACCCGTGGATACAGTTGGCTGAGCGCCACACGGGCTGCTCCCGCTGAGGAAACCAGGATCCCAGCCCCCCCCCCACCCCCACCGGGTCTCACGTTGTGAACTGTGACGTTCGTGCTTACATGTCTGAGGTGTTTTTTTGCATAGTACAGCTACGCCCTGTCGGGAGTAATTATGGCATGCCTGTGTTTTTCTCCCTCCACCAACCTATCCTCATGTAATTCCTTTTCATCTATTAAGGTAGCGCGACTCATGTTGCGAATGACCGCAGTCACCAAATCTTGTCACGTGTCTTGCCCATGTATGTCTGATCTCTGAATTGTGTGTACTGAAACTCAATTTCGTTTCTCTGTATGTCTTGCACATGTGGTAAAAATGACAATAAAATGACTTTGACTTTGAAGATGTTCACTCTGGCTTTAGCTCTTTGCTTCACCTCTAAAGACTTTACTCTTACTTTTAAGCTTTGCTATTATGCCAAAAGAAAAAAAAACTTCTTCTCCTTTTTATTGATGGTTGTTGAACTGAAAGAGCTACTGTTAGCCTTTATATGAGCTATCGGCACAGGAAATAGCTATTGCCAAATATCAGGCAGAGACATCCCACTAGTGTTCCCATCCAAACGACAGAACTGTTAAGTGCAGCTTAGTCAGCAGAGTGCTGCCCAATGTGAAGATGCTCAGGTCTGTGGCTCAACAATCACTGAAACCAGTTTGAAAGCAATAGCTCTTTAGTGTTGCTTTAAGTAGTAAATTAGCATTAAAAGCAGAGTGGTAGATCCTACCTTTGGCGACACAGTTGCCATTGACCTCCTTAAAGTTCCGATCACATGTGCATTTAAAAGATCCCTTAGTGTTTGTGCAGTAATGCGGGCACGCGTCAAACTGCAGACACTCGTTTATCTCTGCAAAAAGCCAAAAATCCACCTAAGAACATGCTGATGTGACAGCAACATCATAGTATAATATTTCTGATTGTCGGTGAAATAGTTTACGCACAGACTACATTCTAGTGTATTTTATCCTGCTTATTATACATAAAAATAGAGGAAAATAGTTTTTCATGAAACTAGATGAGTTCTAACACATTTACTGTAGCTGAGATAGTCTTATAGTGTCAGTTTCCATTGTTCTCCAGTTTAAATGCTAAGCTACTAAATGCTTAATTGAAAGATTATGTTTCTGTTTACAAAGAAAAAGGAACAAGGAACAATCTATATTTCTATTTTGCATAAAGCTGATCTAAAATATTATCTGAAATAAATCTGTTACAAAATATATAAACTTGACAAAACAATGCAACATTATTTGGCAATTAAAAATGAACTAAAAAGGGAAAAAACACAAGAATCTTTTCATATATCCACTGCTAATTAAATTTCCCCTACACAAATCATTTGAAAAGCCAAAATTTTTGGCAAAATCAATAATAATAATAATAATAATAATAATAATAATAATAATAATAATAATAAAAATAAAAATAAATAATAATAATAATAGCAATGCATTAATGCTATAAAATGCACACCAACATGATACTACCACTATCGTGTTTTACACATACTTCTACTAAAATACACACTTCCCTTTCATTTAAACAGTATGAAAAGGCTCTATACAAATAAACGTCCTTCAAAAATGTGTCAGATGTTTTCTTAAGATTTATGAAAACAAAATTCGCCAAAGATGATTTGCATATATTTTTTAAAGTCAGCTGACATTAAATCATCTGATTAATTTTTTAAAAGACCATCAGTCCTGTTTTTATCTCTTTTAATAAATTCTATTTTATCTTGAAAGTGCATTATGTATAAATGAAGTAAAACAGTGGTAAAACTTTAAACCACTCTGGAGCTTTTGCCGCCCGTTGTCAGCGCTGCAGTATTAGCTTGCAGGAGACACCGCAACCCCACACTCACTGATGGTAAACAGTAGTTACGTCCCTTCTTCCTTTGTTTTAAAGGAGAAAAACTGACAATTCCCCACGGCCAGCAGGATAGGACATACGTCTCAGTACAACCTTCCTTCCAAAATGACTGAAATATTACTCTTTTGGGATTTTCTCACTGTACAATTCTCACTATATTCTTACATACTGCACCTTTAAGGATTGTGAAAATGTTATATTTAGCTCACAACTGATAAAAATAAAGAAACATATTTTAATATGTCACAAAAGCCTATATTTGTTCACCAACAGATATCCAGTTCCAGTAAATCTTTAGCTAAATTAATATTTTAACATTTACTTCTGGAGGAAATAAACAAAAACAAATGGATGGTTCATACGTTACCTTCACATTGGCCTGTTTTTTGGTTTCTCTTAAAACCAGATTTGCATTGACACACATCGTTAGGATTCGTTTGGTTGCAAATTGCATCCTCCCCACACGGGTTTGTTTTCTTTCCACATACATCTCCGCTGGAAACTACAAATAAGTACAAGTCTTTGATTACACCTCTGCATCTTAGACACCTGCCGGGATTTCCTTTTGATGTGCAACAACTAAGGGGCCATCTTAATCATTCAAACGAAGCACAGCGCACCTCAAACATGTTCATACATATATTATCATAAACAACAAAACATCACGTCTAAAATGAGAAGATTGCTGAGCTTCGTGATGGCATCATTTTGACATTTGGTGCTTTTCATCTCCTGTGAAGGCGCCTTTGATCTGTTTGCTCAGCTTAGCTGCTGCTGTACTTACAGGACTTGCAGTCCTGCTCATCCGAGCCACCATCACCGCAATCACTGAAGAGGTCGCACTGAAGCTGCATGGGGATGCAACGCCGATTACTGCAGGTGAACTCTGTCTTCCCACAAGGCCGCGGTCTTCCAGCCACCACTTCTGTTTTGGCACACACAGCACATTTTAAAGAAATGATGTAAGAATGTAGCATTTTCAGCTTAAAAGCTGAATATTATACAGTTCAACTGAGGACATATTGGGTTTTTTTCTTAAGTTATAACAGGTCTTTGCACTAAATCCCTCTCACATGAAGCAATTTCAGCAGTTTTATTCCTGACATTTTCAGTGCCTTTCAGAATGAGCCGTTTCAGGGCTCTCTCAGCAGGCCACGCCCACCCATCCCCCGCTAAGGCTGCTATAAGCTATGGTTCTTTTTAAAACACAGAAAAAAGTTTTTCTTTACCTGTTTTGCTAATGTTCCAACTAATAACTATAGCTGGTAAATACTCTTTTGTTCTGTGTTTTAAAAACCAAGCAATGCTAATTGACAAAATACACAGAATGAACGTACAGAAGATGCTACAACTGAATTGATATCTTGAAGGCGCTCATAGTAGAGCAGCTGACAGCAGCAGCAGCTCTCTCTTGCACACGAGAGGCAGTTCTAAGCTAATTTCTCTCTTTGTGATCTTTGTGACGGGACTATTTTAAAATGGCTCGTTTTAGGTACATAATTCCTATAACCAAACACTGACATAAACCAAATTAATGTTGTTTTTTGTCTCGTTTTGATAGAGATGGTAGAGACCCACATGGTGGGTCTTTCGACTCTGAGCTAACTTTTATCCCACACATTAAACACATTACTAAAAGAGGTTTTTATCATTTAAAGAACATCGCCAGAGTCCACCCCATTCTCTCTCTGGCCAATACTGAGACGCTGATGCATGCTTTTATCACCAGTAGAATAGACTACTGTAATGCCCTGCTTTCTGGTCTTACCAAAAGGAACATTTCAGGCTTACAACTTTTACAAAACTCAGCAGCACGTGTCCTAATGAAGACCAGGAGGCGGGAGCACATGACACCAGTTTTAGAACTGCTGCATTGGCTCCCAGTATGTTTCAGGATCGATTTTAGGGTTCTCTTAATGGTTTTTAAGTGTCTTAATGGTCTTGGGCCTTCTGATCTTTCGGAACTGCTTTTACCATATGAACCCTCGCTCCTCTGGCAGCCGTCTCCTTGTGATTCCAAAAGCCAGGACACACACCCATGGTGAGGCGTCCTTCCAATTTTATGGCCCTCGTCTCTGGAACAGGCTGCCAGAGGACCTCAGGGAGAACGTTCATGCTTTTAAGAGCAGACTCACCTTATTACCATAGATTTTAATTGATATCTGTTTTTAGCTGCGTTGCTTGTTTTATTTTTATTGTATTATTCATATTTTAGTTTTATTAGACATTTATGTCTTAGTGTTTTACTATCTTTAATCACTTTTTTAGTTACTTTACTATCCATAATAGCTCTTATTATTTTTTATGTTACTTATTTTTTCATGCCAGTGTTTTTCTCTGTGGGGGCCCTCTGCCTCAGGGGTGGTGGTCGACTGTGGCGGCCTGGGTGCACCTCGGGGAGTGCTTAGGCGGTGGTGGGGGGTTTTGCCCTACCTCCCTGAGAGCCCTGGGCTGGTGCCTTTGCTGCTGCTGTCGATTGAGTACTACCAAGGCAGATGGTTCACCTGATGGCGTGTCATTCGTTACCTAACCCATCTGAACTCGGCCTAGTGTTTACTTATATTTTATTCATTTTTTTAAATCTTTTAAAAGTTTTTTGTGTGTGCATGTGTGTATTTGTTGTTCGTGTGTAATTGTGTGTGGGTGCGTGTTCCTTAGGAAAAGGGCTGTGGGATTTTTTTGGGGGGAGGGTGCAACTGTCATAATTATTTTTATATTTTTATGGAAATGATGAGATTATGGGTTATATGGGGTGATTTTAACCTGTAAAGCACTGTGAGCTGTATTTTTGTACATGAAAAGTGCTATACAAATCAAGTTTGATTGATTGATTGATTGATGGTAGCACAAAGTGAGTTTTGCAAAATATGACCTCCAACATTTTCAATTTTAATACAGGTCCTTCTCAAAAAATTTGCATATTGTGATGAAGTTCATTATTATCTGTAACGTACTGATAAACATTAGACTTTCATATATATTAGATTCATTACACACAACTGAAGTAGTTCAAGCCTTTTATTGTTTCCAATATTGATGATTTTGGCATACAGCTCATGAAAACCCAAAATTACTATCACAAAAAATTTGCATATCATGAAAAGGTTCTCTAAACGAGCTATTAACCTAATCATCCGAATCAACTAATGCACTCTAAACACCTGCAAAAGATTCCTGAGTCTTTTAAAAACTCCCAGCCTGGTTCATTACTCAAAACCGCAATCACGGGTTAGACTGCCGATCTGACTGCTGTCCAGAAGGCCATCATTGACACCCTCAAGCAAGAGGGTAAGACACAGAAAGACATTTCTGAACAAATAGGCTGTTCCCAGAGTGCTGTATCAAGGCATCTCTGTGGGAAGTCTGTGGGAAGGAAAAAGTGTGGCAGAAAACGCTGCAAAACGAGAAGAGGTGACCAGACCCTGAGGAAGATTGTGGAGAAGGACCGATTCCAGACCTTGGGGGACCTGCGGAAGCAGTGGACTGAGTCTGGAGTAGAAACATCCAGAGCCACCGTGTACAGGTGTGTGCAGGAAATGGGCTACAGGTGCCGCATTCCCCTGGTCAAGCCACTTTTGAACCAGAAACAGCGGCACAAGCGCCTGACCTGGGCTACAGAGAAGCAGCACTGGACTGTTGCTCAGTGGTACAAAGTAATTTTTTCGGATGAAAGCAAATTTTGCATGTCATTCGGAAATCAAGGTGCCAGAGTCTGGAGGAAGACTGGGCAGAGGGAAATGCCAAAATGCCTGAAGTCCAGTGTCAAGTACCCGGGGGAGCAGGTAGGATTTTCAAACTGGGGGGGACAAAGTTCCAATATACCCTCCCCCAAACACACACACACACACACACACACACACACACACACACACACACACACACACACACACACACACACACACACACACACACACACAAACTATTGCAAGCGCCTTAACTAGAGCTCAGTCAGTTTGTGTAATTTCATCCAACGGTTTATGTAAAAACTAACTTTTATATACGTGTTTGAAACCATTGTCCAGTGGAACGCTGGCAACAAAGCTCTGCCTGATCAACACTATAAATGATAAATGATCCGCACTTGTATAGCGCCTCTCAGAGTAAGGACTCCAAAGCGCTTTACACTACAGTGTATCATTCATCCATTCACACACACATTCACACACTGATGGTGATGAGCTACGATGTAGCCACAGCTGCCCTGGGGCGCACTGACAGAGGCGCTCCACTATTTAATTCAGTCATCTGTTATTCTCCCGATCAATTACTAACCAAAACCTCATGCTTTATGCAAAATATTAAATTATTTTCAGCGTACCGATCTTTACAGAAAACATAAAAGCCCTAAAAAACTGCACATAAAATATATTTAAAAACAATATTCACTCATCACTTAGAGCAGTGGTTCCCAAACTTTTCAGCCTGACCAACAGATGTTCCTTCGTATTTTTACATTATTTATACATTTTCATTATATTTGGAAAGTTTTTATTTATACATAAATATATAAATCTCTTTTTAAATTTTATATTTAACTTTTTTATGATTATGTGACACACTTGACTTCCATACTTAACGCATCAGCATCTGCCTCTTTTTTACAGCTTTTTTTTTAACATTGTCGCTACGTCTGTCACATTAGCGGTGTTTTACCATCATTTCTACATCCATCACGTCCCAGAGAAGGTTAAACCAACATCAAACCCAACGTTTGCAGCTTGTAAACTCCACACACCTCTCGTGCAGCACCAGCTGTCTGATGCTGCAGCAGCGTCAGTCTTCCCGGCTGGATGAGTGAATTTCTTCATCAGAGTCAATATTCTGCTTCATAATCAGAGTCAGTCATTACCAGACAAAGTGATTAGTCAACAAAGACCAGACCTGCTGGCAATTATACGTTTTATCTAATATTTGCGCTCTTCCCCAGTCCTCTCCCCGACTGGGAGCCTCTCGGCGGGAGACGATTTTCAAACTCTAAAAACTCCCAAACTTTGCTCAGCCTGAAGGTTCCACATCTCCACTATCTTCTGGTGTAAAGTAGTAACTTCATGAGGGATCATATTTGTAGATGAGACTTGTTAAAGTCAGCATTGAGGCTTTGGTGCTTTTAACGAGTAAGTTCCAACACTGACAACAACGTACTGAAACTAGAACCAACAAGCATAAACAGACAGATCGGTCCCGCCTACTTACACTGTTGGTCTTTTTTAAATACGCAGTAATCGTTGCTTGCCTTTTTCGCTTCATCCTGCATCCTAGCAGCAACCACTTTGGTGCCTCTGGAGTCGGTGTTTGTTTACGTCATGCTGCATTCAATGTTATTGGAAAAAGGAGCTTCAAGCGCTTAACCTCCGATTTTATTTTCTTTCTGGCCTTAGTTGGGGGGGGGGGGGGGGGGGGGGGATCTGAATCGGGGGGGGGGGGGGGGGGTTGGTTCCCGCCATCCCCCACCCTATCTGCACGCCTGCAAGTACCCACAGTCAGTGATGGTCTGGGGTGCCATGTCAGCTGCTGGTGTTGGTCCACTGTGTTTTATCAAGGGCAGGGTCAATGCAGCTAGCTATCAGGAGATTTTGGAGCACTTCATGCTTCCATCTGCTGAAAAGCTTAATGCAGATGTATTTCATTTTTCAGCACGACCTGGTACCTGCTCACAGTGCCAAAACCACTGGTCAATGGTTTACTGACCATGGTATTACTGTGCTCAATTGGCCTGCCAACTCTCCTGACCTGAACCCCGTAGAGAATCTGTGTGATATTGTGAAGAGAAAGTTGAGAGACGCAAGACCCAACACTCTGGATGAGCTTAAGGCCGCTATCGAAGCATCCTGGGCCTCCATAACACCTCAGCAGTGCCAAAGGCTGATTGCCTCCATGCCACGCCGCATTGAAGCAGTCATTCCTGCAAAAGGATTCCCGACCAAGTATTGAGTGCATAACTGAACATAATTATTTGAAGGTTGACTTTTTTGGTATTAAGAACACTTTTCTTTTATTGGTCGGATGAAATATGCTAATTTTTTGAGATAGAAATTTTGGGTTTTCATGAGCTGTATGCCAAAATCATCAATATTATAAACAATAAAAGACTTGAACTACTTCAATTGTGTGTAATGAATCTAATATATATGAAAGTCTAATGTTTATCAGTACATTACAGACAATAATGAACTTTATCACAATATGCTAATGTTTTAGAATGACATGTATTTCTAGTCATTTAAAGGTAGAACAACAAATATTCAAACATGGTTGCTTTTCTTTGATGTCTCTAAACAATATTCTCACATATTTTAGCTAAATATGTTGTGTATATTAAAAAAAAGGAAAACAATTAAGTGATTATCTTGCATTTGTTAAAAAACCTCTGTTTGACACTGACGACTGCACTTCCCTGAGTCTTTCACTCATTACGCTCTTGTGCATTTTGCAACAGAACACCACCGGTGTGAGAGGTTCTCCGCTCAATAATATCAGAGGAGAAACAGCCGGCTGCTACCACCTCAACTTTAGGATAAACTAACAAAAATTCCCAAAGACAAAAACACCATTTGAAGTCACGGACGATAAAAGATGTTTGGACATTTGGATTTCTCATGCTTAGCCTCACTGCTCACTAAACAGACTCTTCATTTGAGCCTAAGCGTTCATTGGTGCACGCGCCAGCTGTGTCACAAATCTTATACAGCAGAGCTTGTAAATTGGCCTTTGGTGAGATTTTAAACACACAAACTGCTGAGCTGCTCATCCTCATCATCTTGTGTAGTAATGTGAAAACTATGATCAAAGTAATGAATAACAGGAGCGTTCTAAAAATGGGCTGGGCCTTCTGGATGCAGGTTGTCTGTATCCAAAGCTGCAATATTTGTTTACTGTATATAGTAGGAAAATTAAAAATTAGACATAAGTATTTTTTCAACAATTACCATGTAAAATTATTTACAGAATTCACACACTGAAAGCATTTTCTAACTCTTAGCATGCGATGGTGAAATTTAGCACATTCTGCTATTTTCAGTGCAACTGAATAAAAGTAGTTTTCATCATTTTTTTCCTCCTTTTCTTTTTCCACACCGAGAATGAATTTAAGTTCGGCACTCTCCAACAACGTAACAATGAGGAGGAAAGGAGCATAATGAAGTGATGGGGAGGAGGATGATGGGATTAAGGTGAGATTGAGGGGATGGATGGATAGAAGAAGCATACAATAGTGAGAGGTAATGGACTGAGGTAGGAGATGGATGGGGGTATCAATGGAATTGGAGAGAAAGATGAATGGAGGACATACGGAACAAGAGAGTGATAGAAATAAGGAGCTATTTGTCCTGCTCCTTTCTGTCTGTGCCGTGTGATCATTTGCAGAAGGCTTGTGTTGAGGTGACACGTCAGGACACCGCAAAAGGGACAGCAGCAGATTTTCCTTTCAATTCAGATGGAAAAAATACAAAAGGAGGCGCAGAAGTGAAAAAGATGTTCAGCACAGCAAATTTAAATGCACCAGCTGACATTTCCACAAGCTTTTGTTTTGATTTAGACTGCATCTATAACCCCAAAAAAGATGTTTAACCTCAAATCGGAACACAAATACATTAAATCTGCATGCCTGCTTGTTGAGGGCGAAAGCATCTTTAGTATTTGACATTAATAAATGGACTTTGTCCAAGTAGTTGTGGATGTTTTTATGCAGCATCAGCACCAAGCGCTCTGTGCTTACCACACTCTTCTTCATCCGAGTTGTCACCACAGTCGTCCACTTTGTTGCAGATCTGGTCCGCGCGCAGACACACGCGGTCATTTTTACACCGGAAAGGCCGCGTAGGAGGGCAGGGAAGCTTAACTGAGGGTCAGAAAACCAATTTTTAAAAAAGCATAACAGATTATTATTGCCTTAAAATAAATAAGAATGCTATAAAAATCCTGCAGAAATCTACAGTAAAATTATTTAAAAGCCGCTGATAAAGTATGCATCAATAATCTTTTGAAAGTTGTCTTGTGAGAATGATCATTTCAGCTCACCACACATTTCTATATCTTCATCAGAGTTATCTCCACAGTCATCCTTGCCATCGCACACCCAAGTGTGGAGTTTGCATAAGGTGTTGTTGCAAATGAATTCATCAGCCCGACAGAAGAACGCTCCTGCAATTACACAGATAAGTCCCCACGACATTTGTCACCACAACTCAGATAGGAATAAACGCTCAACATGTGTAAGATATGAAAAATGTCTAAACTACAACATTTTAATGACAAATCATTTTACACAGTGATCCAGGAAGAGTAGGGTTTTCTTTGCCTCATAAAAGTCTAAATCTATATTAGAGTGCTTCTTTAATTTTTACTTTTTAAAAGTTCACGTAGAATTAAAAACTAATCATTTCGGGGATACTGTACAGAATAGGATTTGTGCCAAAGGGGTTAACCAGAAAATACACCCTCACTTAAAATATACCAAAGATCAACTAAAAAGTACAGAAGCAAAAGTGTGAATTTCAAAAAGCAAAAAAAATAAAATAAAAAAAACAACCCCCCCTAATAAAAAAACCACAAACAACAACAACATAAACAAAATCAATCTAAGAATAAAATGAACAAAATTCAGGCTTTTATCCTGATGGACAGAATAACAGCCTGCCACCCTTCGCTTTTGATTGTGCTTGAGGATTTTCCCCTTTGCTTCCGAAAGAATAAAAAAGTGTGTCAGTAAAAGTACATATTTTGCTTTGAAATATAAATATTAACATGTTTAACTTATTTTGATTTAACAGTGTTTTTTATTATTGTGTTTTATTTCTGCTTTTGAAATTCTCACTTTTGCTTCTGGAATGCTTTTTTGGGGGAGTTGCTTTACTCTGGAATAGTTTTGTGTGGCACTGTATTTTTAGGTTGGTCCTATTGGCACAAATCTTAAATTTAAAATAAAGTTAAAGTCCCATCAGTTGTCACACACACTGATGTGTGTGCGACATTTGTTATCGGCATTTGACCCATCCCCTGGGGGAGTGGTGAACTGCAGACACAGCCGTGCTCGGGAACTATTTGGTGGTTTATCCCCCAATCCAACCCCTTAATGCTGAGTGTCAAGCAGGCAGGCATTGGGCCCCATTTTTTTAAGTCTTTGGTATGACCCGAACAGGAATCGAGCCCAGTCTCAGTGTGAACACTACCACTGGGCCACTGAGCTTATCCCACAGACATGATTATTCTATTATGGGATAAGATTTGTGCCAAAAGGAGCAACATCAAAATACTACAGAATAAAGCAAATAAAATAAAATAAACAAAAAATAAATAAATAAATGAAAAGAAACCCAAAACATTATAGAAGCAAAATTGAGAATTTAAAAAGCAAAATTAAATAAAAAAAACACTTAAAAATGTATTATTATTTTGATTTCTAAGCAAAATATTTATTTTGACATCTCATCTGTTCACATTTCACATCTTTGATATTATTATTTTTTTGGTTCTCACTTCAATCTGCATGATTCAGACTAATTGGGGTTTTATTCTGAAGGTTCGAGCAGTTTGCCTTATGCAGTTTTCCACTAGGAATTTTTTCAGAAGCAAAAGCAAAATGAGGCCCACTAAAGAGATGTAGGCATAACCAAAACATGCACTTCAGAATAAAAGACTAAATTTTGTTCTTTTCATCTTTAGATTGATTTTGCTTTTGGGATTCACAGTTTTGATTCTGAAACGTTACTGTTGGAGAATAGACAGTGCATTTTTTGGCTGATCCTTTTGGAACAATCTCATATTCTCACCATGATTGCAGTTTTCTTCATCGCTATGATCCATGCAGTCCAACACGTCATCACAGCGCCAGCGCCGAGGGATGCAGTGGGCCCGATTCAGGCACAGGAACTCATCCTCCCTGCACTCCTTCACACAGCCAACCTGCACACAGAGAAATGATGTAAATCACCAATCAGCATTAAAGGAAAAGCAAAGCTCTGTCCTGACGGGTTGACCTTTCATCTGTGAAGCAGCTGAAGTGCTGTTATTTTCAAAAGTACCTTGTTATGCTATTTTGTTGTTTCCTTGAAACATTCCAAGCTGCACTGACCTCATCGGAGCCATCGAGACAGTTGTCATGTCCGTCACAGCGCAGGCTGGCCGACACACACCCTCCGCTGGCACACACATACTCGTTCACAGAGCAAGAAGGGACAACTGGAAGAGGAAACAATAATCTCACCTGGCTTTGTCATTTAATCACATGTGATGTTAGTAAGTTGTTTTCCTCTCAACAGGTTAATAAAACCCTAAAAATATAAATAAATGTTCACTTTTGGGCATGTTAGGATTACCACTGAATTTAAATGTTGTGTATTTCCTGCTGCTGAAAAATCATAATCACACTCAGAACCCTGTACTCATATAACTGTTGGGTAAAGTTTGTGCCAAAAAGATCAACAAAAAAAAATATACCCTCACTCAAAATATACCCCAAAAAAGCAACCAAAAAGAAGTTTTCAGAAGCAAAAGTGTGAATTTCAAAACAAGAAAAAAAAAAAAAAAAAAAAAAAGAAGTTAATGTTAAAATGATTTCTGCCAACAGCTCTATGCTGTTTTTGCTTTTGCTTCTGAACGAAAGCTTTAGTGGACGTTTGCACATGGCAAACAGCTCGAACCTTCAGAATAAAGGCCCAAACAGCCTGAATAATGCAGAATTAAGGGAGAACCAAAAAAGTGCATCAAAGAAGTGAAATGTGAAGAGCTAAGAAGTTAAATTAAATATTTTGCTTTAAAATACAAATAATAAGTTATGAGTTTGTTTATTTTGATTTAAGAGTGATTATTTTTTAATGAAACTTAACTTTTGCTTTTGAAATGTTTTGGTTTATTGGGGGGTTGCTTTATTCAGGAATATTTTGCGTGGCACTGTATTTTTAGGTTGGTCCTTTTAGATGAAATCTTATCCCATAGTGATTATTTAGGGTTGCAACTCAAAAGTACGTTGGACCAACCTAGTACAGCCCAGGTGAGGTAGTCGTTACTTTTTAGTTTTCACCTGTTTCTAGGCAGTTCTTTTCATCTTCTCCCATCTTGCAGTCTTCTTGACCGTCACACAGCCATTTAAGGGAGATACAGAGGTTGTTGTGACACCGAAACTGGTCATCTGCACAGCGTGCCTCACATCCTTTCTGTGAGCAAATACAGAAAAAGGTCAAAAGGGATTCCTGGACTAAATGGATTAAACATATCCTTGCAGAACGTAATAGACAATAACTATACCAGGGGTTGAATGAGTCAGTGTTGTAAAAGGTAATTAATAGCATTTGTTGACCTAAGATAAACTTATTCCCTCCTTCCATGCAGTTTCTTTCATGACAACTAGAGGTTGAATATTCTCCTTCCTTCACGAGGAAAGAACCACCATAAATGTGACCATGTGGTAAGCAGCAACAGCTAGTGCAGAGAAGATTGTGTGGTGATGCCATATATGCGACATGCCAGCATCTGATTTGTAGTCATAGTAAATAGGGATGAGCGAGTACACCACTATCTGTATCTGTACTCGGAATGGGCGTGGCATAACCCGGAAGTGGGCGTGGTTTACATCAATATATTATTTTAAGTCTGAAATTGATATGGAATGATCAGAAGTTGATATGTGTATTGTTTATTTGAAAACTATTTACAGAGCAGCCTCAGAATTGAGATTAAATATTTTTGATCACAATAGTAAAGGAACTGTTTCAGAAAAAGGGTTTCAATAAAATAAGAACATTAATATTTAAGTGCATGGATTAATACATCTGAACTCATGCAGTAGGAACTAGGAAATATGAAATGCTAGAACCAGACACAACTTTATGTATATATTTTTATTTTAATTTGATTAAACTGATTGTTTTCTTAACGTTCTTGGCATTTTCCCACACAAAGTTAAACAAAACAATGTTGATTGAGGTGTGTGTGTGTGAGTGTGAGTGTGTGTGTGTGTGTGTGTGTGTGTGTGTGTGTGTGTGTGTGTGTGTGTGTGTGTGTGTGTGAGAGAGAGACAGAGATAGAGAGGGAGAGAGGGAGAGAGAGGGAGTTAAATAAAATTTAAAAAAAACCCGACCGGAGCGGAGGTAGTGAGTGACTGATGCAGCACGTCAGCTCTGTCTTGTCAAATGCACCACGTAAGTTACGAAAAAAGTAACTTTAAATATTCAACCGAAAAAGAGGCGAGCTGAAGAAAACCTAGGGAAAACTGAAGAAACGTGAGCAACAGTGAAGCAATCACAGCGAGATCCGTTACTGTGTGTGTGTGTGTGTGTGTGTGTGTGTGTGTGTGTGTGTGTGTGTGTGTGTGTGTGTGTGTGTGTGTGTGTGTGTGCGTGGATGAGCCGGACGGACTGCGCTCCCGGACGGCTAGAGAGTTTTGTGTGTAGGGAGGGGCGGGCGCTCTATGTGACTGGCCAATCACAGAGCGTGAAGACAGTCAGTTACCCAATGAGGATTTTCCTTCAGCACGAGTACAGATATTTACGAGGTTTACTCGTTTCATGCTCGTATTCGTCAAAAATGCTTTATCCGTACCGGAAACGAGTATCCGGCTCATCCCTAATAGTAAATGCAACTTTTTACATGCTGATACATTTTTAAGTATGTGACTGGCATGGTCGAAACAAACATCATTCCTTTTCATTTAAACTGAAGTACAACATACAGTACGTGTGATTCATGGCGTAAGGCAAAGCGGATTATAAAATAGCTCTTTTAGCCTCGTTGACTTGCCTTCAGTTTTTCTAACCAACATTTATGACTTGTTGATACTCAACAAGTGTGTGTGTGTGTGTGTGTGTGTGTGTGTGTGTGTGTGCGTGTGCGTGTGTGTGTGTGTGTGTGTGTGTGCGTGTGCGTGTGTGTGTGTGTCTGCCTGCTCTGTCTTCTCGATCCCCAGTGAGTCGTGGAGGATGGCTGCTTATACTGAGCCAGGATTCTCTGGAGGTTTCTTCCTGTTTAAAGGGAGTTTTCCTCTCCACTGTCGCTGCATGCTTGCTTAGTATGAGGATTGCTGTAAAGTCACTGACACTAGTCAGTGACTTGATGCAATTTGCTGGGTTCCTTATATAGGAAACTTTATTTCTGATTGGCTTAATGAACTGTGAATTGGAATGTTTATTATGTGGAGTGCCTTGAGACGACTCTTGTCATGATTTGGCGCTATATAAATAAACTTGAAATAAACTTGAATACTCAAGTGGACTGGGACATGCAGATTTAAGGTGGTGTGCCTTGCTTATGGTGTGTTAAAACAGCTTTTCTCAGATTTAGCCTGTCTCCGTGACCATTACAACATTATTAAAGCAGGTCAGAGACAACAGACGTATTGGTATGCTACATAAACACCCCAAGCTGCCTTTCAACAACAACAACAAGTTAATTGTTATTTTAAATTCTAGGATCCCTTCAAAAAGCAGAGATCTGGAAATTGAGCATTGGGGAGAAACATAATAAGAGGTTAATGAGGGTTGCAACTACTGGCATGGGAAGAGATTATATGTAAAAAAAATCTAATCAACTGAAAAAAGCTGCAAATGTTAAAGAGGGTGATACATTACCCTGAATAATGAATTGTAATAACAAGGACTTGTCCCTGAATTATGCAGCATGCTACATTATTACTAGAGATTGGGCTTCTTTCCCTCATAAATCTCGTTAAGTCATGTAATGCTAAAGGAAATGCACATTTAGGTTTTATTCTTCAAAAATCACCAGTGTCAGGCTACAAAAGCAATTTGAAGCTTTTAAAAAAAATTAAGACATCCACGAACAAAACAAGCAGCCTTTGTTGGGCTGAAAGGCAACGAGGATTAGGATTTCTTTCAGGAAAATGAATATGTGGTATTTCATGCACTAATGCATTTGAAGGCACAATAATTCATCACAGAGACATATCCTGTCCAGCATTGTTCGGGAATGTGGTGACCATGACAGGAAGATTCGGAAAAGTACAACGAATAATACGTCCAATGGGATTATTTCTGTGCAAACAGAGATACGTTGCATCTAATTTCAGCTCTTCCTACAGTTTGGATATGCAATCCTGGATTGTGCTGTGAGCCATACAAGCAGCCCTGACAGGTGATCAATTACGGGCTAAATTACGCTAACCATATGCTGTAATTTGGGTCCTGCTCACAGTAATTTGTGTTGATCCTTTTGCATTGTTTTCACAATGTTACACTTCTGGTTCTACGACCTATAATTTTAATACTAGCCATTACTGAACCACTGATTATACATCAGTTATCACATGATAATACAATGAGAAGCGCTGGACATAATTTCCGTTCACATTAGTAAAAGGCCACATGTCAAACAGAAAACAGAATGGTGTCCGTGTTGCTCGGGCGGGGAACTTTTCGAGTTTGTTTTTATTTTAAATCATCAAGTGAGGCACCAGTTTCAAACTCTGACCTCATCTGAATTATCCAAGCAGTCATAATCTCCATCGCAGCGGAATCTGGAGGAAATGCACTCTCCGTTTGTGCAGGCGAAGTCTTTGTGGTTGCAGGTGACCGGCTCTGCGTGAGGAAAAGAGCACAAACAACAGTTTAGCAAAATAAACACGCATCCTCTTTTGCAGAAATCAGCCAATTTGTTTCCTTTGTTTAGATCATGCCTCGGTAGAACCTGTCTTTTTATCCATTTAGTCACCATTATGTTTTAGCAACTGGCACAGCTAATCAAAATGTAAACAACTTAATTGCTGCTCTCACTGGAAGGGATGGACGAGTTCTCGTCGAAGCCAAAAAATCGTGTCTCCAAGAAATCTGCCACTTAGCAATAGCACTGTCCCCGAGGACCATGTTAGGATGCAGTTAACAGCTGGATCCGATCCATTGTCTGGACCCACCTCCTTGTTATCATGGACTATTAGCTAACTCAGGGTGTGTGTTATGTGCGGTGCTGTAACAGAGACTCCCAGCAGGCATTGCAGCAAAAATCTGATTTGCAGCCTCTCCATTGTCTCCTGGTCCAGCTGCTTTATGTTCTTTTTTTTTTGTCTTCCTTTCATCCAGCTCTTGACTGGACTGTATTTGCATTTTAAGTGCCATTAATAGGTAAGGAGACTCAGGCATCTAATAAATCATGTAAAATGTGCACACACTGCAAAAGCTCACAGAAGGTATGCATACACTCGTATAACAATTCCACCCCCGCAAACACAAATAAAAGAAGTTGAGCACAGAACAGCGTGTGAGATTTAACAAGGTGGGCTAGTGTTGTCATTTCATGAGTAGATATAAAGTAGCTCAAGAGTCTGAGCCTGACTTTCTCCTCAGAGAAGCAGCTGAGATGATAAGAAAATGAAAGCGAGGGTTGAGTCAGGCAGACGCAGTGTGAGAGTGGAACAATCGCATCGGTGTGGATGCACACCGAGGTGTGTATTTTTGTGGGATAGACGATGTCGGTGGGAAGAGAAGTCAGGTGTCCTCAAGGGATTAAACTCTTTACAGTGCATGCAGAGCATCAGTAGCATTTATAACCAATTCAACAGAGCTAACAGCACGTGACGTTGTCAGGAACTCACTGCAGTTCTCTTCGTCGGAGCCGTCTCCGCAGTCGTTCTGGCTGTCGCACCGCCAGTGGTCTGGGATGCAGTTGTTATTCTCACAGCGAAATTCATGAGGTCCACAGGTCTTTTCATCTTTTTTCATCAGGAACAGAAAAAAACATGGAGATGAAAATGGCTTCATGCAGCATGAATATTAATAGAGAACTAGCTGTCGTATTTTCAAAGTGCAATCATCATTTCCTCAAGGTTTACCAGAGTAAGTCTGGCCCGAAGTTCAAAGTACGGCGTGCATTCAAGGGGCTAATACATCATAAAGCAAAACATCTGACTGTTCCTTTAATCCTAGTCAAAAGATTTGTGACAAGAAGCTGGGTGAAATAGTTTGGATTGAAGGAGACATTTGTCTTAAAATGTAATAGTTCTATAGGCAATACAAAACATGTTTATGAAGTGTTTTTGCAAAACAATCCTTTCAAATAAAGCTATCTTAGCAGTTTTGTTTTGACACTTTCAGTACCTTCCAGAATGAGGCATTTCAGTCACTTTAATGGGATACTAAGCAGTTTTGCTTGCTTTTAGCACCCCATAGTGACCATTATTAAATGTCTGTGGTCAAAGCAAAAGTGAAACTTGTCTCCTCGCTGTGCATTCATCTTTTTAACACCGTAATCTAATTCATCACTAAATCAAGCAAATCAGCTGTGTTCTCCATCTAAAACAAGCTGGAAGGAGACTGCAGTGCCAGGTATGTAAGCTGAATTTTTTCTAAAATCACAGGTAGCGGCTTGGCACTCTGAAATACCAATTGCGGTAATCTGGAAACAGGGGGTGGTAGAGTTCTGAGTGACATTTGATTAACTCTGTAAAGGGTCATTTTAGCACATACGGGCTCAAGAAAATGATTAAAAATATGAAAAAGTTGCAAAATATCCTTTTAAGAAAACAAGTAGGAGCTGACCACGCCCACCCATCCTCCTTCAAGGCTGCTATGAGCTGAGAAGCTGATATCTGTGAGGGGCTCTGAGTAGAGCCGCTGCTTCTCAGAAGCAGCTCGTTCTTGGATATGAGAGGATGTTCTACTGTAATTTTCCGGTTTGTGATGTCACAAACGGGGAATTTATGAAATGACTCATTTTAGGCAGATCATTCCTAAAATCAAGCCTATAGAAACAAGACTGACATGTTTTTTCCACATTTGTTGTGTTTATAGAGGCAGTAGAGACTCAAACGTTTTGCACAATGTCCCACATTCAAGTCATGTTTGACTTTTTGTCAGTAAAATAACAGAATAAATTGATAGTGACTATAAATTTAAAGATAGCCACTTGTTTGTACTTTTTTGTTGTTCTTTGTTTCTGTTGATATATAGGAAGTCTCATTTACACTTTGTGTCATCGATGTGTAATTTATTTACCTTTTACACTCATATTTCCAACTTTATACGTGAGTTTATTATTTCAAAATAAAAAGCCATAAATAAAAATTTTGATAAAAAGGTCTACTAATTGATTGTGCATAGGCACCAATGTAAAGCAGGCTGTCCATTGGTTTAAAGTTGAAAAAGTCCTATCACTGCCCGCTTTTCTACGCACGCACACACACACACACACACACACACACACACACACACACACACACACACACACACACACACACACACACACACACACACACACACTTTGGTGCCCATTTCCTAATTTGTCCTTATCCAATGGGAACCAAACTGAACTTGGCACTTCTACAAAGCGGTTGTCTATGGATCCCTTAGAGAAAGTAATATTATAAACATCTCCATCTTCTGCAAGGCCTAAGGGACAACTTTGAGAAGAAAATAATTTGAAATGATAAATGATGGATAAAATGTCTCCAGAATATGACGTTCATTAGGAAGATGGTCCTGATGAGGGGTTTTGTGAATATGGCTCCCACCTTTAGTGACAGGTTGGTGTTCTTTGCCTTTTTCCCTCCATATGACCAGTTACTAGTAAATGTAAGTGACCGTGACAACACCCCTGTTTTTCTGAAAAGCTCAGAGATTTTCCACAAGAAGGATTCTGAGCCACATAATTGTGGCCACATGCAGCTGCATAACTCTGCTCACTGGGAACAATACAAAGAAAAATATATTGGATCTCTGCATACAAGCAAATTGTCACGCTGAGAGCAGTAGGAGGTTAGGACCCTAGGTGCAGATTACCCCAGATGACACGAGGCAGGAGCATTTTAAAAATAAATCCTTTATTTAGGCTGATGAACTAAAATATCCAATGGGGCAGGAAGCCAAAAACAAAAATCCTGAATCAGGAGAACAAAAGCTCACATAGAGCACAAAACCTAGAGACTACAACTAAAGCTCACTGAGAGCACAAAACCTGGGAACGAGACACAAAGCTCACACAGAGCACCAAAACAACGCTGACAAGAACAATAGACCAACAAGACACTGAGGCCCTGTCCACACGTAGCCGGGGATCTGCCAAAACGTAGATATTTTTCTACGTTTTGGCCTGTCATCCACACGAAAACTGAGTTTTTTCACACGAAAACGGATCTTTTTAAAAACTCCGGCCAAAGTGAAGATCTGCGTTTTCTCCGTTTTGGGTGTCTGCGTGTGGACAGACAAAACCGGAGTTTTAAGGTCTGCAACGTCACTTTCCGCGACAAAAAATGCTGACATCACGTGTGCGACCTGTGTTTACACTAGCCGGCATCATGGATGCCCTCAGAGCTGCGCTCACTTTATCAACTGTCCAAGCGCTTTCTGCTTGTTTGTTTTTGCAAGCGGAATTACTGCTCCTTGTGGAAGACCACAGACGAAGGACGAGGTTCAGAACGGGGGAAGTACTGCCGCCTACAGGTCTGGCATGTCCTTAACAACGTATTTATCCGGGTACGTGTGGACAGAGTTTTTTTTTAAACGAGGTGGTGTGGATGCAAGTTTTTGGAGGGGCGGATATTCGTTTAAAAAAAAACCCGGCTACGTGTGGACTAGGCCTGAGACAAGACAGGGCTTATATACACTGGGGTATGATGGGAGGCAGATGGGCTGCAGGTGTGTGGAGAGAGAACCAGGTGAAAGCAATTAACTAATCAGGGAGGAAACTAACATGACCTAAGAGTAAAGAGTAAAAAACCTAAAGACAAGATGAGCAGCAAAATAAACTAATATTCTAGGGGGGAGGGAAACTACAAAAACCTGTGGAAAAAACATACTAAAGAGACTAATAAAAAGAGAAGCTGAACCTATAAAAAACTACAGAGGGGTGACTGGGGGAGACTAAAGGGACACAGGACCTGGGAGAGACATCTGGAGGGCTGAAGACCAGGGGACACATGAGGAACACAAAAGTCTCCTTCAGACAGGCCATGAAAAACGGAAATGTTCCGGACTCTGTCCGTAAGACCTTTGTGTCTGAATACAAACATCCGGATAACGTGTTCCAGAATTTTACCGGACGAAGCCCCTAGTAACAGGTCCGGACTTGTTACGGACAGGGTGGCTGCTTCAGACTGGTGAGGTAGAGTTCTGGACGGGGGCGGGGGGGTGGGGTGGGGGGGGGGGGGACTGCGGGACGCTGTGCGCACCTAGATAGCCCGCTGCTGTAGCATGCGGCGAACCACGGCAGCTCGCCTCCTACGGTACCGTCTAGACGCACGACGGAGCGCTTCACACCGCTTCAGTGATTCCTTTAACCATTGAGCTTCATCATCCAGGTCTCTTATGCGTCTTCGTGTGCGCAGAATTATGCTTAAGCGCCTCGTGATTTTTATCTTGAGAGGCGCTATAGAAATGATATTTTCTTCTTCTTCTCCTTCTTAACATAAGTCCGATTCTCCCCCCCACCCCACCCCCGCCGCCGTCAGACATCTGGAACTTTTCCCTGCTGTGTGAACACAGCCGAAAGGACAAGTTCCGGTACAAAAGTGGTGTGTCTGAAAACACAGTTCCGGTTAAAAACCAGATTGAATTGTCCACAAATGTTCCAGAATGTCAGTCTGAAAAGGGGGGATCGGACTTATGTTAAGAAGAAGAAGAAGAAGAAGAAGAAGAAAATATAATTTCTATAGCGCCTCTCAAGATAAAAATCACGAGGCGCTTAAGCATAATTCTGCGCACACGAAGACGCATAAGAGACCTGGATGATGAAGCTCAATGGTTAAAGGAATCACTGAAGCGGTGTGAAGCGCTCCGTCGCGCGTCTAGACGGTACCGTAGGAGGCAAGCTGCCGTGGTTTGCTGCGTGCTACAGGAGCGGGCTATCTAGGTGCGCACAGCGTCCCCCGGTCCCCTCCTCCTCCCCCTCCCCCTTGTCCGGAACTCTACCTCACCAGTCTGAAGCAGCCACCCTGTCCGTAACAAGTCCGGACCTGTTACTAGGGGCTTCGTCCGGTAAAATTCCGGAACACGTTATCCGGATGTTTGTATTCAGACGCAAAGGTCTTACGGACAGAGTCCGGAACATTTCCGTTTTTCATGGCCTGTCTGAAGGGGGCTAAGGAGACACATGAGGGAGACGCAGACACAGACCATGACACAAATAAAGCGAGTGAATCCAAGCTATAACTTGCTTCTACTGATGTGAACACTTTACTCTGAAAACTAAATCACTATAAAATTGTGACCAGAATAAGAATTATTCATAATTAATTTGTTAATTCTAGAATAAAAATTAAAATTAGAGCATCTTTTTTGCAAATGCCTTCTAAGAATAAGTTATTAGAGTGAAAGTGAATCCTGGGTTAGGTTTTGCTGTTAGGGAGGAGATGTGTCATAAGGAGAGGCAGACAGATTCTGCCTGGATCTATTTCCAACGTGATGGCAGGAGGAGGAAAAGCTGAGAGCAACAACAAAAGAAAAGTACACAAGACAGCAATTCATTAAAAAGCAGCTCAGACTACAGTGTTCAAAAACGTGAAGAAGCGCGGAAATGAGTATTTTCCTTTTAAGTCAAAATTTAATAAGGTGGCTGGGAAATCTTTAGACTGTCTCAGGTGTTTCAAGTTAAATATCTTCATGTTTATTTTCCTCTGAGTCAGTAAAAACTATTTAGATGGTGGCATAAATAAATAAATAAATAAAATATCGGTTTGGTTGGCTAGAGTCACTAAAGTGTCACTGTTAATACAGAGTCTTCTAAAGTTAACTGATGTAAAGAAAAAAATATATTTTTAACAAACTTAGAATTCAACGTGTGAGAAATGGATGAAGGGGAAAATAAAGAGAGGATGGTGTTCACTTAAAGTCAGGAAACATCACTTGTGTTGTGACGGTCACATGATCACAGCCAGTCAGAAAAAAGGAAGAAAAAAATACAGATTTTAATATTTTAGCAGCTTTTCTGAACGCAGCTCAGATGCAAAGGCAGGTGGTGTGTTTTACTTGATTTTCTCATTAATGAAGACATTTAAAGACGGTAGAGCAATCTGTTGGTTTTCTTTACTTGTCTTTCTTATTTATTAGCTGAAATCTGGATGGACGCTTCATCATTTAGAAACACACACAGATCTTAAAGGCCAAGTTCACTCGTTTTTTCAACACATCTGAAGTGGTCTCTAGTTTAAATGAAAGCCTTGAGTCAATCTCTGAGGTAAAAAAAAAAGGCTCTGGCACTCATGTTTCAGGAAGTAGAGGTGAGCAGGACACTTTCCTTTTTCTGATATTTGGACATCTGGCCTCTGATTGGCTAATAGCAACACAATTCTACCACAGACTCTGATTTGCAACGTTGACATTTTATCCCCAGAAATAACACAAGCCTGAAGGGGTTTCACGGTGTGGTGGTGTTGCTAATGCTAATGGTTAGCTTCTACTAGCTGTGACGCACCCTTCCATCTCCTGGATGCTGAATCAAATGTCAAAGCCCAGTGTCAAAAATAAGTGCTTTCCTGGCATCAAAATGTGTCTTTGAAAATTCTTGGACATCAAATGTGCAATCCATGGCACCTACAAACAGGCTTAAAAATTACCTCATCAGCTCACGGACTCCTGTTAAATCTTTTTAGCAAAAGTTGACCCATGGTCCGGTAATAGATTGGCATGACTTAGGCTGGAAATATACTTGCTGATTGCAGATGCATACACGCGTTTAAAATGGCTGCCTCGTGTAGCTAGCATTGCGTTCTCTACTGTGTACCCTAGTGGAATCCTGCAGTGCAGTGCAGCAGCAAGTATGTGAACAAAGATGTAGCCTGCTGCCTGAGTCATCACGAGTGTATTACCAGCCTTGGGCTCCCTTTTTGACAATGTGATGTGTGTTACAGCTCCTGTGTTCCCACTGTGATCAGCACTTTGGACAGCGCCTGCAAGCTGCCACTTTCCTCTCCAGCATTGATCCAGCCTCCACTTTCAGCACCAAGGAGAGAGACATGCTGCTTTGCAGGTCCAGCTGAAGCACAGGAATCTGCAATAATCCAGTTCAAGACCTCAAAAGGCTGAGCGTGTCAGTCATTTAGGGGCCCAGACCCATTCTGTTGTCCCCTTGGCTGTGGCTTGGTTTGTATTAGAAGAACTTGTTGTTGGAGAACTTATGATTTGTGACTCTGCTTAGTTTATTGTTATCCTTGTTTTAGTAACCTTAGATTTCCTGTTTTCGTGTAGAAGAGTGATTTTAGTTAAGAGCCTTCCTGTTTTGTTTTAAGTTATTGCAGCTGTGGCTTTATCCAGCATTTCGTGTTTAGGTAATTAGTCAAGTTGCATGATTTTCACCCAGTGGGTTACATTTCTGTTATTTAGTATTAGATACAAGAGAGTTGTTTTTGTTTGTTTTACCGCAGCGCCTCTTCTTATTATGGGAGTGAACCTGTGTTATAATAAGCATTTTGTTAACTGCTAAGTCTTGGTTCATTCCTTTAATTTCCTCCTTGAACTCCTAGACTGGAGGGGGTGTAACAACGAGGAACTGTCAGGCTTTTCTAATCCGAGGGTTTCCCCATCTTTTTCTATAAGCAGCTAATGCAGGAAAGAGGGGTAGAAGGCCATTTTTATGTCAAGCCTTAATGTTAAACTCAGTGATCGATCACATTTTAAGAACAATTTAAAAAATGGTATCTCAGTGAACTTGATCTTTAGGATTACACATCTGCATCCTTCCATGTGTGCCTGGAGCCTGCACATGTCCTTTAAGCTCTGAGTGAATCTGAGAGCCAGTTAAAACATCGAGTCATCCTGAGTCACACCAGAGTGCAGCCAAGGGTGAAATGAATTCAAAATCCATCAGTTTCTTGCAAACAAATCAGGGATATTTCTGGTAAAGTGGGATTCCGCAACTCACCACAGTTAGCCTCGTCTGACCCGTCTGCGCAGTCGGGATCCTCGTCACAAACCCACAGTTTGGAGATGCAGTGCATGGAGGCCTTACACTGGAACTGGTCAGGGGAGCAGGTGCTTTCAGCTACATCCAGAGAAAACATAGAGTTGCATATTTGATCATTTGTCTGCAGAAAGGCCTGAGTCATCATACGAGGTGACTGTAATGCACGAGGCAGGGAGGAGTCACATTATGCCTCCCAAACACCTCCTTTGCCCCCATTTCCAGTGGTATATTACAAGGTTGCAGTTTCTACACTTTTATATGACTTGACATGGTTTCAAATAGCATTTTAATTTTCAGTGGTGCAGTGTTCATTACAAAAGGTGCATTCAAAACCACATCCAATCATGGTGGAGGTTTAAGCAGGGCTGAAGTAATTAGTTTCACTTTAATTAAAGTTTTTTTTTTCTTCCGACTGCAGCTAACTTTCCTCCAGCCTCCTTCCCTCTCCCTCACCCCTGCGGTTATCATATATAAGTCGAGCAGTCAGAGAGACTTGAATGGGTGTGATATTCTGATGAGATACATCATTGCAGACAAAATCCGTTCTTATCCTCTGTGTGATTCAATTTCTAATCCCTTTTCACAGGAGCAAGCCATAACAGGAGTTGGCTGTGGAATACCCAATGTAGACTGTAATCCGAATGTGCTCTGATGTGCTGTTCAGCCGTACACATTAGCTGATTATAGGGGAAAAAAAGCACATTTAAGGTGCCTCTTTTGGGACCAATGGTGACCCCAAAAAACTCTTAAAGTTTACATCCCTGCTTTTATTTACACAATTTCACATCATTTATTGTAAATTTCCTGCCGTATTGTTTTTTTTTTTCCTTTTTTTTGGGGGGGGGGGGGGGGGGGTGTTTTGCTTTAGTCTTTGTGTGGACATGCATACTCGTTAACCTTTGACTGCAGCTGGTATAACTGAGTCCCCCCACTGTGAGACAAAAAAGGATATTTCAATTCTATTCTACAGGGAAGCATTCGTCCATCCGTTCATCAAGACAGCGCACACAACAGTGAGACTGACTTTGACTGATAGAGTGCGTTTACATGCAGCCAGTAACCCTTTAAAAACCCGAATATTCACAATAACCCGGTTCCGCAGGTCCATGTAAACACCGCCGAAAACCCGGATATGCTCAACCCGGTTACTACACCTGGGGTAACCCTTTTCTAACCCGAATGTTTGGTCGTTTAAACGCATACCGGGATATCCCCATCAAAGCGTGTGTTCTGTGCATGCTCTGTTCGCAAGGAATTTTGGTCTTTTGAGTAGCGAGACGTCTTGTATGCGCCAGAACACCGGAAGTAAACAACAAGTTGGGAGCAACATGGTGAGTCGCGGCACAGCACCACACTTTTGGAGTGATGAGGAAACTAAAGCACAAGCAAACGCGGTCACCATCTCTTCCGAACTGGGAAACATGTTGTTGTTTTCACAGATACCGGAACAAGAAGAACCGGAAACGAGGCATATTGCATCTGGATGTAGTCCATACGTCCTGACGCTACCCCAACGTCCGCATTTAAATCGGGTTATGCAAGTTAGAGGTAACTCTTTCTATTTATGCTTGTAAACGGGTTATTCTGATCAACTCAGAAACCCGAAAACCGACCTTAACCCGATCATAACCCGGATATTGGCTGCATGTAAACGTAGTCATAGAAAGCTGGAGAAAGTGCATACAGGTGTGTACCAGCTCAGTTAAACACTGAACATGATTTAAGACAATGAAAGTGTAAAAACAGGTCCTTACGACAGTCCGTCTCATCCTCTCCGTCCCCACAGTCATCCTGACCATTGCAGCGCAGGTTGAGGGGAATGCATTTCTGTTTCCTGGTGCACTTGAACTGTCCTGACAGGCAGATGTATGTCTCTTAAAAAAGAAGGTGGAAAAAAAGTCAGCAAACTTTGACACTGTAGTTATTGTGTCTGAATCCAGAGGCTGTAACCTTGAGTACACATATAAAGACCCAATATGTCACAACAAGGTGACCAGGGGCATGTCCAGGCAGTGGCCTGCGGTAGCACATGCCACCCTTGGAATATGAGTGGCCACCCCTTCGAGTTCTGTCCACAAAAAGGCTGGGGTTATAAACTCCATAACAAAGGTGGCAGCATGCACCTTTAACATTGGTTTCTAGCCTCGGCCAATACAACATTTTTGTATTTTCTTTACCACTATTTATTATTTTTTTATGGTGACATGAATAGTAGAGTGCTGGTTCCAGTCCCACTGTACTACAGTAAGCAGCAGTGATGCACCAAGAAGTGGCGTGTCAACCACAGCTCAAAGAAGAAGAAGAGATAAAAATGGCCATGGCACAAAGTGGAACTCACAAATACCCTAAAATAAAGCCTGTGATCCCAGACGCATCCATCCTGTTGGAGGCTTGTGAGTCCTTGCTTGTTTCTACTGTAAACAGCGCGCTCTGGGTGTGTCCGAATCCACACGAAGGATTCTTGTAAGAGCGCATTTTGAGGTCGATGACGTCACAGCGCAGCGACGAGTACTGTCCAAATTCCAAGAATACTCATTCTCGCGTCCTCGCTCCGCCCACATTTAGAGGACGGGTTTGTTGTATCCTCACAGAACAAGGCTATCCCAGCATGCTTTGCACAACGGCTGTGGATTTTCAACAGGAGGAGAAAATGGGGAGAGGTACGAGGTTTTGAACATAAGTTTGTTAAAAACTAGCCGAAGAAACATAAAAAACTTAAAGCGGTTCAGTTTATAGATATTTTGCATTTGTATGTTTGTTTTTTAAATTACATTTTAGGCAGAAATCAGCCAGAACGAGTTTGTTTCGCTGGTCCCAGTTATTCCCATTTGTGTGTGTGGGTGTGTGTGTGTGTGTGTGTAGCAAATTAAACTTGACATTTGTTTTAAGGACAACGGAGCAAAGAAGCGTTTTTATTAAGCTTAGAGGTGAAGCGTGAAGCTGTTTACACACAACCACAGAAGTTCTTTTGTGAAAAGTGGTTTTAGCATTCAGGGATTTACAGCTGACACGTTTTAATGAAGTAAAAAGTTTGTGTGAAGAATAAAAGTTTTATCTTCTCATGTGGATAGATGTAAAAATGTGTTTATTGCTTTTTTGTCACCTGTGATCTGGTTTTCTCTGTTTAGGACTGCAGGTGTCCAGGGTCGGGAGAGGCTTTACCTGGTGGTCATCCTGGGAGAGAGGCCTTCTGCTGTCATCATGTTAATGTTATTTAGCTGTTTGATATTTGAACATATTTATTAAAACAAATACTAACTGATAACTCTTTCTGGTCATTGGTTTTGAGTCGCTTTGGACAAAAGCGTCTGCTAAATACATAAACATAAACATTTTATCACCAGTTTTATTATTACAGATGTTTTTGAACATGTTACATGAACAGAAAATGAAAAGATGGTAAGGAGACAAGATTATTTATAAAAGGTTAAACTTATTTACAGATCAAAACCAGTATGGACCAGTTATGTACGGTTAAAGCAGGATTAACCTGAGTGACTCTTCCTGACCAGTATGGACCAGTTATGTACGGTTAAAGCAGGATTAACCTGAGTGACTCTTCTTGGATCATTTATTTTAAACTGAGTGAGCAGGAAGTATTTAACAGTGCAGCTGGATCTGCTGCAGGAGGACCCAGGCGTGGATGGAGGGCTGGAGCAGACCCGTGGCTGGACGTTTCTGGTCAGAGCATCGGCTCTGAGTTTGATGGGTGTCAGTCATATGCCCCCACCCTCACAGCCCTGCTCTATCAGCTCCACTTTAGTATGTTCCAGGTGTTGATGCAACACATGATGTGGTTAAGATTGCGGTGGTGGGAACCGCCCACCAGGCTTAAATAGTGTATTCGGGGCAGCAGTAGCTCAACAGGTTGAGCGGGTTGTCCAGTAATCAGAAGGTTGCAGGTTCGATCCCGGCTCCGGACAGAGAATTCTGCTGTTGTGTCCTTGGGCAAGACACTTAACCCACCTTGCCTGCTGGTGGTGGTCAGAGGGACCGGTGGCGCCTGTGCTCGGCAGCCTCACCTCTGTCGCCTCTGTCAGTGCGCCCCAGGGCAGCTGTGGCTACATCGTAGCTCATCCCCACCAGTGTGTGAATGTGTGTGTGAATGGATGAATGATACACTGTAGTGTAAAGCGCTTTGGAGTCCTTACTCTGAGAGGCGCTATACAAGTGCGGGTCATTTATTATTATTCTACAGCTGACATCACCATGCAAGTGCTGATGGCTGCTAACGCTAGACAAATGAATCACATTGACCAATGAAAAACAACAGGACTGAAGCACGTGGACATCGACAATAACAACCCGACAGACACACAATTCTAATTTAAATGCTGATAGTTACTCGTTACGCACAACGCTCAAGTAGTTTTCTTATTTTTACTCTTGGGTTATTATCGGTTACTACTTGTTACTTACCACCCACCTCTGTTCTAAAGCCTTTATCGTCCATGTTTGGATGCTGTCCGACATCTGAGAGCGTTGCTAGTATCAGCTCACTGTTTTCGAATGTAGGACCTTTCCGACCAACAAACTGAATAGAACAAGTATACGCACACCCCTTGATCTGCTTCACACTGTGAAAATCTGCTCTTCAACATAAATATTGCCACCACTTTGCTTTGTCTGTCTTTAGTTTGACTTGTTTCCCTCTCCACCTGTTTCACGTCGTCACGGACCTTACTCAGCACTGGAACATGGATAAAAAATGTCCCCTCCAACATCTGAGCTGGATATCTAGAGTCTGATTAGATCTCCCCCAACAGTGGTGCTTAGCACCTTCCTATTTGATCACCATTTAGGAGATGAAACTACAACTTTGAGACGAGCGAGCGGAGTGACTCAGACCCATAGGCACCCATACAAAATACACACTGGCTTGCCTAGGGCTACATCCCACAATGCATTGCAATAGTTTGACACAGCCACTTTTTAGCTACTGTAGAATGCCCCATTTAGCTCTTCAGAAACCTACGGGTGACAGCACGGACGGTTCGTCCATATTTCTGCAGTCAGTGATTCATACACAGAGTTATACTTTATTAACAAAAGATCAAATGAAAAGGGAGAAGAATCAAAGCAGCAGTTTGATTAATAAATTGTAAAGATTTATATACAGTGCACAATCAATAGCTGAAAAAAACAACAACCACATTTACAATATTCTCCTTACCACAATTAGCCTCATCTGTGTTGTCACCACAGTCATTTTCTCCATCACAGATGAAAGGAGGAAGGGCACAGAGGCCCGTGCCACACTGAAAACGTCCAGGCTGACATTTGAATTCCGCTGTTCAAAAGCAAATATTGTGCAGTTAGTTTAAAAAAAGAAAACAGTGGCTCAAAGCTCATAATAAAAAGACGTCAATAACATGTTTTCAGTCTCTCATTTGCTTGTAGTTTGCAACAAATTCAATGTCTGAAACAAAAAAAAAAAAAAACGACACTTACGGCATTCCGAAGGTTCATCTGAGCCATCCCCACAATCATCCACTGTGTCACACTTCCACCAAAAGGGGATACACTCATCCGTCCCACAACGAAACTACGTCCAAAGAAGAAAAAAAAGAAGAAAGAATTCAACGTCAACATGCTTGAACTTCAGCATTCTTCAACCAGAGTTGCAATCAATACACAAACATTTCCTTTGCCCTTCATGTCAGTAAAGAACAGCCCATGAAAGTAAAGCAATTTGCCTTCAGGGGAGCCGTGCTTATCAGAACAGAGGAACAAACAACATGATCACACTAAGTGTAGATGTGGGGGGGAAGAAAAATGGGGCTGACCTGACTGGAGGTGCAGTTGGAGAGGCAGGTTTTATTGTCAGCAGCCAGGTAAAAATTTGTGGGACAGGCACATTTGTGTTCCCCACCAGGGGAAAGGAGACATAAGTGGCTGCATCCGCCATTAGCAATCTGGCATTGGTGCTTGGGTACTGGGCAGAAGAGTGGAATTACAAGGACTGTGTATGAAAAAACATTTCCTTCTTGAAATATGAAAAAAGAGGGGAAAAAACAAGGCTTTTTACCTTCAGGCTGGCGCAGGGAGTGGTAGACCTTGATTGATTTGATGGCCTGCCAGGAGTTGAGGAGCTCGATCCCCTGGGCACCGGTAGTCTTGTGTGCACGTCGCAGTGATTTGGACTTCCCATCCGTCCAATACACAAAGTCCTCAAACAAAGTCAATGCCATTACTCCTTGGATGTGATCATAGGACACTGAAGGGGGACACATAGCCATGTTGTTTTTAGGTAAATTCTGTCGTATTTTATTTAACTTGCAGCATGTGAGGTGTGTAACAGCGTCATTATGAACTCCCCCACTGGGATTAATAAAGGTCCTCGACTCGGAAACAAACTTCCCCGGAGACGCACTTAACATGAAGAAAACAAACAAGGAGATCATTTCTCACCAAATTAAACAAATGCTGTCATTTTTAATGATATTTATTATAAATATCACCTCAGGAGATTCACTACTACAAGGGGAAAGAAAAATTACAACTTAGATTCCATTCTTTAGGAATAATAGATTTTCATTCATGAAATCTCTTTATGTACCTTTATGTCTTTGGGTGCCATCCATGTTGGCAAACAGGATGTGGTTATCGTCTGCCCAGTAGAGTCTCTTGTTGGTATAATCAATAGTAAGAGCGGTGGGGTTATAGATCTCGCGGTCAATGATCACCGTTTGCCCTCGGCCATCCATGCCTATACGCCCGATGTGGGGAGGTTCACAGCAGTCTACCCAGAACACATACCTAGACATGCATAGTAGACACATATTACAGTTTAAAAGCGGTACTACAGTATTGTGGTAGCACTGTTTAGGAAACACGTTAAATGCATGTAGAAAGAACTGAGGGAATTAAGAGCATGTACATCAGTTGTGTCAAAAGGCATTTAAACATTCCATGCCTTAAACAAACTGCATGGTATTTTATTGAATTTAAGGCTACAAACCCAGTCTGGGGATCCAAAACAAGGTCTGTGGGGTTCTTGAGACCAGTGCTGACAAGGATGGTTGGGTAAAGTCCGTTAGCTTTAGAGACTTCCAAGGTTTTCCTCTCCGCGTCACACCAGTACAGATTCTTTCCAATCCAATCCACAGCTAAGGCACTGGGAACTGCAGTCCTGTGAACTATCTGTGAATAAAAAAAACAAACAATTGGTTCTAGCGAATCGGTTAGAGTGTGGAATGAGTAATACCATCTTGAATGGGTTCATGTACGAAGGCGGCAGAGGAGTTAAGTGCCCGCCCCGTAACCAGAGGGTTGCAGGTTCGAGCCCCATCTGATGCAATTGTTGTGTCCTTGGGCATGAGACGTAACCCGCCTGTCTGGTGGTGGGGGGAGGCACAGACATCAGATACTTAGATGCCCCGTGGACAGGCGCTGCCTGTTGGAAGCTGCCATAGTGGCCCGGCCACCATCTTGAATGGGTTCCCATTGGCCCCCCGGTGCATTTCTGTCTACTGAGAAAGGCGTCTAGTTTACCCAATTAAAAAACACATTTTATTATGCTTTTTCACTGAATCAGACACATGTTATGGCATGATAATTAAAATATAAATAAAGCTAAACAGAATAAATAAAAATATAAAATCCAAACAGGTAGGCAGGTAAAATAATCCCACATGATTGGTTTTCAATTGTAAGTCAGCAGTAGCAACCTCAGGCTGCACAAAAACAGGCAGATTAGCTAACTCCGCATTGACTCCAGTAGGGTTTGGAGAGTGCGGGACCCATCCAATATGGCGACGACGCTTTTACACTGTCCAGCGCCCCATGTGGTGTCTACGTAGTTATGTCTACAGTTGGAGGGACCAGTGGTGCCTGTGTACCACAGCCTCACTTCCATCAGTGTGCCCCAGGGCAGCTGTGGCTAAAATGTAGCTCATCACCTCCAGCTTGGGAATGTGTGTCCTCTTGGGTGAATGACTGTGTTGTAAAGTGCCTTGGGGGGTTGTAAGACTCTGGAAAGAGCTACATTAAATACAGGCCATTTTTCCATTTACAAAAACACATTAAAAGCATCTGAGCAAAACCATCTTTTAGGCAAATGAAAGATTGTATTATGTTAAATATAAAGCCAATTAGATGTCATTTTCAAGCAGCTATATATGTTCATTTAACATTCTGAACTGAAATAAAGGTGCAGATATAGTCTAGAGATCCTGTCTTTGTGTGTTGCCATGGTAATAACTACACATATGTTCCCCTTGTGACAAAAGGCTTTTCAGAATACTGCAGGGTGGTCATTAATGACCTTAAGCCAGAGACCAGAAGCTGAGAGTTCATTTCAATGTAGTTTTTTTTTTTTTTTGAGAATCTCTCAGATGAGATGGAAATATCTTTCCAGGAATGGTATCCCAAGAAAAGGCCTTTTTTATGCACATTTATAATAAAATACCTGTACATTTGTCCTAATGGCCAGTAGAAATCATATTACAGTGTTAACTTTGTAGGAAGAAAAAAAGGTTTCATTTTTGGAGTTCAGAATCAAAGTTAAAGTTAAAGTTAAAGTCCCATTAGTTGTCACACACACAGGTGTGTGCGAAATTTGTTCTCCGCATTTGACCCATCCCCTGGGGGAGCGGTGAGCTGCAGACAAGCCGCGCTCGGGAACCATTTGGTGGTTTAACCCCCCAATCCAACCCCCTTAATACTGAGTGTCAAGCAGGGAGGCACTGGGTCCCTTTTTTTTTTCAAAGTCTTTGGTAGGAATCGAACCCTGATCTCCCAGTCTCAGGGTGGACACTCTACCACTAGGCCACTATGTATGATTTAATTAGTGTACAGTGATGAAAAGGATATTTGTTTAATACTACTGGGTGTCTAATGGATTTGAAATGAGAAACTACAGTTAAAAATCTTCCATGCTGCTTTTTTATGACTGCAGATGTGGCTGGAATAATGATCTAACATGTGTATGTAAAACGTCCAGTCATTTAACAGAAGGCAACATGTGGATGCAGCTTCCTGCAAATATTAGCAAAAATAAACATCCACATGATTGGATAAAACAGGTCTTTCTGAAAAGTGATGACCAAAAGTAGTTTAAAGGAGCAATATGTAAGAATTCTACAGTAAAATAATCACAAAAGAGTCTAATGTCTCAATCACGTTAGGAGGAAGGGTACAGTGAAACGGATTTCCTTCTCAGCTGCCTGCAGGGTTATCACAGTTTTCTCCTTTCAAAAACAAACAACTAACAGGGTACATAGTCACTAATTAATGAGGTTGCAGAGTTTATACTGAGCTAATGCTGCAGCAGCAGCATTTGTGATTCTTCACCAAGCCCCCACAATGCGGGTCAAAAATTGAAGCAAACCCGGAAATGAAATAAATTGCAGTTCCACCCTCATCCACTGGGGGCTGGTGTCAGAAGCGAGCAAATCCTCATTGACTCCCATGTTAAAAATACCAATTTCACAGCAGAAATAAACATGTTTACAGCCTGGTACCAAAACATGTTTTTGGTTTAAATTATCTAGTTTACACTCATGACAACTCTGAGGGGGGTGAATTTTTTTTCTCACTCTTCTGTTTAAGTGTATTAAAAGCCTAAAATTCTATATCATTAATGAGCATCAGACCCACGTGACCGAAGAGCTAGCTCCGTGGAAAGGCCTCAGTCTGAGCCTCGGCCTCGCCTGAAAACTGTTCCGCCATTTTCAGTCTCTCAACTTAGACCATTAGTTGTAGCGTTTGTGCATTCTTTTTTGGATATTATTTGTGCAATTGTTGGACAAAATGACTTGCTGTGGCGTTAATTGCACTAATAGAGCGTCCAATGAGTCTCCACTTCATTTTTATCGGTAAGTAAAATTATATTTATGTATTTTAGGTCACTGCCGAGCTGAGCTTAGATGTTAACATGTACTGTTTAACCATGAAATTTAAATGTAATAGTGTAAAACCCAGTGCATTTACCATAATGCTGCACTTTAGAAAATGGGTTGAAATATAACATGTTGGTGGAGCTGGGTTCCGACTTTCGGCTTGTGGAGCTCTCGGGAGACCGATGTTTTCCACCCGGTTCTCCCCTCCCCGCAGCTCGGCGCATCTCTGTCTGATCGCGGCTTCTGTCTGCTGCGCGGGCTGACGGCTTGTGGAGCTCTGGGATGGAAACCTTTCCACCCGGTTCTCCCCAGCGGCAGCTCTGCACATCTAAGATCGCAGCGGCGCTTGCCTGCTGTGCGGCTGCCGACTTGTGGAGCTCTCGGGAGACCTCTGTGTTTCACCCGGTTTTACCCAGCGGTCAGCCCGGCGTATCTCTGACTCAGAAGCTCTGGTGTTGTGCACAGCTAACTCCGGTTGTAGCTAGGTTGCTACCTCCATTAGCTTAGCTCCCACCTCTGCGTTAGCTTTGGGTTAGCTTCAGGTTAGCTAGTAGCTAGTTCGACCGGGTGTAGTCAGTTTATCCCAGCCTTACAGCCCCACCCTCAGCTCCACCTCTCTTCCCTTTTGTGGAATTGTCTGGGCTTGACGGAACCTGTGACACGGTCAAAATGGCAGTGGTGGCCACCTCCCATTTTTCTTCAAAAACGTGTTATTGGAGCCTATGGAAACCCATTGTCCAATATTTATATGTTGATGTTCTTCACTGACAGGAAAAAAGTTCAGAGTTGTTTAAAGATCCAACGCCAGTAAACAGGAACGACCCAGAAGTTATTTCTTGTACCCCCTAAGAAGCCACGGAATCTTTTTGTTTTACCCTCTCAGGTTCAAAATAAGTTTTGATAAAAGGATGAACAACTAAGTCCTTCAGAGGTACTTCTGAGTTAAAAAATGCTTATGAAATACATATGTGGAGTAACCAGGTAGGTAGGTTTTAATGTTGCACATCTGCAACGCCTGCCTCCAGAGTGTTAATATCAAGTGAAGCAGGCCAGAGGCTAACAATGAGCTAACAATTCTAATGGTGAATTAGAAGTAAATAGTCAGCTCTAAAAATGTCTGAAGCTAATTTTTCCAAATAGCAACCACTTAATATTAGTGTAATGTATGTGTGAAGTGAATACTGAGTCAGTGGTGGTGTTATACCTCCTTTAATGAGTCGTTTAGAACTATAATAGCAAGCTAACAGCGAGATGGCAAACAACCTCACTTCCTCTAATGCCGGAGTCATACTACCATAATAAGTATAGTAAGTGCACCCTACCATAAAACACCTAAGTGTTAGCACAAGATACGGTGGTATTTATCTACTTATCAACTTACTGTGTATGACTCATCTTTGCCTGTCACCTAGAATCTTCTGTAACTTGAAACAAAAACCTACATGAAATCTAGCAAGGCTTCCTGACGGCTCTGTAAATGTACGTTTTGAAAATCGTCATTATGCCAGCTGGCAGCTAAAGCTAGTGTCTCTCAAACAAGCTTCATCTTTCAATATTTCAGCACCCTTGCAATCTGTCATTAGGAGCATAGTGCAATGTAGGGGCATGATGGATGTGTATTGTCTTTGCCTAAAAAAAATTAAATGTGTCCGCCGACCATTTTTGGACAATGTTATTTAATAAGCAGGAATTTCCATTAAAATGTATCCAAATACAGAAAGAGATCGTGCAAAATGTCAACAAATGTATGCAGACGGACGGACAGACAGACAGATGATAGACAGACAGACGACAGACAGACAGACGACAGACAGACGACAGACAGACGACAGACACAGACAGACAGACAGACAGACAGATAGATAGATAGATAGATAGATAGATAGATAGATGATAGATAGATAGATGATAGATAGATAGATAGATAGATAGATAGATAGATAGATAGATAGATAGATAGATAGATAGATAGATAGATAGATAGATAGATAGATAGATAGATAGATAGATAGATAGATAGATAGATAGATAGATAGACATTTTTGCTGAACATTATTGTTTCTTCAGAAATCTAATATGTTCAGAAGGTTTTTCTTAGCGCTGAGTCACTGTCATAGTTTAATGAACGTCCGTGTTTATCTTATATAACTTGAGAAACTCATTTCCATAGAATGAAGTGAAATGAAAATGCACATTGTACACAATAGTGGACGTGCACAAAACTGACATTTTTCACACTGTCAGGTGTAGCCGAGTATTTTATTGTAACAATAATTCACAAAAGTTGCTTTGATTTGAAATGAAATCTACAAGGAAAGCTCTCAGCTCTCCCATCTTTTCTTCCTCTTGTAGCAGATCCATGGGGGGGGGGGGGGGGGGCAGCTGTGGATATCAGTGACGCTTTAATTAACCTGATGTCAGAAGCTCTTAGAAATGTGTTTCGGACCGTTTGTCCTGCTAAGCTGCAGCAGTGACTAGAACAGAGGTGGTGGAAGTAACATAGCCGAATAAGTCTAATGTCCGTCACACAAATGTTAATGAGGTGTCGAATGGGTGTCCAGAAGGTTTCCAATCATCCCTTGTATCTGAGCTCTGATCCCATGACACTGAACAACCTAGTGATTACACCTAGAACGCCTTTCAAACGTGGGACAAGCCACATATCTCTGAAAGACATTAGTTCTTTTCACAAACACAATCTCATTGCAAATAAACAGGTTATTGTCCACAGGAAAATGATGATAATAATCAATGATGTCCCTTGCCTGCACAGTAGAGCTCCATCACCAATATACACAGGCTCCAAAAAACAAAGTTACTAAGCTGCAAAGTAAGAATTAATTATTGAAGGCAGGGCAGAAATCAAAGTAAAGTCAACAGTTCCTCGGTAAATTGGTACGGCACCAAATCCCAGCAGCTAAATCCTTTAGTACCTTTAGGTCACTCCCATTGAGACGCATTCTGTTGATCTTCCTGCCACTTGGCCTGGTTGAGTCCACCCAATAGATAAATTCCTTCTTGTAGTCAAAGTCTAGGTGGATGATGTTGTAGAGGCCCTGGGAATTGCATAAAGGACAGAAGTGTGTAAAAATACCAGTTTAATTGAATGGAAATGGGTCAAGTTAGGTTCCCTGTGGGAAGGTGAAAATATTAAAGTGTCACTCCCATTGCAAACAGAAGTACGCAACATTTTCCAGAGAATTTAATGACAGAGTTCTGCAAACTTTCATTCCAAATGTTGAATTGAGATGTAGATTTAACTAAGAACTCATTTCTGACTGTGTCAGGTTCAGGGTTTGAACTACGGGGGAGCTAAGGGGAGCCCGGCTCCCCCAAAAGGGTGATGGTCTTCCCTGGAAGTCCTCAACTGACACCCAGGGGGAGCCTGAAAAACGGTCCAGCCCCTCCACTGCTCCGCATTATAATGAAGGTGATCGGACACACCGCCCCCCACCCATCCCGCTTTGCAGCATTCCCATGAGGCTCCCCCGGAAGCCTATGTGTGATTCGAGCCCTGGTCAGGTTCTTATTTACATTTAACACAAGGCAGAGGAGGTTTTGGTTATTAAGACACTTAAATGCTCAAAATTAGGGATGCACCGATGGATCTGCATTTGATCCCAATCGGCCGATAGCGCCCCTATCAGTTTTGATCGGAGTTTTCAAAATAGATCAAAGCAGACCGATCAGGTAGGGTTGTCATGGTAACTGGTGTAGCGGTAAACCCCGGTAAAAAAAAGTTGACAATAATAATAACCGTCTTGTTTTTCAAAAATATATATTATCTCGGTGGGTTTACCGTGGCTGCGGTGTAGGCGCGGTGACCCTTACCAGCCACCGTATCATCTGCTGAAATTGCCGGCGGCACATGCGAGCTTTGTTGTTTACAACCAAAACTTTCTTGAAGCTAAAGCTGAAATAATGGTGAAAGGAGGAGACGGCAGCACTCAGGAGGACATTTTTTATCCCTCAAAGAAGACAAAGTGGGAAGTATGGGCATGTTTTGGATATTTGAAGAATGCCCAGGGAAAGTTGATAGAAGACGGCTATCCTGTTTGCAGCACGTGCAGAAAAAGTGTCTGTGAAAGGCAGCAACGCTTCAAATCTCATGACACATCTGCATGACCATCACCCACAACTCTACAGTCAACGCAAGGCAAGCTAACGTTAGCGTTTTAGCTAAAATACGTGATCCGAGGATTTGGGTCGAGGGAGAATGCAACGAGTTGCTATATAAAGCAGCCGCAGCGCCGCTACCTGCATATAAACCGTGTCGCGGACACCGCCATGTTGAAATGACGCTATGCATTACGGGGTTCCCAGGGGCAGATAAGAGTTGGTCTCTCTCCGAGAATAATTATGAATTTAACAATGATTACTGCCTGATGACATTTTCCCACATCTGCAAAGCTCACTGGAAGGACACAAACCGAGGACAATATTTTCCTGATATAGGGTTTATTACTCAAGTAAGGGTAAAAAAGTATCTGATTAGAAGGCTACTTGAGTACTGAGTATCATCTGATCTAATATTTTTAAAATGATGACATCAAACAGACATGAAATAAGAAGTTATGGGCAAATATTGGTATTTTAAAGACTAAAGGGGAAAAATGTAAACAAATAAACAACATAATTACAAAATAACACATTTTAGGCAAAATTTAGACACAAACTGAGGACAATATTTTCCTGACATACAGGGTTTATTTAATTGTGTGAAAATGTAGCACGTTTAAAAAAAATACTGCGATAATACCGAAAACCGTGGTCATTTTGGTCACAATAACCGTGAGGTTGAATTTTCACACCGTGACAACCCTAATACAGACCATTTTAGATTAGGTTACACTTCCTTTATTCCCAGATTATGTAGTTTGTAGCACTCATTATAATGTTGTAGAAAATTTCTGGCCAATCCACGTGATCGGTATCGGTGATCGGTATCGGTGATCAGCATTCTTTGATATCGGTATCGGTGATCGGCAGCAAAAACCCTGATCGGTGCATCCCTACTCAAAATACAACTAAAAACTATAATTAATGGGGTCAGCAGTCAAACTCTTGCAGTTTTGTGTGACATGGTTTTGATGCACAAGAAATATTGATTTGAAGCCATTTGAAGAGTGGGTCAAGAGCCAGAAGAAGTCCGATCAAAGCAGTCCAGTGAGGTGTTTTCCCTTAACACTGCCTGTCAGACGGCACTACACCAAACAAGTGCCCCCACCCCGCTGCCTCGCACTGTAGGTTCCTCGAAAAGTTGTCAGATAATCCGACAGGCGAAATGAGGCGTCTTCATCAGATCAGCAACACCCTCCCAGACAGGCGCCAAGCGTCCTGGGGGAACCTTTCTGCACTCCAAACATCACTTACAGCAGATAGAGATGAAACCCAAATGTCAGTTTTAACCAAACTGCATGTTTTTATTCATTTAACCTTTTGATAATAAGCTACCAAATAGATTGAGAGGTTCTGATTTGAAGCAAAGAAACAAACAGACAAGCAATCCAAGCTAAAAATAACATTGCATTTGCATCAACACCCATTGATTTCTTGGTGTTCAATTTCTTTCTAAGACAGCACGACGGTAGAACAGAAAGGCGTTGACTGCAGGTCAGCTGACTTTGTTTTGGCTTGTTATCACTATGCCCAAAACACTCATGGGAGGGCAGAGTTTCCATGGAAACACCTGCCACTCTGGCGGCTGCATGCTTGAACGCATTAACATTGTACTTCATGTTGAACACCAAAACTAATTCATTTACTTGCACTTTATTTGTTGTGGATTCACATTTTTTCTTCCATTCACTTTGGTTTTCTGTGGATTTTAATGGAAGGTAATTTGTCAGCTTCTTTTTAAAGACGGAGCTCATTGATTGACCTAATGAATGTTTAACTCCTCGGGGTGTGTGTGTGTGTGTGTGTGTGGGGGGGGGGGGGGGGGGGGGGTATAATATATTTATTTGTGGTAAGTGGACATATTTGTGCTAACAACATAGCCAAAAGATAAATATAGTGATTGATCTGAAATGGGGGTGTACTAATGCATGTTGCAGTAATGTTAGGTCACTCCCACTCGCGTGTCGTGATTCAAGTGAGTGCCACCTGGTGACAACTCTAATACAGATATCAGAGCACATGGCATGAAGAGGTTAATACAAGTGTGAGAGGGAGCTCTGGGCCATGGGAAGGTGATTTACTGTAAATCACAACTCTGCCTTCTGTGATAATCAACCGTTAGATTCAAGCAGCAGTGATGCGACCTAGAAATGACTGAAATATCCTCCCCATTGGCTCCTTAATAAGGAAAAAACGCACCTCTTTTCTCTTCAACAATCAGAACTGCCATTTTTCTTTTATTTTTGTGATAGTGACAAATTAAAACAATAAAATAAAATAAAATACTTAAAGAGGAGCGTTTTTTTCAGGTTACACCATGCAGACGATAAAGGGCCTGATAGAATTAAGACACATGTAGGACATGTCTGTACAAATACATTTGTTCTAATTTTATTTGCCATGTTTAGTTAAATATCACCAATAAAAAAAACCTAACTGTTTACTTTAGTATAAACAAACTTTTCTATTCTAATATTTAGTTTCTGACAATTAGCTCTGATTGCATGCTGTTTGATGTATTTTATATTAATTATTAGAGCAATACATCTATATAATTATAATCTTTTGTGACGATGCAAAAACTGCAGCACTAGCCTTTTATTTTAGTTTTTTCTCTTTTAATCTGTATTTGGCACATAACTGTTATGTACATTTGTTTCAAAAGTTTAGATTTTAATTGAAAACAATAATTCATCCTTATAGCTAAAATACAAATGGGTAGAAAATAAAAAGAGAAAGGGTTAAAAAAAACCGTCTTGCATACCTGTTTCAAAATCGTGTAATTTGAGCCATCCACACTCAGTTTGCGGATCTCGTGGTGGTCCGCCATTATGAGAAAGGGCTCCTCAGCTGGAATGAAGGATCCACAACATTAGGAGTTGCAATGTCATGTAGTAAAAAGTGTTGAGATTGCAAAAGCCATTCTGACCTGACAGAGCTTTGCACGTGTTGGGATTGCGGTCCACAGCTTCGTAGCCGTCCACACACAAGCATCTGTAGGAGCCGTAGGTGTTGATGCAGCGCTGGCTACAAGGAAGGGTCGTGGAGCATTCGTCAACATCCACACAAGTCTTCCCGTCATCTTTCAGGTGGAAACCAGGCCAGCATTTACACTGGCGATTAAAAATAAAGAAAACATTCAAGAGTTACAATGAAACTCAACTACAGGAAATAAAGGGAAAAATCATAATGATTGATTTTTGCAGTGGTCTTTAGAAGGAATTTAATCCTTGTAAGTTGTTTGTTGGGGAAAAAAAACTCCGGTGCACCTATTTGAGGATGTAAAAATCATCCAGGAGAGAAAGCAGCTTCAGATGGTAGGATTTGGAGCCTTATTTCCTGATATTTGGACATCTTGCCTCTGATTGGTTAGCAGCAACACGACTCTACCACTGACTATTTGCTCTGCGACATTGCTGTTTTATCTCCACAAATAACAAAAGCCTGGAGGAGTTCTGCTGTGTGGTGAAGTTGCTAATGCTAACAATTAGCTTCTACTTGTCGAGACGTTCTCTGCTGTTTTCTGGACACTAAACTAACAACAGCCTTCGCCGTCATGAGTCAAGATGGGTGAGTCCATGAATGTTAAGTTACAGTGTGACGTAGCTCTGTCAGACTTTTCAAATCCAAGAGTTTCACCGTCTATTTTCTATCAGAAACAAATGCAGTAGATAGGTGTAGGAGGTGTAGGAGAATACTTTCATGTTCAGCCTACATGAAAAACTCAGTGATAATTTATAACAAATATTAGAAAAAAGTTTCTAAATCCTAAATCTATCAGGAGTTTTAGGTTTGGACTTAAATAAAAGTAAATATTTACAAAAAACTATGTTTCAAATGGACCTAAACAAATTTCTTATGGGAGTAGCAAATAAAAATCAGGTTAATCTTCATCTCTGAGTTATGCTTAGGGGTTAAGAGTTCGCCCAGTGATTGGTGGGTTAGGGTTAGGGTCTGAACCCATGCTCCAGGAGGCATGTGAGTCGTGTCCTTGGACTAGACACCTCACCCTCCATGTCTGCTGGTGGTTGGAGGGACTGGTGGTGACTGTGTACTGGAGTCTCACTTCAGTCAGTGTGCACAGGACAGCTGTGGCTACAATGTAGCTCATCACCAAGTGTGTGTGTGTGTGTGTGTGTGTGTGTGTGTGTGTGTGTGTGTGTGTGTGTGTGTGTGTGTGTGTGTGTGTGTGTGTGTGTGTGTGTGTGCGTGGATGAATGATAAAGTGTAAAGCGTTTTGGAGTCCTCTGACACCGATAGGCCCTATTGCAGGTCATTCATCTTGTATCATATGCTGCATTTGCTGTCATCTTGTAGCCTAGTGAACTAGACCAAATTCTTACTTTGCAAAGTTTGGTCTAGGCATGCTCCATTGGAACCTCAGCAGCTCCTACCAGGACTCTGGCTAGCCAATCACAGCTCTCTAGAGGGGTTTCAAACACATAAAGAGCTGTGATTGGTCCATAATGGTGGGCCAATCATAGTGCTCTATCTGCTTAGTGAACAAATCACAGAGCTTTATCCGCTTTGTGGGCCAATCAGGGCACTCTATATGCCTGGTGGGTGGGATGATGCAGCAGAGTGAAACAAGAGTATGTCACATTCATTGTCCAGTGGAATGCGGAGATCATTTGAAAGACAACGGTAGAACCCGCCCCACAACCGAGAGCCGTCAATGGAGCGTTGCCAGACTAAGATTTAGTCCACACGTAGCCGGGGTTTGTAAAAAACGAGTATCCGCCCCTCCAAAAACTTGCATCCACACCACCTCGTTTAAAAAAAAAAAACTCTGTCCACACGTACCCGGATAAATACGTTGTTAAGGACATGCCAGACCTGTAGGCGGCAGAACTTCCCCCATTCTTAACCTCGTCCTTCGTCTGTGGTCTTCCGCAAGGAGCAGTAATTCCACTTGCAAAAACAAACAAGCAAAAAGCGCTTGGACAATTGATAAAGCGAGCGCAGCTCTGAGGGCATCCATGCTGTCGGCTAGTGTAAACACAGGTCGCACACGTGATGTCAGCATTTTTTTGTCGCGGAAAGTGACGTTGCGGACCTTAAAACTCCGGTTTTGTCTGTCCACACGCAGACACCCAAAACGGAGAAAACGCAGATCTTCACTTTGGCCGAAGTTTTTAAAAAGATTCGTTTTCGTGTGGATGACAGGCCAAAAAGTAGAAAAATATCTACGTTTTGGCAGATCCCCGGCTACGTGTGGACAGGGCCTAAGTAATACATTTATTTAGTCTGGCTTGAAAGGCTAGTAATCTTGATTACTGAGGGTTAAAATCCCAGTTACAACAAAATAAAGCATCAATTAAACATGAAACTACTAAATGTTAAGGACATTTCGCCTTTAAAATTAGCAGTTCAAATAGCTACCCTCAAAAATCCTAATAAAAGTAACCCCACTCCAAACGTCGCAATTAATCAGGTCCATACATGGCAGAAATAACAGTTCCAGTCTGAGGCAGCTCTATTTAAGGTCAGTACATTTCAGTTCAGACTGAACATTTCAGTTCAGACTGTGTCAAAAAGGAAGTCCAACATCAACGTCAGAGATGTTTCATTATAAAACCACCTCTTAAGAAAACTTCTATCATTCCAGGGAACGGTGATGTGATCTCGTTCTGCGTAAGCTGTCAAGCTAACAACCATATTCTCCCTCTAATACTAATAATAAGCCTTTCTGAGCCTAGTCTGTGTCCACGTGGGAATTTTCCTGGTAATGCTGAGGTATAGTTAAGAATAATGGAGCTGAATGCCTCGCTTCGCCCCTTTTGATGACATTTCCATCTGGACCATAGTCTGATGTTTCATCAAGGTTGCACAAAAAGAGCTGGTCTCATTCAGATGAGGTGTACATTTACAACTGTGCTCCAAAACCAGACAACAAACACTCTCAATGTTATTCGACGTCTCAAAAGCTGTACACCTGTCTCTTACCCAGAGTTATGATCTCAACAACCTTACTGTTGATCTTCCTGTTCAGGTCTCAAATGCATGAGCTGGAGGTCTGCATCGACGTGCTCTCTGCCCACATTTGCCCGTCATAACAAGGAAGAGCGGTTTGTCCTCCTGTGCACGTTTTTCATGCAATAAACGGCAATTTATGGAGAAGCAGGGAAGTGAAATCAGAGGATGAATACATTAAACACACTTGTGTGTGACAGCTGGTGCAACCGTCAAAACAGTTGAGCGTTTGTGGCCTTGACCTGGATCTAACCTGAATATCAAAATGCCACAGCTGCCAGAAGCAGCACAAAGATGGCGCCCAGACCGTTGCTACGGTTAAGCCACCCCCACACCCACTTACAGCTTTCAAGGTTAAAAAGTGAGAGACTACATGCATATATGCTACCACCCATCTTTATCTGTTTAATGATGTGCAAAGTTAAACTTGATTTATCATCAGTCATTAATCATTCATGTCCACACTGCCAGTGATCTGAGCTCCACCTGCTACTGAAACGGGAATATGGCTGCTGCTCAGCATAGCAGGTGAGGAGAGTCTTTTAATTAAAATCTTGCACTGTTGTGATCCACTTGGATATTACAGTGCAGGTCAGAGTGGGCGAAAAGAGGCGTATTACAGCAGTGACTTATATGTACAAATTTATTTTGCTTACAGACTTTGCAGTCAGTGGTAGAGTCGTGTTTCTGTTAGTCAATCGGGGCGAGATGTCCAAATATCAAGATATAAACTCCAAATCTCACCGTCTGTTGCCACTCTCTCCTCCGGCTGACTTCTACGTGCTCAAACACGAGCATTTATTCCCAAGAGTGCACCTTACAAGGCCTTCACTTCTACTAGAAACCACTGCAAATGTATTAATGAGTAAACTTGATCTTTAAAGATTTTTAAAGGACCTGTATCAAGTCATTTTACTCTTTCCAGAGCAACCATAGGCACAGTATATGATATGATATCACTGGCACTGTTGAGATGTAGTTTTTCTTTAAATAATAAGTAATTTTTGTGAGCCATTCCTGAAATATGGAAATGAGACACTTGGATTTGATGAAATTCCGCCTCCCCCTGTGTGAATTCCACCCATTTCCTAACATAACCCAATAAACATATCAGCCATGGTGAATAGAAGCACCAGGACATTTCCCAGTGACCAACATGTCCCACTCAACGATTGCTGGTTAGTAGAGTCTATAAGAAAAGAAGCAGCTGAGACATAAAAATTCATGCTTGAAGCCAAGAAGCGCATTGGGGGTGTTTTTTCAAGAGGAAATAACATTATGACAAAGTCAAAAGCTCCAAAATGTGGATTTTGCATGGTATAGTCCCTTTAAGATTCCTTAGGGATTACTTAGGGACCCTACAAACTACAACTAGTAACTTACCTTGAAGCCCACAGCAAGATCCTGGCAGTCCTGTGTGCACCCACTGACTCTGCGGTTCAAACACTCGTTCACATTGCAGTTCCTCTCGTCTGATCCGTCTCCACAATCGTCTTTCCCATCGCACAGGTTCCACTCAGAAATGCAGCGTCCATTGGAGCACATGAAGAAGGAGCCATTGCACAAGCTTCCTGAACAGAACAAAAGATGGCTGTCACTGGCACAACGCCCTGTGATTTCCCAACAAAGCCTGAAAATGGTAGTGACCCGATGCTGGATCTTGACAAATTAATCCCTTTCAAGGTACATCTCTCCTGTTTGTATCGCCTTTTCGTTCCCCGTATAATAACCCACCGGTTTCATTGGCGAGCGGCACTGCTGGTGACACTGATGAAGAGATTCTCACTGAGAGCTAAACAGCGGCCTTACCTGCAGCAAGGCATTTAAGGTTCAGTGGCAGCTCGTCGGAGTGATCGGGACAGTCTGCATAACCGTCACACTCCCACTGAGAGCTGAGAAGACAGCGGCCATCCCTGCAGCGAAACTCCTCTGATCCACAAGGGCGGTAGACTAAAGAGAAAAAAGAACAAGAGCCACTTTCTCATGAAGTTACACTTGGACTTGTCGGTGGCACACACACCCTCAGCTCTGGGTTAAACTTCAGTAGAGTCAAGAGTCCATTGGCTCTACAGGCAAAGGTTTCCATGGCTGCTGTTGATACCATAAAGTGTAAACAGAATCATTGCTGATCAACAATTCAAGCCATCTGGAGGTATAATGGTATTCACAGCTGCACTGGCCAATGTTTTCAAGAATAAATATGCTTTTCGTCAGCCGGTCATGATAAATCAAAGCTGCAACAGAGAATTCCTTCCACTTGAGACACTGCAAATAGTAAATGTCCAAATAAAACTGGAGTGTCAGCATGTTTACAAGCATTAGGACAAATGCAGATTGTGTCTATGGACTGATGCATAATGAACCAGCTGAATAAGGAGGAATCTCGCAATCCTTTCAGTTTAACGTATTGATTTCTCTTTTACTTTGAAATAAAAAGTGGTTGCATTTAGTAATTTGGCTTTTTCAATGATCTTTGAGCTTTGTAAAATCACTTAAAATTTTGTAAATTATTATTTTTTGTATTAACATGTAGTATTAATATGGTAAGCATTGGTTTCACAGAGTTGTGCTAATCAGCATAGACCTTTGGAGCCATTCCTTTACTTAAGCTCCAAATCTGACCAAGTTGTCACACAGCTATCAAGCTAGCCGTCTACGACTACTACTGAAGTCAACCCTGACTCACAAACTTGCCGACTGCAGCTTTCAATGGTAGCATATTCATATATCACAGAAAAATATTGAGCAAGAGCGCAAGATAAATCTACTTGCCACATTCCACGGACTCATCAGATCCATCCCCACAGTCATTATCGTGGTCACAGACGAATCGCTGAGGGATGCACGCTTTGTTGTGGCAGCGAAACGAGCTGTCATCACATGTGTTGTTGGGTGCTGATGAACGAAAAGAAATGAATACATGAACATTCATTCCTCTTCATGGTATGGAATATGTCTGAAACATGTAATTTCACCAAAGGCAAGATGCATTGGAGTGCATTTCCACGGTTAAAAAGGCACAAATTAGGTCTCTAGTTATCTTTTTTTGTATTATTTCTCAAAATTTACATTTTATCTTGTCATGCATTGAAATCAGATGTATTTTTAAAATACAATCGATAAATATGGATGCTCGATATTGGCTTTTTTACTGTTATCCGATATACCGATAAAATCTAACTCATAATTTCCTATACTGATTTACCTGGGGTCCCCACTCATAAAAACGAAAAAAACAAAACCATCAAGTTTACTAATACTACAAATCTTCTGCATGCATGCTTAAAATGGATCTGTGAAATATGACAACTGTTTAAACATGTTAATTGGTCATCAACAGCTGCTGTATCACAGCACCCCTCAGATAATCCTGATTAACACTCTGTGACACCCTTAGACTAAAAATAATTATTAAACTCATGATGGGAATATGTTAAATTAATAAGTTTATATTTATATTACAAGTAAATTCATATTAAAAACTAGTGATATGACATTTTTGGGCCGATACGATATTCAATATTAAGATCACTGTTATGGCCGATAAATCGATATTAAGATCACTGTTATGGCCGATAACCGATATTTGCCAATACCGATATACTGACATTACTGCTTTGAAAATCAGCAGATTTTGTATAGAATAAAAATTATTAAAGCTGAATTTTACATTATTATGTACAAACACCACACACATTTACAATCCTGAGATGATTACAATCACTGTAACATGACTAAGCAATTACACACACACACACACACACACACCACCCCCACCCCCACCATCTGAAACAGGCAAATGAATGGAGACAAGATCGAAAAAGTATCGGTTGTTAATATAAACTGATACCGATATTTATGCCGATATATTTTCCATCCCTATTAAAAATGTTAAAATACTTTAAGTAGGGATCTCCATTGTTATTCATCCACCATTGACATCAGCCAATATTGGAGTAAAAATTAATATCGGAAAATCTCTTTTTTGGTTTTCAGTGTTTTATTGACAACTTTTATCATACACACATTATATGTCACACTCCTCAGCTACTACTCAAAATGTCTCAAAAATTTTGAGGAAACAGTTTCAATACCTCAATTTGTTTTGCTTTGAAACAATTTTTTTTAAAGTTTTCAGAAATTAAATTTCTTAATAAACTTAACTCAAGTTTTGAGTTCAATTCAATTAAAACTGCTCAAGTTAACTGAAAACAAAAAAAAAAACATCAAGAACTAAACCTCAGATCTTTCATACTTAGACATTTTGGGAAGTAATTGAAGACTTTGGTAAATGGCCTGTATTTGATATAGCGCCTTCTAGAGTCCTGGAACCCTTAAGGCACTTTACAACACAATCAGTCATTCACCCATTCACACACACATTCACACCTTGGTGGGGATGCGCTACGATGTAGCCACAGCTGCCCTGAGGCGCAGTAACAGAGGTGAGGCTGCCGAGCACAAGCAACCCCGGTCACACCGACCACCACCAGCAGGAAAGGAGGGTTAAGTGTAGGGCTGCTCAATTAATCAAATTTTAATCACGATTACGATCTGAGTTTTGAACGATTATAAAAAACAAAGCAAGCCGATTATTTGCTCCTCCCGCTTGCGCTGCCCTGAGTTGCAAATGAAGCGCTTCTCCCACAGTGTTGCCAACTTAGTGACTTTGACGCTATTTCTAGCAGCTTTTCAGACCCCCTTCTTGACTTTTTAACTTAAAAGTAACTAGCAAACACCTCAGAAACATCTCTGGTAACCCTTAGCTACTTTCTGGATAACTGTCGTTGACATTTCCTGCAGGTTAGCTAAACACTCTGCCTGCGCTCCGGTTCTTCAGGACATTAGGAAAGGGAATGATGTAGTGATGTGTCAGTCGCTAAAGACAGCTCTCGGAGCCGGCTCCATGTTGGATTAACCAGAGTGAGTGACACACACACCCTACCTGCGGACTCCTGGGCCACTAAAAACGGCTAAATGTGCGTGTGCGGCGAGCTAAACACACGTGCAGCTTGCCCCTGCTTGCTGTGAGACCGGGTTGGGGGGTGGGGGGTGCAGCTGTGGTTGGGACAATTATTACATTAACTGATGGACTTGTAAATAAATAGTTTATAAATAAGGTAGAAATAAGTTCCTCACGCTGATAACTAATAACTAATCTCTCTGAGGACACGGTGCTAGTGCACGCTCCTACAGCACCTTGACACACTAAATACGTATTATGCAACATTTTGTGAACATCAATTTATTTGCATTTATTTGTTATAAATGCCACTGTATAATTCTTGCTGTCAGTATTTGCAAGATATGGGTATTTGGGTCTGTACTGGTTAGACTTAAATGAGTTAAACCAAGGTCTATAGCCCTTGGGTCATAAACTATGAGCTATAAGTATATTGGTCTTTTTATACTGGGAATCAGGAGTTCTTTTAGTGATCATCTTGTTTCTTATTTTTGTCCTGATTGTGCCCTGAGCAATTTTATGACTGAATAAAAACAAATAAAATCAACATAAATTGAAAAATCGTCCTAAATAATCGTGATCTCAATTTCAGTCACCATAATCGTGATTATTATTTTTGCCATAATCGAGCAGCCCTAGTTAAGAGTCTTGCCCAAGGACACAACATCGAACCTGCAACCTGCCGATTAACTGGGCGAGCACTTGACTCCTGTGCCACCGTCGCCCTGTAGACTTTGATGTATAATGTGTGTATGATATGTAGGGATGGGTACCAAATTCGGTACTTTTTAAGGTACCGACCGAATTCCATAGTACCGACCGAGCAACGATTCACGTCATTTCAAACGGTGCCTCGTTTCGGTACCCGTCCTTCATAACGAGAACTTGCCAAGACAGCTGCGCATGCGCAAGAGCGTTATGTCGTCGATCCCTACGAGCCAGTTGTAAACAGAGCAGCATGGTAGAAAGAACGCACGCTAACGCTTGGGTCCACTACACTAAATGTGATGGGTAACTGGGTGATGATGAAACCAGCGACAACGATCTAAGTGAGACATCCTCACCTTAATCTGCTCCGGTAGGTAAATAAAATGTTTAAGATAATGTTACCTTGATATGTTAGCTTCCGTTTCGCTAATGGTGCGTTCGCTTTCTCCTCGGAACTCTGAATTTCTGACTAGAAGAACATGAACGCGCTCTAAAGTTTGGCTTCACTTTACTAAATGCGACGGGTGATTGGGTGAAGATGAAACCAGCGACAACGATCTAAGTGTGAGGCATCATCGTTTTAATCTGCTCCAGCAGTTAAATAAACTGTTTAAGATAACGTTAGCTTGATATGTTAGCTTCCATTGCCACCATTTGTCATCAGCTAATGGTGTGATCGCTTTCTCCTCGGAAATTCTAACTTCCCAGTAGGAAAAATCAAATGAAAAAAGACGGCAAAAGGAGGAATGAAGATACAGTAAATTTAGTTCACAGTAAAGATGTTTGCTTCAGTTTAATTATCAGCTTATAAAACTACAAGGACGATGTTAAAATACAAACAGTTGAATGTTATTTATCGCGATATTTATCAAATATTGTTATATATTGAGAAAAATATATATTTAATTATAAAAGAGAATTAAAATAAACACTCAAAAGTATCGAAAATTGGTGCCGTTAAGTACCGGTATCGATTCCTAGGTACCGGGAATTAGTACCGGATCGGTTCAAATGTCAAAGGTACCCATCCCTAATGATATGTAAATGTTGTGTTATCAAAAGGATATTTTCTGATGTTTCAGCCAATATTGGCTGATGTGTTAGACTGATAATATCGAACCTATCTATAACTAATCAAGAAAAACTCAATAATATAAATGTTATATAACAACAAAGTTACCACATCCAGCAGCAGAGAGTTCATCGCTCCCATCTGGACAGTCCCTCTCCCCATCACAGAGCCACCGTTTGGGAACACAAGCGTATGATCCGGGACAGCTGAACAGTCCTGGGGCACAAGTCACAGCGCCTGGGAGGCAAACAAAACCACATCGTCTACTTTTAAAATCTAGGAAATACAAGAGGTCAAATGTAACAGAGAGAAAAGTATAAAAACGGACAGATATGTCTATAAGGCCCTATAACCACATCCCTATATGACACAGAAAACACAGTTTTTTACTGAGCAGCAGTCCTTGTGCAGGGCTAACTAATGAAAACTTGGCTAACAATCATTTGTCTGAGCTCTATGAGCCAGCAATACTTGCCCTTTTCTTCTGATTGCCCTTCGAGGCAAAACTAGGAGGGGAAAAATGTCGCACTGAGAAACAAAGGTAAATAAAGAAGTGCAATTAGGCATGTATGGGGAAAACGCTCGTCCTGCTTCTGATAAGAATGTGCTTTTATAAACCTTTGGACCATTTCATTAATATTTCCTTTTCCATTACGATCAAATTATACAACCAACGTCTGCAACAGTTCCTGTCTCTTTATCGGGGCTGGTTTCGTTTTGTTTTATTGTAAAATTCATTACACATACATCTCATTTGCCCATTGAAACAGCTATGCCTCTTGGGCCTCACTGATGAAAAATCTATTTGCCTCAGTGCTCACTCGAATTATCAGAAATGCCTGCGGTCTCATTTGTTGCCTCATTAAGAGCGTCTCATTTCCAGTTGCTGCTGGAGGGATGCACGAAGCTGCAACGTGCAATGTGGAGGATGTGACCTTTAATGTGAACAGCTGATACCGTCATGACATCTGAAAGGGCACTAACCACAGATCTGCGTGCTCTCGTCGAGACCGTCCTCGCAGTCGTTCTCACCATCGCACAGCCACTGCTTGGCGATGCACTTGTTCTTGGAGCAGGCAAACTGGTTCCACAGACACGATGAGTCTGCAGAGGGTAGGGAACGGGGAATCAGAGGCATAAATCAAACAGCAACAACAACAGCACCACAACCTGCAGAGGAGAAAGCATTTTTGATTAAAACACCACAAGTGGGCAGGATCTTATTTGGCTCCTGGCATTGGTGTTTTCAATGAAGATTTTCCTCCTCAGTAGCAGACATTGGAAAGCGCTCACAGTATAAAAATGAGTTTGTCTTTTTTTTTTCTTCAAAATGCATTTTGGTGAAAATACAGAACTGGATTAGTGTCTCAAAAAGACAAAAAAATAAAACAAGATAAATAAATAAAAGAAAATCTATCCGTCTATCTGTCCGTCCGTCTATTTATCTATCTTCTCATAATTGAGACTTTTTTCTCAAAATTGCAAGATTGAAGTCAAAATTTTAAATTTTGCATCAGAATTCTGGCTTTAATCTCAGAAATTTGACTTTAATCTCAGAATTCCGACTTTAATCCCAGAATTGACTTTATTATCAGGATCCTTAGTTTTTACTTCTGAGAAAAAGTCAGAATTTTGAGATTAGAGTTGGTATTCTTTGTCTTTTCTTTAATTTATTTCCAGTGGCCATAACCCTCTTCCATATAAATGTCATTACCTGTGCAGAGAAATAAGTAAATGCAGTATTCAAATTGATCAGAATTGTATTAGTTTTTTATTGGTATAGAAATAAAAAGGTGTTCTCGGGATGACAGGAAACAGTTCAATTTCATCTAACAGAACACTGATTGCTGTGTAATAGCCCTAGTGTAAGATGTGTATGCGGTATTCATGAGCTGTGTTGAATGTGCGTCACTGAGCCACCTCTCCCTGGGGAGTTGCTCTGCGGTCTCATTCTCTCAGATGTCAGGCTGGGCTAAGACTGCCAAAGCTTTGATAAGATGTCGAGGAAAGGAAAGGGGCTGCGTGCTCCAGGTCAGACTGCAGTACGGGGAATTATGGATCCAGCTGAAGGTGGAAGACTTCTCTCCTACTGTGCCGCTTCTCCTTCCTGTCAGACTTTAAACATTGCACCAGCTTTATGCATGCTGACACCAGGATGTACGATGTGGCTCGGATAAACATACAGGAAATCTGGAAACCACGATCACCCAGACTCTCTGTGCATGATACATTTGCACTTCAAATGCGACCAGCTGCTTTAAGTGTATAACAAAACAGTAGGTCTACAGCGCATTAAATATATCAAAGAAGCTCTTTGATGTCTCGTTTTCAATACTGCTTGGAACAGGAGAGAGACACATTATGCATTGTGAAGTGACAAATGACAATTCCCTTTAATCAGATGTGGAATTCTGAAATGTAATGACGTTTTCTCAAACCACGATGCGTTTGCTGGGAGATTATCAGTCACGTGGCTTTTTTATGCTGATTAATCCAAAGCAATGGGAATATTGTTTGTTAAGGAGGAAAATTTTCAGAATTCCTAATAATATATGGCTCATAGCAGCATGGGCAAAACAATAAACTCATATAGAGCACAAGATGTTATGGTTCAAAAAAACTTAAGTGACATTCATAGAAAAAGGGAATAAGATTATTTTTAAGAAAATTTCTTTGACGCAACATTGATGAGAGATTTTCTAATTTTCTACTCTGAATTACTTTGTTCTTTTACTTTCAACTAAATGTGTGGAAATGTAAATTATTCAGGGAGAGAAAACAATTTTTGTTCTCAAACATTCTCAAAGGTAGCAGAGTTAGTCATGCAGATCCTTTTTTATTATTATTTACAGTATTGTTATTTACGCTATCAGGTGAAAACTGCTGGAGTACGGTTAAAAGCAAAAATCACTCAAGCAAAAATAAGACAAAAGTCTGCCACCTAACCTGCAGCATTGTGAGTCTTTCCTTACACACATCAGTACTTTAGCAAAATGTTAACTGATGCACGCTAACACACCCCAAAGGATGAAATAGGCATGGGGATTTTCAGCAGGTATACTGTTATTTGTTTCTTCCTCTTTGCTTAGCCTGCTGGCAACACAACCACCTGCAGAGAAGACTTGTTTGTTTTTAAAGGAAATATTTTAGTAAAAGAATTTCTAAAATATAAATTGTTCCCCTAAATGTGGGGCTTACGGCTGATCTTTGCTCGTAAACAAATCTGAAAACCTAAAACAAAAACATATTGGTTTGCCACAATAATGTACCTATATACTCTGTGTGTGTGTGTGTGTGTGTGTGTGTGTCGTTTCCTTGTTGACTCACTTTCTAACCATCCGTTCAATAATTTTCACACTGTACTTGTATAGTCAGGGATTCTCGTGAGTCAATATTGCCAACAATCATAGAGATTATTTTTTGGTCCCCCAAACTGTCCAACGTCTCATCAACGACCCTGTAACCTAACAGATGATATGATGAAACTATGATGGACTATCTTGTTAAACTGGAGCTCAAACTAGTTTTAAATGTGACATCTAAAAGAGTCATGCACATACAAAAGCATGCTCGACCAGCATCCCATCCTGGACCAGAACAGCATTCCATGCTGGACCAGCCTACCAGCATCCAAAACACAACATATGCTGGTTTTTTCAACAAGCTCTGTGCTGAAACTGGCACACCAGAGCTTTTTTTCCCCAGAATACAACTCCCTTTCATGCCTACTATAGACCACTGCACATGTATTAGAAAATGAGTCAAGGACCTCTTTAAAGGAAAACTATGTAACTTTCATATTTTAATCACTTTCTTGAGCCGGTATGTGTTAAAATGACCATTTACGGGGTTGATGAAATTCATTTAGCCACCTCCACCTTCTGTAGCCAGAATACCACACTTGCAACTTCAGAGTATCTGGACCACTCCCCTGGAATTAAGTATCTTGTGTAAAGCAGTAATGCTTCACAGCAATCCATGTTTACCTCTCCGGACAGACGAGCTATACCTGGTTAGCTTTTATTGTTGCATGGTTATCATGGTGGAGCCTCAGAAGAAGCAAAGAAAATGTTTATTTTATGGAGATAAAAACATTTAAAAGAACATTTGACCACAATAGGAGGCAAACAAGAGTCAATATCAGGAGTTTTCTGAATCACGAGAGACAAATAAGGACCTAATATCATCCTATTGCACTTGTAAATACAACTTTAATATGTTTTGTTTGTGTGTTTCAGCTTTCCCTGGATTTGTAATTATTTCTAAATATGTTTGACCTTCTTAGTGGCCTAGTGGTAGAGTGTCCGCCCTGGGACTGGGAGATCAGGGTTAAACCTTCCTGCTTGACACTCAGCTTTAAGGGGTTGCACTGGGGGGGTTAAATCAAATAGTTCCCAAGCACAGCTTCAGCTGCAGCACAACACTCCCCACAGTGATGGGTCAAATGCAGAGGTGTAACTTCACCAGTTTGTGATGATGACTAATGGGACTTTTATGGGACTTTTTTAGGCGGTACTGATCACATCCCGATCCGTCACCAATCATACGCTCACCCTAAGACTCGCATAAGCTCTTTTATGGCTTGGCAAATGCTCAGTCATTGTGGCTTTCTCGTCTCTATCTGAGGTCCTTACACACACACACACACACACACACACACACACACACACACACACACACACACACACACACACACACACACACACACACACCATTGAACCCTCAGTGCGCTGTGTGGACACTGGCTGACGTTGGGCAGTGTCTCCAGCCAGCCAGCCGGCGCTCCTGACTGCGGTCCTGTCGGCTAATCGCTCATTGCTTGTAGAGTAACTTGCCCGTCTGATCACCCAGCACTCTGAATCAACGTTTTTCGACATGCTCGAGCCTTTTTCTGTGGTCCCGTGATTCTTCCTCAGATTCTTGGCCACATTATTTACCAGGAACTCTCTTAGTCACTAGTAAAGTGGCTAGTCGACATGCTAGTGTTGTAGTCTGCTTCCAGCACGCTTCCTGCATGTTTTAGATCATCAACACGACTGATTTGTTTAACTTAGTGGTGAATCAGTCCTGTAGACAGTAATGAAGGCTGGGGAGACATTTCAGCTGTTAGATTAAGGTGTTAAAAGCGTGAACGTGAGGAGGAGAGTTTCTATTTCGAATTTACAACAATAAATTAAAACGGAACAAGAGGGTGCTAAATGCAAGCCAAAACTGCAGAGTGTTCCTTTAATGAAAAAGTGAAGCTACCGACAGCAGAATGATCAGTGAAAATAAATTAAACATCGTTTTGGCTTCTTTTTCTGGTCAGACTGTTGTTTTGGATCCAGATTCTATGTTTGTTTGTTTTTTTGCATCATGTGTTGATGATCAGAATTTGAAATAGAAAGTGCTGTCCTCCAGTCTGCATGCAAACAACAAAGTTAAATCAAAGCATCTGTCAGGAAAGAAAACAACAACGTTCCAAAACAAGAAAGATCTGCACGTGTTTTAACACTGCACCGGTGGATTAATTCATCAAGTCTGATTACCTCACATGTGTGTGTGATTGTGATGAAGTCTAACAGCAACTTTGACCACCTACATCAAAGCTTCTTCATGTTTGCTTTGACGCTAACTCACTGGCATAGGAGCGGCTGTGTGAGCTGTTGCTTCCCAGGGTAAATTACATTTATCAATATCATGACTTAATTACAGTCCCCTTGGTTAATTGGAGGGATCTTGACTTTGTCAAAGCAGGTGCTGCATACATTAGCATGCATTACAACAGAAGAAAGAAGGGAGGCAGAGGAATGGCATAGACTAATAGTAAAGACTAATCCTACTGAACCCACTCTGTGGAAATGTTTTTGTGACTGATGGCTACTTAATTAACAGTTTTACTGGGATTGCTGCATTTGTAATTCAAAGAAATGTGGGAAAACTTGAGTCTTCAACCGGCTCACTCTGAGTTCAGGGTCAGAATTAGACTTTCAAACACGTTCCAGCAAAAGCCCATGAAGAATGTTCAAACACACGACAGCAGAAAGCAGAGCGAGCTGAATTTTCTGAGTGGAAGAGACAAAAATAATTTTCTTACGCATCCCGTTGAACTTGTTTGACGGATAAAATGCACAAACTTGCACTCATGGCCATGGACGTAATTTTCACTTTAGAAGTGTGTGTGTGTGTGTGTGTGTGGGGGGGGGGGGGGGGGGGGTATCTTTACAGTATGCTCTAGTGGGGAACAGGCTTCAACACAAACGGTTGTTTTCTGCTTGGTCCTAGAGCTCAACCAGTGTCAATTTAATACATCGTAATGTTGTTTTTGGATGGTAAAAAGTGCATGGGTCAAAACTTGACTTTGGAAAAAGTGGGGGGGCATGTCCCCCCTGCCCCCCCCCAAAAATTACGTCCATGCTCATGGCCGAACCACCTGTCACAAAACAAGCAGCTTAACAAAGATTACTCCTCACCGACGTGGGGGTAACTTAGCTCATAACGAAAAACTCTTATTACGGTAAGAAGAAACTCTCCTTCACACCTGAATATTTCATGAGCTACATGTCTAAATAAAGAAGAAAGAAATCAAATGAAAGAAAAATCCCTTTAGGCATTAAATTAGTCCAATAAATAAATGTTAATAATCATGAGCCAGTTGAGGTGGCTCAGGCATTTGGTTAGGACGCCTCCTGCTGCCTCTCTGGTGGGGTTTTCCGGGCACGTGACGTCCAACCAGGAGAAGGCCTAAAGGGAGACCCTGGACACGTTGGAGGGACTGTGACATCACTCGCTATTAAAACAGTCACGAAATGTTGACGTCTTTACAAAGTCCTGAAAAGGACAATTTTGTGTGGAGACACAACGTCCGAGAAGACGGAGCTATCGTGTTTTCCTCGTCACCTTCGCCTTTCCCAGAAATTTACCAGAACTCATACAGTAATATTGCGACTTTTGCACTTTGGGTTCAGAATGTCTTCAGTAAGACGTAAAACTTACCACACTGGAACTCATCCGCTCCGTCTTCGCAGTCTTTCTGGCCGTCACACAACCAGACACTGGAAATGCAGTTCCCACTTGGACAAGCAAAGTGGCCCTCGTCACACTTCTGCCCATGGGAAACTGGGTCACACAACAAAACCAAGTCATTCCAGTATGCATTAGCACTGATTGAGGTTATTATCATTTCCTAAGCTCTCTCTGAGTCCCTTGTTCCGCCGGTATAATCATCTCGGAAAATGTGTTCCGAACCCTAGCAGGCTTTTTCCATCGACCTCTGAACGAACAGGTGAAATTAGTGTTGTTTTGAATGCTTGAGTTGCTGCTCACCCTGGCAGTTGGTCTCATCTGCGTAGTCTCCGCAATCATTCGCACCATCACAAATCCACGATGGGTGGATGCACAGGGAAGTGGAGTTGCAGCTGACAAAATCTTTTTCTTTCACCCCCAGCTTGTAGAAGTGGGAACATTCGGTGTGGTCTGATTTAAAAAAAAATCTGATGAGGAAGGCAATGGCCAAGAGTGCTGTACTCAGAATGATCCAAATGATGAGGAAGTGACTGAGATGGAATTGGGTCTACGTTCTCGTTTTGAATGCAATGCAAAGGATGAAGCACTTACTGCAATTTCTTTCATCTGAGGCATCAGCACAGTCGATGACCTGATTGCACCAAGCTGAGATAGGTACACAACTCCCATCCTTGCAGGCGGACTCTGATGGGCCACAGGTGATATCTGTTGGGGAAAAGAATATGCAGTTTAGGAAGACATGCCAAAACAGAGACCATACAGCTAACAGGGACGAGTTACAGCTGCATCCTCCGCAGAGTTGTAAAAATGAGCTGGTTTCTTTGTTTTGCTGCAGTTGTACATCTCCTGCAATATGAGCTGATACTATTTCAACTCCCATTGTCATCAATCAATCAATCAATCAATCAATCAAATTGTATTTCTAAAGCGCTTTTCAAACAAAGTGTGATTCAAAGTGCTTTACAAAATGACCCCAGATTCCCATAACAGGTTAAAAACATTAACAAACATATGCAATCACACACACACGCACACACACACACAGACTCACACACACACACAAGTAAAAATTATATTAGGCTGAGTCCAGATGAGCCAAGTATGGTAACGCAAGGAAACGCCATCATAGGAGCCGTCTGCCCCGGCAGCATCAGGTCTTCCACACTAAGTCAGGGCGCTCATTGGATGGGGGGGGGGGGGGGGGGGGCATAGACCCCCACCCATAGAGCGCCCAGGAAGCTACAGTCGACCACCGCTCCCGGGGCAGAGGGCCCCCACAGCGGAAACACTGGATTAAAATGAGTAAAAATGTAATAAAAGAGCTAATATAAATGACAAAAATTAGAAAATAAGTAATAAATAAAATGATATAAACAGTAAAATAATAATTTAAATAATAAAAACTGTGCTAAAATATAATCATATAGAACATGCAAAGCAAGTAATAAAATATAATCATGTAAAACGAGAAATAAAGCTGTAGGAAATATAACCGTATAATCAAAATGCAAAAGGTGTGTGTTGGCTCTGTGGTTGGTGTTGTTACCATGGATGCACTTTAGTCACTTACCTCTGCATTCTATCAGTGTATAACTTACTAATACTCTAATTAATTGTTCTAATGGCTGCAGAAGATGTTATTGTTGAAATCCCATTAAAACTGAGGAGGTGATGAAGGCACACTATATTAAGCTAAGTTTGTTCCTGAAGCCAAGACTGCTGAACTGGAAGGTCCTCATTAATCGTGAGCCTACTGCTGTCTCCCTGTGAGTTTAGTCAGCACGGTCCACATCTCTGTGCATCGAAAATCTCTCACCATCATCAATTACAGGACAGAAATAATAAGAGCTGGAAAATCAAAAACACCATCAAACATAAAATTCCTCCAGCGATAAAAAAAAATAACCCACCAAATACTGTCTGGGCCCCTGGAAGTAGCTGCCAGGGATGGTAGCTGGGCGTCTCTTTTAATTTGCGCACCCCTTATGATCTTTGGGCTCATTAAACAGTGAGGGCTCAGCACAGTATGTGGCCTTGTGTGCTGTATTAACATAAGCATTACTGAGACTTGAATCTGCCCTCAGAGGAAGGACAGATAGAACATGACATCAAACGGTTGTAACTCACTGCTACAGAAGGCTTCATCAGAGTTATCCCCGCAGTCATCGATCCCGTCGCAGAAGCGAACACTTGCCACACAACGCTGGTTGTAGCAGGGCCTGAAACCCCTCCGACAGCTCCTGTTGTCTAAAGAAGATAGATTTCCATAAGTGTGTGGCTCAAATCTTCTCAAACACCAGGAATCGTCAGGTGCCTTCAGAGTTTACTCTCTGGTGTAGAGGCACTCCAACAAACCAAGCCAACACGGTGTCCAGTGTTACATTCGTCTTACCACAGTACTGCATCTTCTCATCTGATTTGTCTTTGCAATGGGCGACTCCGTCACAGGTCAGCTGGTAGTTTACACACTCCCCATTTCCACATTCAAATTCAGTGTAAATGTTACACGAGGAGTTCTCTGCTGCAGAAAACAAACACAGGGGGCACAACGATGTCAGTGTTGCAGTTCAAGGTTGCGATCTTTAAAGCTACAATGGCAAAGCTGCAAATCAAGCTAGCTTAAATTAACATTCAACACAGTAAATGGCTTGTATTTGATATAGCGCCTTCTAGAGTCCAGGAACCCCCTAAGCATTTATAGCTGCCGTGAGGCGAGGCTGCCGGGCACTGGCGCCATCAGTCCCTCCGACCACCACCAGCAGGCAACGGGGGTTAAGTGTCTTGCCCAAGGACACAACAACAGCGACAGAGCGGGGCTCAAACCTGCAACCTTCCGATTATGGGGCGAGCACTTAACTCCTGTGCCACAGTCGCCCAGTACAGCTATAAATATTTTGTGGAGTAAAAAAAAAAAATAATAATAAACAAATAAATATTATTATTAATAATAATAATAATAATAATAATAATAATAACAATAATAATAATAATAATAAGGAAGTGAGTGGTTCTCTCGCATCCACCAAAACCCTCGGTCAACAACGCGGCTCGGACCGAAAGCAACTCCTGGACCATCCAGGCGTCTGTGTTAGTGAACCACCACACTTCTACGCTTCCCGCCATTGTCTTTAGCCACAGAACACCATTAGTGTGAGAGGTTCTCCACTCAATAACATCAGAAGGAGAAACTGTCAGCTGCTACCACTACAACGTTAGGACAAACTACCAGAGTCCCCAAAAAACCCCACCATTTAATGTCACGGGCAACAAAAGACGCTTGGAAGTGGAAGAGGGTGACTGGTGTTTAGCGCTTCCTCATTTACTCACGTTACAGTATCAGGCGGACGTCGACGATAGCAGATGAGGGGGTTAAAGTTCCGTGACTGTGTTTAAAAGCTAACTTGTTTTGCAGATTTAAACATTACAGTTTGTTAGCTTTACAGATAAGTGTAAGTGTTTCTAAAGGTTTAGTGATTAGGCAAACATTTCCATTCAATAAATGAAAATATTTCACTTCTTTATTTTGTTTGATGCTAAGTTAAATGGTTAAGGTATGAAATTGTTTTTTGTTCTATTATTGAGGCAAATTATACTGAAATTTAAAAAAGACCCAAAATCTAGCCTTACAACAGGAAAAGTTAGAATATGGTGCAAAAGAGATTGACTCATTACATCAAAGCGAGATATTTCAAGCTGTTGTTGTTTACAGCTTGTGAAAATGCCACATTTAAAATGTGAAATAATTATAATACTGTGAAAAGGTTCAATATTTTTGACTCAAAGTGTCACACTCTAATCAGATAATGAATCCAGAACGCCTGCAAAGGGTTGCTGAGCCTTTAGATGGTCTCTCAGTCTAAGTTGAATTGCTAAAACAAATGAACGTTTGCACCATTTTCTCATTTTCCAGTTTCACTTGTACAATTGATGCATATTAGAAAGCCTTGCAAAATATTTATCAAGCTCACATTAAAAAAACTTAATTTTTTTGGCTGAATTATTTTTACAAATCTTTGTAAATGCAAAAAATAATAAATGATAATAATAAATCAACAAAACTTGGCGCTTTTACATTATCGTACAAAAACACGTTTTTATCCTGTGAGAGCTTTAGGAATTCTCCACATTAATAACACTTAGTTATAATAACCTCAGACTGAATAATTCTGTAGCTCCTTTTGACTTACACACACATCTGTTGTCATCCAGCAGCACACGTTCTCCTCGACAGGAGCAGTTGACCCTTCCATGTGGGGTCAGGAGACACAGGTCGCCACAGCCTCCATTCGTGTGTCGGCATGGCGACAGCTCACCTTCAATAACAAATAGAAGTAAACAAGCATAGAAGCAGGGAAATAAAGAAATTCAATTAGAGTTTTGAAAGACTTCCTCTATAAACCTGTGAGGATGCATTAAGAGAATTAACTCACAGTTTAACTCATTAAACACGAACTAAGCAAACATACTCCAAATAGGCCTGAGTCAGGGAAAATGCAGAAGCAGAAGGAAAAGAGGGACATTTAAAATAACTCACCAAAGTGTTGTCAAATACTCGTTAGATATTTTATTACCTGTGCTAAAATAAAACATAATGTATCTAGGGATGGGTACCGAATTCGGTACTTTTTAAGGCACCGACTGAATTCCATAGTACCGACCGAACACCGATTCACGTCATGTCGGTGCCTCGTTTCGGTACCCGTCCTTCAAACGAGAACTTGCCTAGACAGCTGTGCATGCGCAAGAGCGTTATGTCATCGGTCGCTGCAAGCCAGCTGTAAACAGCAGCATGGTAGAAAGAACGCACGCTAAAGCTTGGGTCCACTTCACCAAATGTGATGGGTAACTGGGTGATGATGAAACCAGCGACAACAATCTAAGTGAGACATCCTCATCTTAATCTTAATCTGCTCCGGTAGGTAAATAAAATGTTTAAGATAACATTAGCTTGATATGTTAGCTTCCGTTTCGCTAATGGTGCGTTCGTTTTCTCCTTGGAACTCCGACTTTCCGACTAGAAGAACATGAACGCGCTCTAAAGTTTGGCTTCACTTTACTAAATGCGACGGGTGATTGGGTGAAGACGAAACCAGTGACAACGATCTAAGTGTGAGGCATCATCATTTTAATCTGCTCCAGCAGCTAAATAAACTGTTTAAGATAACGTTAGCTTGATATGTTAGCTTCCATTGCCACCATTGTTATCAGCTAATGGTGCGTTCGCTTTCTCCTTGGAAATTCTAACTTCCCAGTAGGAAAAATCAAATGAAAAAAGACGGCAAAAGGAATGAAGATACAGTAAATGTAGTTCACAGTAAAGATGTTTGCTTCAGTTTAATTATCAGCTTATAAAACTACAAGGACGATGTTAAAATACAAACAGTTGAATGTTATTTATCGTGATATTTATCAAATATGGTTCTATATTGAGAAAAATATATATCTAATTATAAAAGAGAATTAAAATAATAAACACTCAAAAGTATCAAAAATTGGTACCGTTAAGTACCGGTATCGATTCCTAGGTACCGGGAATTAGTACCGAATCGATTCAAATGTCAAAGGTACCCATCCCTAAATGTATCCCTAAGATCTTAAAAGCAGAGAAAACTTTTTTTTTTTGCAGTTTAAGTAACCTAATTGTTAGATTATTTATATTAAGGGGTAATTCATGACAAGGAAAAACAGTAGAGTGTAAAAAGAATAAAGTATCTTTAATGTTGAAATGGTAGATTTTCAGCTGTGCTCACTCAGGTTACGGGATGAAATTATTTCCCATAACAAGATAAACAGATAAATGAGTTGCTTTTGCTATTCGAGTCCATCCAGTGGGACACGCTTAAGCTCGCGTCTCGTTGTCCTACTTGGAAATTAAACTTTATATGACACTTTAGAGACTACCTCTACATAAGCTACGTATTTCTTTGTTATTAATTACCACTGAGGATTAGGTTTCCAGCCTTTCTAAATAAGACCACTTTCATTTATCAATTCTATTTCTTAAAAAAAATAAAAATAAAAAAATTGTGTCCTTTTTAATAGGTTAAGCAACAACTTTACATTTTTACATAGCAGTGCAAATAGGAGCCGTTGGAACTGAAGAGCATTGAGGAAGCTGCACAGGAAGAAAGACTCATGCATGCAGGATGAAGTAAAATCCAGTTGGTAAGATCCAAAGCTGCTGTGCGTACAACAACATAATCAGACACCTGCTTGTAGAGATTTAATTCTGCATGCACTGCTCGTAAACCGTGACCCATCTCCAGGTGCTTGTGTACTCACAGTTGTTGGTATCCTTGGCCACAGCAATAATTCCCATTGGCTGATGAGGTATATCTGCTCTGAGCACCTTGGTGTCACCACCTGTGTACTTGTTTGATCGCAGCACGGCTCGACGGCCCCAGTCTGACCAATAGATGAAATCTGCATAGACGGCGAGCCCATAGAAGTTTCCGGATCCCGATTTAACAATGACCTAAAAAAAATGAAGATCACAAAGGATCACTTGTAAAAAAAAAAAAAAAGTATCAAGCATTAGACAATAACTGCAGGAATAAATGAAGAGAATCATGTTTCTTCTCATTAATCAACAAATCAACCCCTGCTGCCATTTTGACTGCTTAACCCAGATGTTGAGGGAGTAAATGACAGTGCCAGTGGCAGCGAGGCAAGAATCCATCAGATGCCTCCTTCTGGGACTCTCCGGGCTTGTGTGGAGGAGCGGAGACTCCAACAGCTCGCTAGTCTCAGCCATTAGTGGGACAGGCTTGTAAGCGACATCGCATTAGCCCTGTGCCATTCTGGGATTAATAGGACAGGTGTTGATTAAAGGAGCCCAGCGTGCAGAAGCAACAACTGGCCATCATGCAAGTGAGAGACAGTGAAGGGAAGAGAGGTTGAGCAGCAGATGGGGTCTGGGGGAACATACTGATAGGAAATTAGATTTGGGAGACATTTAGGCTTGCAGTGTGCAACATATTAGTTTTCATGCTTTCAGTTAATTGGGAAACACTTAATTGTCACCAGTTTTTATCTGCTCAACAGTATCCAGGATTCATAAACGGTGTAGGAAACTCGTTTAATCAATACATTTTCAATGGTCTCTGGTAGGAATGAATGCCTTGCAAGTCGCCTGAATCAACACAGACAAGTCTGCCACATCAGAGGAGAGCTTAACTTGGCAGGATTCGGAGCCTTCTACCTGGAATTTGGACATCTTGCCTCGGATTGGCTAACAGCAATGTGACTTCACCAGTGACTCTGTTTGCTCTGAGACATGCATGATTTATCTCCAAAAGTAACACACGCCTGGAGGAGCTTCTGCCATGTGGTTGAGTTGCTAATGCTAACAGTTAGCTCCTGCTAGCTGAGACGTTCTCTGCTGTTTCCTGCACACTAAAACAACAACAGTCTTCCCGTCGCAAAACCAGCACGGGTCCAACAGACCAGCCCGCCAGTCTGAAGTTGCAAGTGGAATATTCTGGCCACAGGGGGCGATAGGGGCTGGGTGGCCTTTCATTAACCACGTAAAAGGTCATTTTAGCACATACTGGCTAAAGAAAATGATTTAAAAATCTGAAAAAGTTGCAAAGTATCCCTTTGAAAATGTTTTGTAGTGTTCCACACCTTTAAGAACTACTTAAGTGATTACTTCAAAAGATTATTACAAGACAATCTGTGTAAATACACCCAATGAACTCAAGAAGGGTGAAGTATTCCCAGAAAGGTCCTCATTTGAATCCACGCTTCCAATAACTAAAATACTTTCCCAGCTAAAAGATGCTGACCCTAGCGCTGTCATCATCAGTTATGGGTCTCCACTCTTAAAATGGCACAGAAATGAGAAACATGAACCTTCCCAACTCCCAGACTTACTGTCAGTGTGCAACGGTGCAACTGCAGGATGAGTAACTACGCCCTAAAAGACACGCCTGCAACCAAAGTTTACATAACTCATTACAAAACCGCTGCTCTTATCACTCTGGTTCTGATCTCATGGTTTGTTCCACTTTGAAAAAGATCCAGTAGCTTTGGGCATTTTTTTTGTAATCCAAACACGTCATTGTCGTGTAAAATTAAAAAGCGTCTTTTAAACTGACAACTTCCACAGAGTTGCCTTGTCTGAAACAAATACGTTGTCTGAACCAAGACCTCCAATGGCTGCAGATTAGTTTGATGATAACGTCAACTATTGGTTTAATTTACACATTTCAATTGGAGCGGACATTCTGCACCCAGAGCAGCGTTGCTGCAAAGCCTTCATTAGCAGGGCTAGACCGCGGCAAGCGCGGGTGGGGTCTCAAAGGTGAGGAGTATGAGCCCAGCGACCTAGTTCATCACGCACACAGCTGACTAATTGAGATGGGCCAAGGTGCTGAGTTGCACAGGCCATGTCAAGCAAAAACTATCATCCACATAGCAAAAAAAGGTCATCCTGCACTGTAATCTCCTGCATACCCAGGACACAGCTGCTCGGGATGCCATACATTATGCATGAAACTTTTATGCACAAAAGGTGAACAACTCTCTCTGAGTTTTATTTGCTTTAGCAAAGATGGACTTTGTGATTAAGGAAACCATCTGTGCCCTCAGAGAGGAAATAAGACAACTTCAAGAGGTCTTTTAAATCCCATCTGTTGTGTGGAGGATCTGGTTCCAGGAGCTCAACTGCATGGAAGATTAAAAAAAATTGGAGCAAAATGGCAATTTGCCATTCTGTCCATGATTATGTGCCTTTTGCCAAGTGCAGTTCTAAATTTCAGAGACAGCTGCATCTGGCACACCTTTGGTGCTTTTGGAAAAAAAGGAGTGGGATCGGCAAGAATACAATCAGGTGTGAGGATTCCTGCAGTTTTTAATAAATAGGTGCGCATAGGTTGTAAAGCACATGCCACCAGATACCATCCCTCATCTGTTTTGTTTTAACGCAGCAGCTCAAATGTGATGCATTTCCAGAAAATAATAATCAAATTGTTAACACCGCCCCACTATTCCAAGGTGTGCAATGTTATGAGTCGCACCAACAGAACATTAGTAATTTCCACAAAAAGCTGACCTCGTGTTTTTTATTGTCTTATGTTTACTTGATCTTCAGGCTAAAAGATAATCTGAAACATCGTCAAATGAAAAAAAATAAGTCCAAAATAACCCACCACTATTTTTTATTTCAGTTGAAAAGCATTAGAGAGTAGTTAGGCGGTAGTAAGCACCACATTTCAGCGTAAGAGCAGTCTCCGTCTGGGAAATATGACTACTGTGTTATTAAGCTGCAGGGCTTGTCATCATAAGGCAACAATTAAATCTGAGACCTTCCAGTAAATTCTAATTAAAGCAGAACACAAAGTGAATTTAAAAAACATTCAAACCCCTCCGTCATTCAGGGATGGAAGACAGTGAAGGATAAACGTTATTAACTAAGGAAGGTAGAGTCAAATTTCAGACAGAATATTTTGAAGAGTTCACTGGTGTGTGAGAAGTCTTGGAAAGAAGAAAAAAGTAGTGGACATTTAAATAACAGCACAGACTAGGAACTTTTGAAAGTTTTACACTGTTTTTGTAGGCAAGAAAAGCAGAAATAATGTTTCATGTAAAACTTGACCCCATCAGTGCAAATCTTTGCTGCTTGATTTCATGTCTACTTTACATTTATTCATATATGCACACACGTTTTAGGAGTTTAGAAACAATTTCACTGTTGTCCAAATGAGATTACCCGAACCAAATTCAACCAAACGAAACAGGAATCTTTATAAAAACTGCCTGTATTTCCTCACTGATAATAACAATAAACACAGAATATTGAGCCAAGAGGATGTTGATCAGTGTTGGGAGTAATGCGGTACAAATGTCATTAATTACTGTAGTGCATTGCTTTTTGCTGTAACGTGGTAATGTAAGGCATTACAGGGAAAGAAAATGGTAATATTTACTCGGTACAATTGTCAGTAACGCGGTAATTACAATGCATTTTTAAACCCAGAATCAAGATGCGTTCCTGAAAAATTCAAATTGCAGGAAACCCGAAGAAAGATCCAGTATCTGCATATATTACGTCATTTATGGACTCAGCTTTGCGGGCAGAGAGGACGCAGCGGTAACGGCTCAACTACTCCAGCTGCGTCCTGCACGCGGCCGCTGTAACATTCACAAAATCGCTCCACTAAAACAAAATAATTCACTTGCGATCGTTCATATCAGCGCATATTCTCTGGTATTTTGTGCTTTTCTGACGTGCTTTGCCTCAGCTGAGTTCATAATCTGTGCCCCGGTGATTTCAACTCATTACTGCTGGAGCGCCGCGCATGTGAAGATCCCTTTGGCTGATCGTTAGAAAGTAGGAAGTCTAGGAAACAGTTTTTTCTGGAAGACGGAGAAAACATGCAGCATGCAGGAAGGTTAGAGTGAGAAAGGGCTGGAAATTAATCACATAAAACCAAGAAAACAAAACAAAGTGCTTGAAAAGAAAAAAGTAGGTAGATTTATCCTCAAAACACATTTTTACCAGTGAAAAGCAATAATATATAAGCATTTAATATTTATACATGTGATAGAATCAGATCACCCCAGAAGCCAGTCCCACATCCAGGGCCGTATCAAGGCATTTGGGGACCAAGGCAAATATAGGCTTGGAGCCCCCACCACCTCACTCCCTGCTCAGTTAATATAAGATGGCAGCGTGCTGAGAGTACAGATTGTTGTTGCTTTTATTTAATAAACAATCATTTTAAAGCACTGTTATTATATCTGACTAGTTTTTAACAGCAATCCTAGCTCAGACACCACATCACCTTCCACATATGTGTCATGAGCTCACTGAGCGTCACATGACCAGATTCATACTGAAGTTGTTTTGGTGAAAGTAACTTAAAGTAATGCAAAAGTAGTGTAATGCCTTACATTTTAAAATCACTAATATTGTAATGTAATGAATAACTTTAAAATGAAGGTAACAAGTAATAAATAATGCATTACAGTTTTGAAGTAACTTGCCCAACACTGATGTTGATGGTTTGTCATTGATCCATACTGACTTTTTGTTTATCTTCACCAAAAGTTTGCAAAAAAGATGCTTTGCCTGTAAACTATATTCAAACTCATCTGACTCTGTTGGTTCCTTGATTCTGTAAAATACACCGAAATTCATAAAAAAAATTCTTCTTTATGTGAATTTATCAAAAGTACGGAAGAGGATTAGTGCCACTAAAAAGGAAAAAATAATAATAAAATGGATATTTGTTACTTTTATTCCTCAAAATTTAGACTTCTTGACCTATGAGAAAAAAAGTCAGAATGTTGAGATTAAATAATTTTTCTTTTCTTTTTTTCTTTTCCATGGCACTAATCCTCCTCCATATAAAACCACATTGACATGACCAAAGTTAGCATGCAAAAGGAAACCAGGCACGTTATTGCTAGAATAAAAAAATAAGGTGTAAAAGAAAAACAAGCAGTTTTAAGGAGGAAATACGTAAATAAAAATCAAATAATTTATTTTTTGTACTCACATATCTACTAGAACCATCGTAGTCACATCTCTCAATCTTCCCGAGGCTTCCATCGGAAAAGTACAGCTTCTCTGCATTGTGGTCGATCGTGAGTCCGTTTGGCGTCAAAACCTCAGTGCTAACAACGATCCTCATGTTCTTCCCAGTTAAGGTGGATCTCATGATGCTGGGCCTCTGCTCATTCCAGTTGGTCCAAAACATCAGGCTGAGCATGCAAAACGGAGAGTTAATATGAGCAAACTACATTTTGCTGCCTAACCTCAGTTCTTCTACAAAACACAGAGACAAAATGCAGAACGGTAACTCAATCGACATCCATCAGCTGTTTTTAAAAGCTGCTAATCTGCATCCGCGTAGGCAGAACACACACCGGTCATAGCGGCATCAAAGTTGGTGATTAATTACGTGTTTTTAAGCCACTAAGAAAATCTCACTGGCTTCCTTTTAATACCATGAAACTGTTTGTCTCGATAAAAGTGCAGCTCAATTTCAAATGAATGAATTGGATTGGAATTGCAGATTGTGCAATTAAATATCATCTGTGCAGATTGCTTTGTGTGAGAGAAACAGATTTTAGCACATCTATGAGGAGGATTTCACTCTTCTGTGGTGTGAGATTTTTAACAAGGGAGGTCCACATCTTCAATCCACAACCAAGCAGAAACATTAACGGAATAAAATTAGAAAAACAACTTTTCTTAACTCTGGTCTCACATTTCATATCATAATTAAGTCATGGAAGTCCATTCTAGTGCAATGATAAAATTTAGGTCAGAGGTCAAAACTAGAGTCTACTAATTAATCACTTGAGTTAGAATTCTAATTATCAGTTCTGGAGTGGGATGGATACGGCACCAAGCTGCCAACCAAGGACAGTTTGAGGTCAAGAAATTAATTTAGCTTGTTAAATGGGAGCAGCAGGACACTCGCTCGTTCCCTTTGCTCTTAGAAACATGTAGTTTTATATTCATGTCAAACAAATAAATAATCTGAACTGGATTACAGAGAAAACATGTTTTATTCTAGTATCACGAGTATTTTTTCCTAAAATATTCTTTTAGTTTAACATCCAATAAATAAAACCAAAAAAGTTTGTACTCTAAATACAAATATGCTCATTAAAACCAAATACGCACAAAAAGACAACATTTTTTGGGAATTTTAGAAATGCGAAGCATGGTAGATAAAACTCTCTAAATGGAAAATTCATCTAAAGTCTAGTTTTGTTTCTCCTAAAGAGATAAATCCTGAATAATTTGAATATTAAATGTAAACAGTTGTACTATGTTCCAATCACATGGAGTGGGCGTGAGGCAGCACACACTCTAGGTGTAATGTAGATTATGTGAGTTTTGCCGTGCATATTTGAACAAAACATCAACACTACAGTCCCTAAAAAGATCCGTAAACAACAACGATCCTAGATGTTGTCCTGAAGAAACTCAGCGGCCCAGATGTGAATTCAAGTAGAACCCAAGTACCAGTGCTTTGGGATTCAGCGAGTCATTGGACAGTTTGGAGCAAAACTTGGTGACGTGTGTTGAAAAGGAAAAGCTACTGACTTTTGACACTCATCCAGGGCCAGGACCTGTGGATGGTCTTCCTCTGACAGAGTGACCACAGCCTGCCTGGGAAAGGCTCCGACTCGGTTCTGGTCCAGGGTTTTTCTGGTGATGGTGGACGTTGTAGAGCTGGTCCAGTACAGAGTGTCCCAAGCTCGGTGGTAAGCCAGACCCTCCACTGAACCCACATCTTCAAAACAAGTAAACAAGCAATGAAGCAGCTACGTCTGAGACAGAAAATAATAAAAAAAAAACTGAGCAACGTTCAGAAACAAGTCTAAAGAACCAGAGGTGTCTTCTAGGGGTGGCCTGGGGAGAGCACCCCCCCCCCCCCCCCGCACACTACTCTAAAAAAAAAACATCCATGTTCACACAAACCATACATTTGTTTTTTTTTAACAAATGCATACATGTCAAAGCTGATAAAATATTTACTGTAATCCAATTTTAATAGAATAATATGTTTAATTAATCATTTTACACACACGCACGCACACACACACACACACACACACACACACACACACACACACACACACACACACACACACACACACACACACACACACACCGAGACTTGCCATTCAATTGTTTGTGTGGCTATTTTATTGGGAGAGAAACAGGCAAGTTCCACTTTTAAAATTTTAAAACAATTTCTATTCTAAAACAATAAATTTCAAAAGAAAAACTAAAATAACTGATTTATTTTTCTTTTTCTGAAATAACTTATAGTTTTCTAATTAAAAAGAATGAAGGAGAAATGCAATAAACAGCTACTGGCTAAACTCTCCCAGAGTTTACGCAGGGCCCATATGGCCCCCTCAATGAATCTTTTCTGGACATGCCACTGCAATGGACACTTGCGTCTGAAGTGAAAGGATAACTCTTAATGCTTAGAGATGGTTGAAGTCCTTGTATGCTAAATAAAGTGTTTTCTTTAATAAAGAATAGTACTACAATACATTACTGTTCACAAGCGAGAGGACATGTGGTCTGTCCATGAATTAGTGAAAGCAACAATAAAAGCCCACTCAAGTATTTTTATTCTTATACTGATGTTTTGCTGAAGGACACCAAAGTGAATGCAAGCATTAATAGTTAGTATGAATACATCTATTGCAGTCTCCTATTATACTAAACACCTTGGTGTGACTGTAAGCACTGGTGCTGATAATTATGCCTTTTTGGTTAGCATTTACACACGTAAGAGGCAGGTCAACCACCTGGTCCATAACATTTTAGTCATCCTGTGAAGTCATGCCCTGAACTTATGTTTAATCAGTACATTTTCAGTGGTCTCTGGTAGGAATGAATGCCTTGCAAGCCATAATCTGGGCATAAAAAGCCCAGAAATGCCTGGATCAACACAGACAACTGAGGTTTGCAGTCTATTTCCTGATATTAGGACATCTTGCCTCAGAATGGATAACGTCAACGCGACCTTACCACTCACTTGCAACATTGATGTTTTATCTCCACTAATAAAAGCGTGGAGGAGTTTCTGCCGTGTGGTTGATTTGCTAATGATAACTGTTATCTTCAGCAAGCCGAGATGTTGTCTGTTGATTCTGGACACTAAAACAACAACAGTCTTCCCCGTCGCAACAAGATGGCGCCGTCTGTTGTGGCTTGCCGTCTGGTTTACCGTTTGCGCTTTTTGTATTTGTGTCACTGTTGTTGAGTCTCCCAGTGGCTGATTCCTGTCCCACCCTCACCTATGACCGAGCTACTCTTCTGGATCTCCAGCAGAGGTTCGATTCTCTCCAACTTCACTATGCCTCATTCAAGCAATTGTTTGGGAACCTGTTTGATGGAGTTCCGCCCTTCCTCCTCTCCTCCGCCTGCGGCCTGGTGGGGCCGCGGTGGAAGCGGCGGCGACACGGCAGGCTTAGTGGCGCTCATGTCCAGCTCCGAGCTTCCCGGATGTGCCAGTCCAGTGGCAACGTTTCTTCTCGGGTTTGGGTCTGGTTCCCTGATGATTCCTCGGAACACAACATCCAGATTCTCCACAGGCATGACAGCGATCCTGTCAGCTGGGGATCCAAACGGAGGCGTCGTATTGGTGGGGTGAACTGGAGGAATCTAACCTATCCTGTGAGGTCCGGCAAAGAGCGTCCTCGCCCATATTTGTCCTCAACTTCCTCGTCTTCTCTCAGGATTGCTCTACTAAATGTTCGTTCGCTGGGGAATAAAACAGTGCTTTTAAAGGATTTTTTTTATCGACAGTGGATTAACTTTGTTCTGCATGACGGAGACGTGGGTCCCACCGGGTGAGTCAGCAACACTTGCTGAACTTTGTCTGTCAAATTGTTCTGTTGTGAATGAGCCCAGACTGTCGGGTCGAGGTGGGGGCTTACTGACTATGTACTCATCTCCGTCCCCCTCAAGTGCATCCCGGGCTCATCACCCCCCACCAGCTTCGAGGTCTCTGTTTTTGAACTCAGTCTCTCCCCTCCAATTCTTCTTATTCTGTGTTACCGACCACCACAATATAACCCTGCTTTTATTACGGACTTTTCTGACCTTTTAGCTGAGTATCTCCCCAGGTATGACCAAGGTATTATCCTTGGTGATTTTAGTATTCACGTTTGTTGTTTGTCGAATCCCCTGGTGAGAGATTTCTCAGATGTTCTGGTTTCATTTGGCCTCCAGCAACTGGTCAATGTTCCTACTCATGATCACTCTCACACACTGGATTCAGTTTTATCATTTGGACTGACGGTGCAGGACTTGGTTGTTCTCCCTGTCAGTTTCTCAGATCATTTCTCAGTTGTTTTTAACATCCCTGCCATGTTGCCTGTGGTGAGAAGGCAGGCTCCTCGCTACTCAAGGTACATCTCTCCCTCCACGACTGCCTCACTACTGTCCATTCTGGAGGTTGAATTATGTAATCCTTTCTCATCTGGGATCACCACGGATGTGGATGGGCTTTTTAATTCTTTTAATTTGACTTGTTCTGTTGCCCTGGACTCATTCGCTCCCCTTAAACTTAAACGGAAGAAAACCACCCCTGATCCTTGGCTGAACAATGAAACACGCAGCCTCAGGCGGCGTTGTAGGGCGCTGGAAAGAAGGTGGAAAAAGGACAAGCACAATAATCTCACAGCAGCTTCTGATGGATGCCCTTGACCTGTATCAGAAAAGTTTTAGATCAGCCAGGAACAAATACTTTGCATGCATAATATCTCAGCACCAGGGTGATCAGCATAAACTTTATAGCACTGCCAACTCCATCTTGTCGATAACTGAACCTGGTAGTGTTGATCCCTCTGTGTCATAGTGTGCTGAGCTCCAGACCTTCTTTCTTCACAAAGTCCGGGACATTAGGGATAGTCCTGTGCAACCAGGATCTGGCTGTCCTGATGTACCACCAGAACCTCCCTCATTCTCTAACTTTACTCCCATATCTCTTAGTGAATTGTCAGATCTGATTGGAAATATGAAACCAGCAGGTTCTCCTGAGGACCCTCTCACCCCGAGGATGTTGGATGATATCATCCCTATTTTGGGCCCCGCCATCTTAGACATTTTTAACTCTAGCTTGGCCACTGGAGTGTTTCCTACTTCTTTTAAAAAGGCGGTTGTGCAACCAATTAAAAAAAAAACTGGTTTAGACAACTCAAACTTTGCAAACTTTCGGCCAATCTCCAAATTACCATTTTTGTCTAAGGTCCTTGTAAAGATTGTATATTCACAGATTACAGCACACATGAATAGCTTTTCTCTGGTTGATGTGTTCCAGTATGGGTTTAGGCCACTTCACAGAACCGAATCAGCCCTTCTTCGCGTGACCAATGACATCCTGGTGGCTTCTGACTCGGGGTCACCTGTTTTGCTCCTACTATTAGATCTTTCTGCAGCATTTGATACCGTTGACCACAATATTTTGCTGGATAGACTTGAGTCATGGGTAGGGCTTAGGGGTACCTCACTTCAGTGGTTCTGCTCATACCTGTCAAACAGAGTTTTCAAGGTTCAGTTGGGTAATTGTTCCTCTACATTCCTTCCGCTTCCATGGGGAGTCCCACAGGGATCTGTGCTTGGGCCTCTCCTGTTTTCAATTTACATCCTCCCCCTGGGTTTAATCCTGAGGAAATATGGCCTGGGCTATCATATTTATGCAGATGATTGCCAGATCTACCTGGATTTGAACAAACCAGGCTGCCTCTCTCATCTGGACCAATGTTTGGCTGAAGTGAGGGTTTGGCTTGCCAACAATTTACTTAAGCTAAATGATTCTAAGTCTTAGGCACTCCTGATGACCCCTAACAAAACCACACACTTATCTTCTGATTTGGCCACTCTCCCATATGACCTCAAGCAGTGTGTTTACCAACCTGGGGGTGAAACTGGATACACACTTTTCCATGGGCCCTCAGATTAACACAGTGGTCAGATCGTGTTTTTATCTGCTGCGCATACTAGTTCGCTTAAAACCAATCCTCAAACGAGCACACCTGGAATCTGTAATTCATGCTTTTATCACCTCCCGACTGGATTGTGCAAATTACATTTTAATTAGTTTACCTGCCTCCGCTCTCAACAGGCTTCAGGTCGTACAAAATGCGGCAGCCAGGTTTTTAACAAACACCCCTAGAAGAGACCATATCACACCTGTACTGGTGCAGCTCCACTGGCTACCCGTAAACTTCATAGTCAAGTTTAAAATCCTGACTTTTGTTTTTAAGGCCCTGAACGGTCTGGCTCCGGATTACCAGTCAGATCTTGTGACTCGTTATGTGCCATACCGGGCATTGAGATCTGCTGATTGCCTGCTGCTTCGCGTTCCAATAATGAAATACGAAACGCGGGGGCAGCGTGCTTTTGTCTATGCTGCTCCGACACTCTGGAATGCTCTTCCTCTTTCAGTGAGGCTGGCACCATCCCTCCTCCGGTTCAAGTCGCTACTTAAGGCTCACTTTTACGACCAGGCATTTTTAAATCCCTGACTTTTATTATTTTACTATGTGTCTTTTATTGACCGTGATTACCTGCCTTGTTGTGCATTTTATTGTTGACCGTGTATTGTTTGATATTGTGTTTTTACTTTTTATTCTGTACAGCACTTTGGTCGGCTGCCATGCCGTTTTTAAATGAGCTTTATAAATAAAGTTGGTATGGTATGGTCGCGAGCCAGCATTGGAGTCCAAGCGGCCGCTTGACGTAGAGCGGTCAGCTTTTCAAATCCTACCAGAAGCTAATGCAGGAGATGGGTGTAGGAGACTATTTTATATTCAACCTGCATGAAAAACTCAGAGTGATTGATTATAATCAGAAATAATCAATACAAATAACATTTAGTGTTGCAGTTATTGTTTAAGTGTTCTTATCGGCGTTGCTCTGAGGATTCTACAGCATTAGCTGAAAGTTGACATCTTAAAAGGGTAAAAACAAATCAATACTGTGTTTAGAAAAGCGCCAAACTATGGAATTTAATGGAGTGCACAGAACAAACATACAAAACAATCAATAAAATAGTTAAGCAGTTGTTAATACTTTATTTGATAGTTTATTAATGCTTAATAATGCACTAACATTAATAATGGGAGCCTTAATGTAAAGTATTACCAAAAATTCTATATTATTAGCCTAAGTAACATTAAAGTGCATTTAATGGCGAGCCTTATTGAAGACCCTGCAGTTCCATTACTAATATTTTTATTATCATCTTTGTTGACTCGTTTTTAACAAAAAGAAAACTGGTGCATTCATTTCGCTTGAAGCAGATGTTGAGCCCGAAACTTGTCAGAACTGGGAATGTGTTTCATTGATGATTGACAGAGAAATTGCTTCATGCCTCACTACTCTGGACAGACAGCTATTTGTTGATGCAGCAGTCACTCAGGAATTGAGTGTGTTTTCATCGCAAACCAATTTCCTAAACACAGGATAAGATAAAGCTTTTTGCAGCCTCCCATGTTATTGCATTGATGTGACTGACACAACAGGAACCTCCAGAGAGAAGCACCGATCACTGATAGATAATGTAACCATATTCATAATTAAATAATAACGCTTGCATTGTTTTGTTGGCAAAGCTTTTTAAATATCGAACTAATTTTTACTTTTTACTGAATCTCTCTAACGCACGCATCTTTCTAAAAGGAGTATAGTTGGACTATGGATTTCCAATTTCCATATAAATATGAAAAAATGCGTATAATTTCAAAATAAAGAAATGATAGATATGGTGAAACAAATCAAATGAAGCCAAAATAATTGCATTCTCACAGCAAAATGTATCACCTGATAGCAGCAAATCCTCTCAAAGAATGAAGGTTTTAATAAAAGTATAGCAGAAAAATATTGAACTACTAGAAAATGTTTATTTTCTCTTGGAAAAAAAGATGGCAAAATACGTTTCTTCCCCAATGCTCCCCTATTATTAAATATTGAACAAATCCTCATTCAAGTAGATTCTTTCTTTTATCAAATAAATGTCAAATTTAAACCGACTTCCTCCAGTTTTTAGAAAGATTGCCAGTATTAATCATCTTCTTTTCACTAATGTTTACATTTGTTACATGTTAAAGAGAATAAATCAGATAAATGAATGTAAATTCAGCTGAATTTGGCATAACTGGTCACAGTTGGACCGTTTTTCACACCACTCAGGCTTAATAGTGAATACCTTTTGCCATAGTTGGGTAATTTGACTGTAACCATGTGTCTAAAACCTCATAAACTAGACTCTAGAACACTTAAGACTCTGACTCAGCCGACAACTAATTAATAGTTTGCAATAAAAGCCGTCTGGCAGCTTGGAGTTTCTCACAAATTGTTGGACATGCAAGGGAGTAATTAATGGGGGACGTGGAGTTTAATTAGGGAAATATGGATGATTAACATCGTCACCTTTCCTCAATGATGAGATTCAGGGAAAAAAATAGAAGTCTTGGTTTTATATACAATGCATTCTTAGATGCTGCAAAAATAAATAAATAAATAAACAAATAAGGTGTCTATCCCATCAGAAAGGGAAAGCATGAAGGAGAGAGATGTGCCACTTTGTCTCAGTGCCAAAAACTCCCAACTAGTAATGAGGAGTAACACTGTCCAGCCACAATTCCAGTGTTGCTGCATTGAAACGATGTGACTGCCCTCCGTAGAATGTGGAGACGTCTGTTGTGGTTTCAAACAAAACACATTGCTCTCATATGAAATATTTGGACCGCTTTCGTTTTGCATTTCACAAGTGGGAAGGCGTGAAGGACACTTTGCTCCTGACAGATGGTTCTTGATAATGCCTGTTCATTTTTAAGAGATAAATAAATAAGCAGGAAGCTCCCTCAGCAGTAGTGTGGGAGCGGGGTTGGGGGATGGGTGACAGTGGATCAGTAACACTCAGCCAGTCTCCCTGTGAGAGGAAGAGGAGGGAAGGTGCAGAGTTCTATTTCCTGTGAAAACTTCACAGAATAGCAGATGATGCTAGAGATAGAAAGCCCTTTTTTTGTTCATCTGACTCAGCCAGTTATTGTCAAGGCAGGACTGAATGTGGTTTTGTAAATAATATAGAACCTATTGGTCTTTGTTAAGTTGGGGGAAGTCAGCAGTCAGGAGGTTTTGAAACACTGGGGCTATTTGGTACCATAATGGGTCCACCCCTACTTTACGGTGCGGAACAGCAGCGGGATGGCGCTGCTTCAAATTAAAATCCATTAGAGTATGATGGTGTTTCAAACCAGCCACGACGCGGACATTTTCAAGTGCATCCCAAAAGCAGTACGCCGTGCCGCACCGCTAAAGCTAGGATTGGGTTCTGTTTTTCTTCTGGGACACAAATATTTCCACAGTTCACATAGGGCTAGACAGGAAATCACACACAGTTTCACTGGGTGAGAGCTCAATAACTATGCATTTAAAAGCTAGCTTGTTTTGCACATTTGCTATTGCAGCTTTAAGCGGTCTTTAAAGTGGAGAAGTAAAAAAAGGTACGACTCTTGACATTAACTTGGACAAAAGCAGTCAATGCTATGTGAAAAGCATCAAAGGTTTTTGGTGAAACTTTAGGGGGAAATAAACTGCACATTTCATTTTTCAAAAACAGACCAAAGCAATTGATACCTGAATGTAGCAGATCCACGTAATTACATTTGAAGGATGGCTCATAGAGAGATATACAACATTTACACTCAGAATAAAGTGAAGAGAAACATGAGAGAACGCATGTTTGCAGTGAGGGAAACACACAGTTCATGACTTTCTGACATATGTGGGAGAATTTTGGCAATGAAAAAAATACACTTACTTTCTGCAATAATAGACCTTCTTGTCCAGTCATCATTAATAATCTGAATATTTCCATAGTGGACGTCACTGAAAAAGATGCGATTGGTTCCAGCTCTGCTCTGGTTGTAGTCAAAAGCCAATGCTATTACATTCTTGAAAAGAGTTGGATTTTCGAAGGGCTGAATGGGTGAGTTGAGGTCATTTTCATCTGAGAGGTGGATGCTTTTCAGTATAGTCCTCTCGGAGTAGAGTAAGTAACCATCGTAGCGCTCACAGGCAAATCCATCGACTGCCAAGCGGCCATGGGCGCAGGAGCAGGTCCGGCGACCGCTGCCCAGGTGAAAACACAACTGCTGGCAGCCTCCATTACTCCTGGCACAGGGGTTGGTGCCTTCAAAACACAACACATGTTCAGTTAGCGCTTTGCTCCGGTTCCTGCTTTTGCTGTCGGGCTTAATTTGTCCTGGCTATACACGAGAGGCACAACCCAAATGCCATAGCAACTATGACAGGTTGCAACCTCATGGAGAGTTTCTAAAATAAATTGACAATTAGCAAAATTGCCTGAGACTGAAGTTGCAGTGAATCTTACCTTTTTCTCGGTCTCTATTGAATACTGTCACATCTTTCAAATTGACCCCTAGGCCACTCCTCATGGTTGAGGTCTCGCTGGTGTCAGTCTTAAAAGCACGTCGGATTGAACCGTTGGAGTGGGCTCTGAATTGCATCAGTAGAAAAAGAAGCAAAGATCATTCAAGTGCCAAAGGAAAACAAATGCTGTGTGCTTGCTTTCGATTGAGCTAGGGTAGTGTGGCGATTGAAAAACTACACAGAAGAATGTTTTGTTGGAATAAAAATCACATTTATTAAGGATTCAATCACTCGATTTAGTGGTAATGCCGTTTAAAATAAAATAAGCTAAGCAAACACAAATTTAAGAGGTGTGACGAAAGATGGGGTTCACCGATGACAGTGACCGATTGTGACTATCGCTAGGAAACACCTCTAGTCTCGATAGCGTCACATATGACCTTTTCAGGAAAGGTTGACGTAAAGTTACTAAACAGGCTTTGCACACCAGTGCTTGTAAGTGCATTTAGGAAAATAATAAATTACCTGTCAGACCAGTAGATGTAAGGTCCAAACACAGCCACGGAGAACAGGTCCACGTTGGCCACTGACAGTACAATCTCTCGGCTCTCACCTGTTTCAAGGTTGATCCTCTCGATTTTATCTGTGCGTGCGTCACACCAGTAGAGCGTGTTTTCCTGGAAGGTAATTTCAGAATGCATATCAAAACAGGAGCCTCTTAGGAAAAGTTATATCTCAGCCACAGAGTCAGATGGCTTAGAACAGGGCTAATCAATCTTGGGCCTCAACAGTCAGCATCCAGCCCTGTTTAGTGGTTCCTCTAGTCCAACACACTAGATTCAGTGGTTGAATCACCAGTGCAGCAGCTAATCAGGCTCTGCAGAAGCCTGTTAATCAGCTGCTGATTAAAATCAGAAGTGTTGAAACAGGGTTGAAACCAAACAGTGCAGGATACCGGCCCTCAAGGCCCGGCATTGAATAGCCCTGGCTTAGAAGGTATAAAATATGGAAGTAAATGTGGCCCAACACATTTTTTGTGAAATTAGATTCAACTGTACCTCATAGTCAATAGAAATTCCATTGGGCCAAATGATGCCTGAACTAACCAAGGTAACTTGGTCCGAACCATCCAGGCGCGAGCGGCCAATGCACGGGTTCTGGCCCCACTCAGTCCAAAAAAGATACCTATCAAGAATGACATTTTTTCATTAGGCAATAAACAACTTTACGTTTTCACAGCCTTTATCTTGGTTCTTTGAAGCAGAGGTTCACATACTCGTTCTTTTTAAATATTGCCAGTTTGCCTAAAGAAAATACACGGGAAATGCTCCAGTCAGAGACGTCCACATAGATCTGCGTCACACTGTAAATCGGCGTTCATGGACTCACCCATCTTGACTCATGACTGGGGAAGGCTGTGTTAATTTAGCATCCAGGAGAACAAAGAGCATGTCTCACATAGTAGAAGCTAAGCGCTAGCAATAGCAACTCCATAAAATGGCAGAACTCATTCAGGCTTGTTTTGTTTGTGATGAAAACACAAGAAAACCTCAAGAAAAAAAAAACAGCAAAGAAAAGCAGCGGAAGAGTCAAGTTGCTGTTAGCCAATCAGAAGTCAAACGTTTGCGTATCATAAAATGTTATGAGTAACGCTACAAATGCTGCTATTTCCTGCCCCCACTCCTTACTGACTAACTTCCACCACCCGAAACAGGAGCGCCAGAGCTTTTATTCTACTGAAAGCGACATAATATTAGATACTTCAGCAAATTTATTCAAACATGAGGGTATGTGTACTCTAAAATGCTTTTTTAGACTATTATTAGTTATTTCTCATATGACTGAACATTTGATACATACAAAACAAACAAGTCTTAATACATTTCAAACACACAGTGAACTCCTGTCTTGCATTTAAAATCATTTTGAAACCAATCTTTTGCTTTATGTATTATCTTGTACTTAGACCACTGCTTTCCAAAATGCATCCATATAAGGCAAAGGCATTTAAAATCCATTAATTCACCCAAATGAAGTCAAACCTTAAACCTACTTATTCTGTGTCACAGACAGATGATTCATCCCACCCCTGAACACTAACGCTAGGACTAGCTTTGTTGCTGTTGTGCTCCTCAAGCTGACGGTTCAATGTGGGATGCAAGTTTTTCTGTTCCACCAAGTTAAACGGTGTACACAAATTAGCAATATGCAATCAGTTTAAATCTGCTCCAGATGACGTGAAACGTGTGCAAGCTTTCATTTCCACACCTGCAAGATTGATTTTGCCACTCATTTATGTTTGCCGTTCATCCAAATGTCCTCGCTTAAGTTGCTGTAGACAAATGTTTTCAACGCCATTTTAAAATAATTGATCCCACTGATCACATCTAACAGTGTGGAGGTAGGAAAGAAGACATACTTTACCCTTTCTGCGGGTGCACAGCAATAGCTCGTGGCTGATCAAGTCCTTCAGATATAACCACTGAGCGATATGCACCATTAAGACGGGAGATTTCAATTAGATTAAAACCATGGTCGGTCCAATACAGGTTTCCTGTGTAGAGAGAAGCGGTAGTCAGATGTTTAAACATAAAAAAAGGTCTGTAACTCTGAAGCCACACAAGATACAAAGTTGTTATCATGAAATTACAGATAATAAAAGTAACGTTGCTACAAGGGATTTTACAATGTTTGCAAGCTATCTAACGTTCTCAGTAAACTTTAATGTTTATTGGCAGCCCAGATCAAAACTATGCCTCCGCTTCTCGCCACAACAAGAGGCATTTCACCCAAAGTGAGAATTTTCAGCAATCAATAGCAGCTTGTCAGCCTGTGGTAATAACTCCAGGGCCTGGGGAGTCACAATACCAACCAGCAATCCAGTCGACCGCGATGCCTTCCACTCGGCTGATGCCAGTAGTAATGATATCCTCCCTCCAGGTCTGATCACGTTTGGCACGGGATATTCTGTTCAGCCCCATGTCTGTCCAGTACACGGTGTCGTTTCCTGCAAATTACACCGTACACCATTAATGACAAGGGATAATGAAATGATGAATGCTGCTGCCGAAGTTATATTTATACTCTCAAACAAAGCATCCTGTGAAGCCCACTTTCAATGCAGCTTGGTTCTTCCCACCAGATGTTGCGTGGCACCATAAAGTCCCACAAATCAGGAGTAGCACTTTGTCGACACGCAGTACATGAAGATGAAAGATGATTTTCAGCTACATTTTACGGGGAACTGTGCTACTGCTCCTTCCAAGGCACGGTCTTGATTAAACTAAATCTTTCATCTAGTAGTCCTTTTTCAAAAGCCTATATTTTGGGGTGTATGTTGGAGTGTGTGTGCATTTTTCTGGATAACTCAGTCAGTTTGACTCTCCGCAGGTTGTTCAGAGCTTAGATAGCGTCTTACATCTAATTGGACAATCTTGATCCTGCTGCCTTCACACTCTGTTAACACAAAGATGACACATGACAGAACACAGCTGCAGGGCGTTCATCTGTTATGCTCTGGCTACCTGGCGTCCGTAACGATATGTAAATGAAATGTGCACGCTGTCAGGTGCTGCTCTTGGACAGGCTCAGCACTACATTTGCATGTTCACTTGCCCAAAAAAATCAAGACAAGGACAATCATTGAATTTTGGTTCTTGTCTTATTATGAATTCAACCGACTCCTCCTTTCGCATAAGCTGCAGTCACGCTTCCAGATTGCGATTGATCTTTGAGGACTCGGATGTAAAATGTCATTTCAGGCTTTTTAAATAGTTAGTGGGTACCATACCAAGTTATGACTGCGATTTGAGCCACAGGAGACCTAATCACCTCTATTTCTTACATTTTGTCCACTCAAGTCATGTGAATAAAAATATTTCCACCCTCTAGGCTTATTTAAAAGTACAGTTTATTCAGGCCATTAACAAACAAACACAGCATGACTTGCAACGTGGCTCTGGAACAAAGCATTTGGCTGAAAAAGGATGACCTTTTAACCCTTGTTGCCAAACAGATGCGTTTGGCTTCTCATTTATCTATAGATGTTCTGATTAAATGGATGAAGAAACACAGAGGATGGTGCAAATAGCAAGAGGTGCTCTAGGACAGTTGCAAAGCCACCAGATTTATTTCCATTCAGTGTTGCATTAATGTTTCACCAAGATCTTGCACTGATGATGGTGGAGTCAGACCGCTGCACAAAGCCTTCTCCAGAACATCCCAAAGATTCTCAATAGGGTTAAGGTCTGGACTCCACGTGTGAAAATGATGTCTCATGCTCCCTGAACCACTCTTTCACTATTTGAGTCTGATGAATCCTGGCATTGTCATCGTGGAATATGCTCGTGCCATCAGGGAAGATGGAATAACCTGGTCATTCAGGATATTCAGGTAGTCAGCTGACCTTGTTCTTGGAGCACATCCTGTTGCTGAACCTAGACCTGACCAACTGCAGCAAGCCCAGACCATAACACTGCCCCCACAGGCTTGTACAGTAGGCTCTAGGCATGATGGGTGCATCACTTCATCTGCTCACTTCTTACCCTGATGCACCATCACTCTGGAACAGGGTCCATCTGGACTCATCTGACCTGTTTTTAATGAAGCGCTGGACAGTTTTTAACCCAGTTTTAGTCGTTTCTGCATCTCCTTAGATGTTTTCTCTGCTTGATCCAATGATCTGACCCTTCTCACACAGACTAACATCTTTTCCACGACCACCAGATGTGTCTTTCTACATGGTTGTTTAAGAAATGAGAAGCAACTCGTTGCAACAGTTGGGTTAAATAACTTGTTCCAGCTGAAATATAACCACCCATGCAGTAATTATCCAATAGAAGTCTCCTACTTGCTTCCTAAACTAAATTCAGGTGATGACTTTTTTTGGCCATGCAGTGTACATAATAAGGCATGGTAATTGCTGCTCTACTTAAGTATCTGTGCACACTTTTAGTGTCTGACTGTTATTGTGTATTCATCTGAGAACATTTAGTCTCCTTTACATTATTTTTTCAGTGAACCTAATATCTATTTAAAGCATTTGTCAGTGTAAGGAATCAATCGTTATGAGTGCAGATACTGTGTCACAGGAAGCTGAGCAGAACCAGACGACAACACAGGAAACAGGCATTTGATACAAGATCTGTGAGCAATGCTTTGAATTAGAATTGCACAGGTTTGTATTGTTTGGTTTTATTTATGCTCAAGTTTCCACGTAATATGAAACAAAAAGTTTCATTCATGCAAATGTAACCTTCCATTAACATTAGACTGTTTTGTGATTATTTCTATACGAAATCATTGCAGCGTGGTGTCATGTGCCCACACCCCCTGCATAGAAGACGTAGAAGAAATCTAGTTACTCCTTCGGGTTCAGCTGTGAGAAGTCCAGACGGCCGGTTCCATGGCTGCCAACTGTTGAACTTTTCAATGTGTGACAGCGGTGTGTGTGTGTGTGTGTGTGGGGAGAGCACGTGCGCAATCCGTTTCTCCCGGTCTGTCAACAATGAGAGCGGAGGGGGTGGGGGGTATGGGGTTGCGCATGGACCGTTTGTACCCTGTTTATCGAACATCTGAGCTTGTGAATGGAGTCAAATGCGGGTGTCTCGCTCTCAGCGTGTCAGAGCTTGCAGCCCCGAGGTTCTCGTCCCACAGCTAGCTAGCTATTTCAATTGGATCTGGAAGCTTCATGCTAAACATTGTTAGCTTTGAGATGTTTAATTTTTGTTCATCTGCACAAAGATGTGTTAGATAATCTAAAATAGTCATATATAGGTTTTATTTTGGTAGCTTAAATAGTGGAGTTACAACTCTGGATAACGGCTGGAGACGGCGTTGTTGCCCTCCAGTTAGTGTTGATGTGCGCAGTTACTCGGATGCAAACAATTACATGCAACGGGTTTACAGAATTCTGACAGATTGGTCCTTTAAAGTAAAATATTTTCTATCATTGTATATGTTGTTTTTATGTTCAGTCTGTGGAGTTTCTTCCTCCCCTTCTTGTCCTTTAATCCTCACTAGTCACAGTAGAAGCTGCCCTTTCTGTCTGCTTATGTCGGAGGTCTTTTCCAGTTCAGAGGGAATTTTCCCCTCCTGCCCACTGACCCGTTATAAACTATGGAGACATTTGATTAAAGCGAAAACCTTTGAAAATCCTTTGGCCTTAAAAACCAGACAAGTCATATTTTAAATGTACTAATTTTGCATTAGATTAGATCAGATTATAACTTTTCAAAACAAATTTTTATTTGAAACAAATTTATGTGCAGCTACGTTTGAATGAGAACAGGTTTGCATTGCAAATAGTCCTGACTAAGCAGAATAATAAAAAAAGTTACATAAATGTTAGTCTAAATCAATTAAGTCGTTCATTGCCATTGACGACTACAAACATCAACAGCATTTTTATAACAGGGCGGGCGTGGGAACGAACCCCTGCATCGTGAGAATAAACATCACATCTCTAAAGCTGGTCTTCACCTGCTTATGTCACACGTCACGCGATCAGGACGCAGACAATCCATGAATTAGGAGATCGTTTGTGAAAAAAGCGAGGCACCAACCGGAAAAGCTTCTGCAGCTCACACCGACAACAGGTTATAAAATAACAGATAAAGCTACAAACACGCTGATTCTTCCTGATGTAAGAAGTGAGTCCACTCCTTCTTTTGGTAGTTACGGCTAGGGATGCACCGATACAGTTACTGGTATCGGTATCGGTGCCAATACCAATACCAGTACAGTAATCCCTCGCTACTTCGCGGTTCGTTCATCGCGGATTCGCTGCTTCGCGGATTTTTTCTTTGGAGCATTTTTCAGGGGGAATTCGCAGATTCGCGGCATTTTTCACTGATTCGCAGTATTTTTCTATGCGAAATATCAAGAAATTCTTGTTTTTTTCCATCAATTTCATCATAAAATGCACTTTTTGTAATAAAACTAAAAAAACCAAGTAAAAATTTTTTTTTCTTGAGTTTTACACACAAAAAGAGAATGTGATCATACGATAATTAAATATAGTACTGTATGTCAGACAGGTCGGCTGGATTCAGGAGTTCTTGTAGGGAGCGTGGTTTTACAGACACGGAAGTGATAGCGTCAGTGAAACGCCGGCTTATCTAGGAAACCCCCGAGCGTTCGAGCGTCAACAAAGTGACACGGAAATGCCGGGCTTTCCAGAAGTAAGTAAGATAACTTACTATGAGCTGATAGTTCATTGGATTGATCGGTAGGTTGGAAACTCTGATCATGAATCTGAAGAAACGATGACTGAGTGGTGAGCTGGAAAGGCGACTTCCGTTTATTGCTGCGGTTTGTGACGTAGGTGCGACGTGGAGGGAATCCCCGCGAGGGGCATGCTGGGAGTCCCTACTTCGCGGATTTTCACCTATCGCGGCCAGGTCTGGAACATATCTACCGCGATAAACGAGGGATTACTGTATTGGTATTGGCACCGATACAGTTACTGGTATCTGTATCGGTGCCAATACCGATACCAGTATTGGTAAAAGTTAACCATTATCAATGCAGTTGCTTGAAAGTGGGTTTACTGTAACTTGTCATTTCTGTTCACCTAATATTTTAGTTTTGTGATCATTTCAATTCATATATTTTACTTTTTATCCTCCTCACAGTAATTTCCTGTTGAAAGCAGAGAAGAAAATAAAACCTGTATTCCAAATCAAAACATTTTTTTGTGTGGTAGAAGAACCGGTATGGGTAATCGGTATCAGCGAGTACTTAGATTCAAGTATCGGTATCGTATCGGTTTGGAAAAAAGTAGTATCGTTGCATCTCTAGTTTTGGTATTTACATGATCATAGAGCTCAATGTCCTGGGACTCTTCAAAAAACAATAAAAACATTCATAAACTCTGTCAGTCAGAGACTTTCTGATCAGAGAATGGCCGGCAGTGAATGAGTTAACCAGATGCAGCACATACATTTGAGAATATTAAGTCTAGTTTGTTTTTCTTTGCTGTAAAAATACTTCTTGGCAAATAATTGTACATAATTGGACGCTATCCAGGTGCCAGTCATGCAGCCGCAGCACACCTGGCAGAGCTCAGAGCACAAAACAACAATGGAAACAACATTTCGAGAGGTATTTATGTTTATTTTTGTTTAGAGCCATCTGATGAGCAAATGTGGCCATTAAATGGTTCAACAGCCCATCTGCTGGTTTGCCAGCAGAAAATTACTTAGAATTGGTCAGATTTCCTGTTACCATCATCCTCTTTAGTGACTTTTAGTTCCATTTTGGACTAATATAGCTAAACAACCGGAATATTGTGAAAAAGGTGAATAATTTGGGTCATTCGTTTCAGAAAGTGAAACTCATATTTTATACATTCGTGGCACACTGAGTGAAGTATTGATATGGCGTACAGGTCATTAAAACCTAAACTTCAGCATCGCAGAATGCTTGGAAATCATTCAGAATCAACTATTTTAAAAATATTACATACAAAGTAATTAACTTAGTTACAATTTTCAGATTTTCCAGGAAAGTGATTTTTGGGATTTCATTACATGTAAACAATAATTATCACATTATAAATAAAAAGCTTAAATGTGTCAAAAACCTTCATTTATTTTGCAGTAATTCTTGCACCTTATTAGTCAAACTGCCTTGACTTTATAATTGTATTGTTTGTTATTGTTTCTTGAGTTTCTCTCTCTCTTGACATCTAATTCAGTAAACCATCCTCCACTTTTAGAAAACTGACATTGAGATACATGTATTGTTCTTATTAATAGCTGCAAAAGAGTTTTTATATGGGGAAAATTCTATTCTGCAAGTATAAATTCATATGTTTAAAAATATAAAAGAATGCCATATTGCCTAACAATATGTAATTACATCTTATACTAATGTATTTATGTCTTTTAATGTAATTTAAATTCAGTTGCAATAATGACATTTTACAAGATCACATGTTTTTAATTGTCCATGGCTGCTTTAAATATCCCTGGATTAACAGGACTACCCTACTTAAAATAATACGTCTTTATCGTGACAGATTAGTGTAAAACTAGCATACAAAAGACGAGACTTGAAGGAAATTCCAGTAACCTGCTGAAATGTCATCCAACTCCTACATATATTATTGTTGGTTTATTTTACCGCAGCCACCCGCTCCTGCACAATCTGACTGCTCACACAACAGTTCGATTATTAAACTTGTTTGCAACGAAAGAAACCTCCAAAAATGCGAGACTCCCTTGGAATTCTGCTTGCTTTGCAAAGATTTGCTTCAGGTCAACTTTATTTGTTGATTCTGACAAGTGGACCTTTGTTTTCGTACAATACCTGCATGAAAGTCCACTCCAACAGCAAACAGGGTCCCGGTGATGGGCATGAGGGCTTCACTGTTGTCGTTTGGATCGAGAGCAATTCCTCGGATTCCCTCATGGATCGAATACAGCAAGAACGAGTCAACTCCTGAAGAATTACAGTGAAACACTTTAGAATTTATTATTGGACATTATGGCACAATCGTTCAAAATTCTTTTATATCATTTAGAAAATGCTTAACTTGACCATCTGACCCGGTTCTACGGTATAAAGTAGGACATTTTCAGAATAAACATTCCCTCTATGTCCCTCACCTTGCCTTTATAAAAAAAACTCCCATCATACTGACAAACCTACAGCATTGACCAATGGAGGTGTGTATCCTGAAGCTGTCATTCAGTGAGAATACGCCCCAGTTGCAGAACGCACCGTGGAGTGGTGATGGAAGTAGCTGGAGGCTTGCAATGGAGCGACCCAAAAAAAGTACTGCTGTTACAGATTCCTAGACTGCCTTCTACTTCTCAAAGAAAAATAAAACAGTAAAAAGTCCTTCTGCTAAATTTGCCATGAGACTTTTATGACACTCATGTAGAATTTACATTAGAGATCTTTGGAGGGAGCTTCGTGATAAACAAGGACAGGTAATTACGAAGTTGTTTATTGTATTTTAGAGAACTGTAACTGAAATTTAATTTAAATAAAAAATGTATAGTGCAGATTATTTTTGTATGCTGCATTGATAGGCTAATATAGCGCTAGCATGAAGACTACCTCTACCTGCAATGAATTAATGTCAGTAAGCTTCAAGCTAACGGTGGAAGGGGGGGGGGGGGGGAGGGGGCGCCTTCCAGAAGGGGAGAGGGAGCAGGGACGGGAGCTGTACCTGTTCAAATTTAAAAATCTCCTCCTCCTTTCCTTGACGACAATGAAATAACTAGTGAAAATAACAAGATTACAGTTGAAATCTTACCCTCGCAAGACGTGCGATCACTACGTAGATTGTAGCCCACAGTGCAGGAGCAGCTACGGGTGCTCTCTGAGGTCGGCAAACAAAGCTGGGAGCATCCTCCATTGTTTACTTGGCACGGGTTTCTTCCTGAAAAGCACAACAAGCAAAGGGAGCCGTCACTGGTTGGCACTGTGTGTGTGTGTGTGTGTGTGTGTGTGTGTGTGTGTGTGTGTGTGTGTGTGTGTGTGTGTGTGTGTGTGTGTTACCTTTCTGACCCTCCCTGTCATACACCTTCATATGAACCACCCCGCTTGTCTTGTTTCTCAAGACAACAACGTTGCGTCCATCTCTCTTGGTGACAGTTCCCAGTTGGGCCGATTCATCATCTGCCCACCAAAGTTTGCCACCTGTAAACATCAACGATATTCCCTAAAAAAAAAAAACTGATACACAGGATGCATCCATAAAACAAAGCATAAAACTATTCAGATTTAAAGCCAGTGCTTTCAAGTATGCATACAAAAGTGAGTGGTATGTTTCAGCCTGCACTCAAATCCCCCAAGGTTGGCACTTTTATGCCAGAACGCTGCTTAATAATGAATGCATCTTCTGGGCTGATTTGAGATTAAAGAGTGGAACACGCTGTCCCCTGCTCTGCTCACTCGCTGCTGATGACATGTGCATCTTCCAGCTTTAAAGCATGCTCTCGTAATTGCTTAGTGAAGGTTTCCTCTGCTATAGCTTTTCCACGAACTTCCACACAAACAGGGGCTTCAATTATTAAGAGAAAGAGGACTGTGATTTTCAACCTACGCTTACAAATAAATGCCGCTAGTACCGGGGCAACTGAGAACATGCTCTGCAGTTGTTATGCGTCATAACGTTTTAACATCTACTCTCTGACTGCCTGCTTCTTTGTGACAGAAGACAAAGCCCTCCAGGCTTCAGGAGTGGCGACACCAGGAGCATAAAAGATGAGCGTGCCTCTAAACACACACATGCACACTGGGCTTCTGACCCAAGCATACCAAACCTACGACTATCACACCCTCCTGCAAGTACCACTTGTTTCCTTTGGATGAATCAATCGTGACGGGAAACTCAAAATGGAGAGGAGTTTGACGGCTCCTCTAGCTTTACTGAAGATAAAAGCATTACGTAAGATGTAGGGATGGGTGGCGTTTCAGTCTTGTCAGATGGGAAAAGATTAGAATTTAAAAATGTCAAAATATACATTCATTTTAAACTACTGCATGAATTTTAAGTGAGCATGCATTCATTTTTTTTACTATATTTTCGGTGGTCTCTGGTATAAATGAAAAAAAAAGAAATTAATTAATACTTAATATTTTATAAATGTTAAAATAAATGTGAGATGTTCTCTGTGGGGAAAAAGCTCTGGCACTCTTGTTTCAGGAATTAGTCAGAGGACAGGGGATCAAAAAAAACGCCCATTAATATTCATGATACGCAAACATCTCGCCTCTGATTGGCTAACAGCAATGCAACTCTTCCACTGCCTCCATTCACTCTTCTTTCAAGGGTAAAAATCATAACGAGTGTTATCTCTACAAATAACTCAAACCTAAATGTTTTTTGCGATGTTGAGGAGTTGCTATTGCTAAAAGTTAGCTTCTGCTAGCTGAGATGTGCTCTGCTCTCTCCTGGATGTTAAATCAACAACAGCCTTCTCGATCGAGAGTTAAGATGGCTGAGTCACTGAATGCTGATTTACAGTGTGAGGCTATTTCTGACCCAAGTGTTTAACCGTCAATTTATTTATTTTTTTTTGGTTTGCGGCAGACGAACAAACAAACATTGTCCCGAGTAGTAGAAGCTAACCGTTAGCATTAGCAACACCACCACACAAAAACACTCCACCAGGCTTGTGTTATTTGCAGAGATGAAACATCCACATTGCAAAACAGTGGCAGGGTCAGGTTGCCGTTATTCATTCTCAGGTACGATGTCCAAATAGCAGGAAATAAGACTTTAAATCAGATTTCACCAACTCTAGTCCTTGAGGGCTACCATCCTGCTAGTTTTCTGTTTCCTGCTCCACCACACCTGAATGGAGTAGTTTAAACCTCTCTTTACCACATTGAACTCTGCATAGCCCTGCTAATTATTCATTCATATGTAGGGGCAAAGAAACAGCTAACGTGTGCAGGATGGTAGCCCTCAAGGACTGGAGTTGGTGACCTCTGTTTTAAATCTTGCCATGTTGTGCCACTCTCTGAAGCAGCAGACTTATCTGTGCTGATCCAAGCATTTCTGGATTTTCTATGCGCTGAGTACGACTTGCAAGGCATTCATTCCTACCAGAGACCACTGTGTGTGTGTGTGTATTGATTAAATGAGTGAACCACAGCTTTAAAACCTAAACTAGATAACCGTTGATTTTTCAGATTGTTCATTTGAGACATAAAATAGATTAATTTCTAAACAGCAGCAACTATAAATAGCTTTTTAAAGTATGTACTGCTTAAAAGTCAGTTTTCCCCGAATTTAATCAACCTGACCATCACTTCTTCTAAACACAGAACCTGAGTGAAAGAATGAGAATATTTCATGATGCGATTAAGACTTAAGATATTACCGTAATTTCCGGACTATAGAGCGCACCTCAATATAAGCCGCACCAGCAAAAAAAAAAAAAAAAAAAAGAAAGAAAAAAAAAAGGATTTCTACACACACGCCGCACTCAAATACAAGCCGCGGCGCAGCAGCCACATGCAGGTCTACGGCACACAGCGTATATATGGCCGTAACATAAGATAATTAGACAGAAAGACGCTACACAAAAGTTTTTCGTTGTTTTAATTCAACAAAACAAATTTTAAACATGGTAAACATGGGTGAACACAGGGGCGGCGTTAGGCCCGGCTACTTGGGCTGAAGCCCCGGATGTTTCATCATAAGCCCCGGATCTAAATCGTGGAAGTAACATGCAGTACCAAAGTCCAACAGAGAGGGAGCAGCTGGCAGTAGTCTGTATACAGCCTGTCTGAGCCTCCACCACTGAAGACGAAGCCCTTCAGCAGCCGGCTTCTTCTACACTCTCTGCCTGAAACGCATGAGTGAAGATGGACATAAGGATGTTTTTTAGACCAAAAGTACCACGACAGAACCCCAGCTTTGATGAGACTGGTGTTGACTCAGGTTTGTGAGTCTTATTTGAACATATTTGTTGTGCTGCTGGTTTGCCTAAAGTTAGCTTATCAGGTAAAGTTGTTGGGCAAAGCAAGGGAATATTTACTATCATCTCACACTAAACACTAACAGGAACAATACTCTGCCCTGAAAATGCTTAATATGTAGCTTCAGATTAAAAATTATGTGGTACAAGACATATATGATGTTGACTAGTGCGTGTGACATGTGCGCGCGCACGCGTGTGTGTGTTAAGCCCCGGATCTTCTTCAGTCCTAAATCTGCCCCTGGGTGAACGTGCCTTCAAGTTTAGAAAAGAAAACAGCACTGATAGCATTCATATTTCTGGATGGTTATTAAGTAAAAACAGAACTGACACGTTATTACTGGTAATTTGCATGTTTAGAAGAAAAGAACAGCGCTGACACAGCATTAATAAGCCCTGGATGATTAGAAAATAAAAACTGCACACAAAACATGCCTGGCTAGTAATGATCTGTACAGTGGAAACGGTGGAAACACCTTGGCCGTCTGCCCTTTGTGTGTTGACCCAGTCTTCAAGAATGTTTTCCAATTCCAGCCATCTGCTTTTATTTCCTCTGAAAGCTTTTGTCGTTTTTGTACATTGAATGAGTTCTTCCCGCTGCCGCCTCCAGCGCCAAACCATGGATTCATTCATGCCAAGCTTACGTGCAGCGGCGCTGTTTCGGCAGGTGAAGGAAAATCTTCAGTAAAGCCGTAACTCATTATAAGCCGCATGGTTCAAAGCGTGGGAAAAAAGTAGTGGCTTATAGTCTGGAAAATACGGTAACTCCCCTCTTTTGATAAAATAAAAAAAAGAAAACAAAAATAAACCATTCCTTTAAAAGTTCAAATTAACCATGTTCCCCCAGACGTTTTGATTTACAAAGTAACAAATCAGTCAAACGCAAACTAACAAAAAAATATTTCTACTTGCGTTCATAGCTTTACAAAGAAATCTATTATTGAAGGGGAGTGTAAAACAAATTTCCACAAATCAGACAAGCATGCATGAAGGAGAATGACAGTCTACACGCAGTTTACAAAACATTACGCCCCGGAGGTCATGCTGGCTGAGATTAGCTTTGCACCCTGTGTTAATTTGATGCCATAGGGACCACTGGGAAGATGTGATTGCCCGCTTGTGGCGCATCATATTCAATTTCCACTTCAACGGCTTGTTTGATCAAAGACAAGTCAAGGCTGATGGATCACTCGTACATTCCAAATGGAAGCCCTCAAGGCAATCCAATTATTACCGAGCCTAAAAACCTGCACTGGTTGACCTTGTGTCTCCAAGAGTGCCATAATTACACCATTTCACAACCAGCATGAGCCATCAATAAGGCAAGCATGCAAAGTGAAAAAAATAATAATAAAAGATGCACAAGAAGCCCATCAACCCTAAATATCTGAGATGCGAATCACACAAATTATGATAATATTGTGTTTGTTTGTCTGGCTGAATACCCACTCAGCTGATTGTATTAGAGTTATGGATCCATCAAGAGGAGGGAAATGCTATTGAAGCAGCCATAACCACCTCACATAAATGTGCCTAATAAATAAAGCTTTTGTAATCGGGAAGAGATTATGGGAAATGGCCCCACAGAGAAAACAAAAACGACTTAATTACCCCAAAACATCCAATTCTACATCTTCCTTACCAACAATATTCCAGTTTTAAAACTTGTGAAGGTGCATATTTTATCAGCTAATTGGAGTAAAGGCCCAGTGTGTGAAAAAATAATTGGACTCTTTAGCACCACACAGTTCACTGTAGGTATTTCACCTATGGTAGCCCACACACATCAAAAAGGCAACGTGTCCAGGCAGTTCAGAACTCTGCAGCTCGGTTGTTAACATCAACCAGGAGGTCTGAACATATAACACCAGTCCTACATGCCTTGCATTGGCTTCCTGTTTTTTATCGCATCAGGTTTAAGGTCATCCTGTTTGTGTTTAATGCGTTAAACACAGGGGCTCCTAAATATCTTTTAGATATCATCCACCAACATGTCCCGGTGCGTTCCCGTAGGTCAGCTGACCAGAGATTACTAACTGTGCCTAGGTACAGCCTGAAGTCTCGTGGTAGTCGAGCCTCTTCAGTACTTGGACCAAGTCTCTGGAATGAGCTGCCAGATGATGTAAAACAGGCCACGTCATTTGAAACCTTTAAAGGAAGACTGAAAACACATCTGTTCTCGCTGGCTTTTGGACTATGAAGTTGGGG